GGACGGTGTTGTTGGGGGGGGGGGGGGGTGGGGGGGCGTGTAATGGTTAATAAACTAGATCTCTCAGTGGGGAATGGAATGTAACAAAGTGATGATAAAGAAAGGGAAAACCAATTCTTTTGTGTGTATGTAAATAAATCTTTTCCCACCAATCAAATGCTGTTAATTGATAACGGAAAAAAGGATCATAACCAAAAGAAAAAGAGTATTGGTGTAAATACAACAACACAAAATGGCCGAGAAAGAGATAATATACCCACACCCTACACCCAATCGCTGATATTATTGTATATACAAATATAATCCAACCGGAAGATATTATCTTTGCATCCGTAACTCTACGTCTTATAGAGAGATCCTTTCAAAGAAAGGACAGATCTTGAAAAAAAAACATAAAAAAAAAGGACTCTATACCAACAACAAAGACACACAACAGGAGACTTTGACTCTAAGCGTAAATGGATCACTCATCAGCACTAATTCACACACTGTGGATGATGTGTTTTAGATTCAAGTTTAAGTTTTTAACTCTCTCTCTCTCTCTCTCTCTCTCGCCCCTCCCTTCACCTTAACAAAAAATTTTGGCCACCCACACCCATACACACATCCACACCCACACACAAATACATATCTAATTTAAAAATTAATTTTTAAAACTTCAAAAATAAAAAAAAAAAGAAATTGACCCAAGAAGATTATAATTATATGCAGTCCCTGCCATTTTCTCTTTTTCGTTTTGAAACAAGAACAACCTTCTGAGACCAAATAATTTAACGTCAATGGTTAATTATGTCATAGACAAGCTTCTTACACCCCAACACTGTCCTTCCCCCCATTCTCCCTTCCACTTCGCTTCTATGGAGGCTCTTGATGAAAAAAAAAAATAAAATGTAGTACGTTCAAAACAGGTCCTCAGTGACACCCATGAAGACATATATTACATCATAGACTTCATTCACAACCAATCTTTCACCACATGTGACATGACACAAACTCCCCCCCTCCCCCCATGCAAATGATGTGTCACGCATCTGCAAAATTATCCCTCATGGACATTTTAAAATTAGCGACGCACCAATTAATATGCCACAATACGTCATTTCATACAACTAACCTAGCAGTTCTTTTGTAAAACAATTTTTCGGTGGCAAACTAAGTCCAATTTCGGTTGGAACAGAAATTCGGCTATTCAAATTTGCACCACTCTGAGTGAACGCGTCTCATCAACAACCACTCTACTTCCTCCTAAGTAAAGATTCTCATCTGCTTCCCACAGGGAGTAATCCCACTTCACTACAAAGTGCATCTTTCAATCTCTTCTATTTTGGAAGTTATTGCTCGTGAAGGATAGTGAACAAATTTGCACCAATTTAAGGCCAAATTATTCAAGACACAGTTATTGTGCCCCTTCCCCGGATGTAAACAACTCACTATCACCTTACAAATCTCATGATATACAAACCCATTGTGATACTCGCCTTATCTCTCTTGAGACCGCACACATCTTTATCTTTTGCAACCTTGAGACATGTGTCAAAAAAAAAAGATTGATTGTCGTGCGATTTTGCCAAACTTGGGGCGAACAGAACAAAGAAGAGAAAAAAAAAAAAAACAAAACACGAAACCGAGACACGACCTAGAAATAGGTGCCTGAATTATCAAAGGTGGCTGTAATACGCTATCGTGGTATATAATAGCTATAATGCACAGCTCATCCACGTCTACGCTAGATAGTGCTGTGCCAAGAAAGACTACGTCAATAAAATCGCTTCCGTCACTACAGCCAATTCAAACTCAACTTTCAAATCCGCATTTGCAACAGAATGCTTCTCAGAGACAACGACAGGAGTCTTTATCTGGAGTGCCACAACAACAATCATACATAATGCACAAACAATCTCATGGTGAATTTGAACGAGAGCGAGGATCAACAATATCGTCAATGAATGTTCCGATTCAATCAGTCGAAAGGAGCCAACTGCATCAACAACTTCACCAACTTCACCAACTGCACCAACAACAACAACAACTGCATCAACAACAAACTAAGGAAAGGCCGGGCCTTGTGATTGACACTGCTAGACTACAATCTGAGCAATTGAGAATTCGTAGTGCTACATTACCCAATAGACCAACACTCCGATCATCATCACCTTCGTTTGCATCAACTGAATCCAACGCGGAAAGCCCAACATGGCTTTTGAGCGATTTGCTTTCCAATCTAAGTTCACTCAAGGATAAAGATGAATACTCAATAGTTCAAAAATCAAATGATTTGGTATCGCTATTTCAGAATTACCCCAATTTGAAGGAAGAAGTGCAGATTAGAACAGTATTACCTAGAATACAGTTTATGTTGTGCCACCCTGTACCGGAAGTGAGATCATCTTGTTATCGAATATTACGGCATTTGATTGTCAACTACGATAGTCTTATTCTACTAGGGCAACTGAAACTACTTATTTTCATCATAACAAGCCTAGCTAACGATCAATACAAGTCCTCATTGATTGAAATGACCCAAGCATTGAAGTTAATACGGCAGTACTTGACAATAAACAAAGGTGCCGATTTGCTATCAGTTGGAGTTATAAAGGCATTGGTTGCTATTGTGGAAGGTGATCTGCATGATCACAACCATACGTTATCAGCATATGGTTTACGTATAGCACCTATCCCAGAGGGTTTCAAAAATGCTTGCTTGGAAACCATTTGCGAGGTTGCTTTGCTTAAACCAGAGCTAGTTTTCCACTCAGGAGGGTTTAAACTAATGATAACGTCAATCATTGAAGGATCGTTTGAGGTGGCGTCAACTTGTCTAATGATAGTACTACGGCTATTAAGTTTCCAAAATTCAAGGAAATTTGTACGCAATGGATTTGATTTGGATTCATTAATTGCAGTCTTTTCAACCGATGAAAATACAGGAGAATCCAAATTCAAGCACGTTTCTAATTTCAAATTACAAAAAGTTGCATTCTTAATATCGTTATTATTGCGTGATTTCAATGGTTTGATTGCGTTTTCAATCAACAATTTTACAAGTATAAAGAATCTTTTGATAAACTTGAGCAAAAAGAACCATCGCGTTCAAGATCTCATTCTTGATATTATACTAGATGCATTAAGGATCAAGGTATTTCCATGGTTGGAGAATTCAACCATTGGTGATTTCATAGCCAAATTCAATCACCAATACCAACAACAGAATTTAGGAACTAAGAGAAAGTTCACTTTTGAATACAATGATATAAAGGAGCCGTTTCCGAGAGACATTATCCACCACTACCAAGGACTACTTACATATATCTTGGTGAGGAATGGCTTGCTTGAAAAATTGTTGCTGATTATAGAAGAACCTCAAGAGGATGGGGACAAAAGTTTACAAAAGAAAGCTGGTTATCTTCTTCTGAGGCTCTACTTCATTTCCAATAGCTATTTGCCTTCTGAGTTGATCATGACCAAGTTACAAATACCAGGAATATCTGAACATATAACCTTGGCAAATAGCGAAAAGACCAGCGCGGTGGAGACGAATCAATTCATCAAGTCTCAAGTCAAGAGCATCACGGCACAAGCAAACTCCGATGTTGACGATGACGTGTTCAAAACCATGATTGCCAATAGTAAAGTTTTAACAATTAAGGAATTTGAACAATGGAATTGGCCCTTGCTAACAAGCTTAGTTCAGGGTCCATTAACCGATTCCAAGCGGTTTGAAGAAGTTTTGGAGAAATCGCCGAAATTTTTCAAAAGATTGGTTTCGTTTTATCGTCCATTCAAGTATCGGTTCTCGTCGGTGCATAATAATAGGAATGCATCAAGATATATTGAATTTGGGTGCCTCTTATTTGAAATGTTTCTCAGCACCGATGCAGGACTCAAGTATTTTGCGTCAAGCAAGATGCTTCCACAAATTGCTGAAATTGTGGCGCAGATTGATCCGTATAGTGGTATATCTTCAAAAGACCCGATATTGAGTAAGAAACGGCTCGAGAATACAGCATCGATGGGGTATTTGCGATTTATTGGAGTCTTGAGTGGCAGTACCGATGGGTTGAATTTTTTAACGAGCTGGCAGTTGTTTACAATGTTTACAAATATCATTTCGGCATCGAGCCAAACCGAAACTACCAATTTGTTCATCTTGACGTTGTTTCGGTATGCTGATTACACTGTTGATAACACGCCGTTTAGAATTTTGCTCAAGATGAGTTTGACCACGTCGAATTTGAAAATTCGCATTTCGTTATTGAAACATGTCATTCCGCGATTGCTAAACACTTTGGAATGTCAAGAATTTTGCATTGGTGTGCTTATTGATAACTTGTACGATGTCAATCATGATATCGTTATTTGCTCGATTGATTTATTGTTTAATCATTGTCAAGGAAACAATTTCCGCAACTTGCAGTCGATAATCAAGTATCAGCCAATTGTCCACATTTTACAAAAGTACGAAATTGGGCGCCGATTTCTTGTGCATTTCCTAAATGATCGTCATGGGTTTCAGTATTTGGAATCACAGGGGTACCTTGAACACGAATTCAACAAATGGTTTCAAATTACTGAATTTGAGTATCTGAAGAAATTGGAACAATTAATACGCGTTCAATTTTATCCCTATGTGAGCATGGGAGCGTTTGAACACCGAGGTGGTAAAACCAATTTGGATATTGGCGATGTTGAATTATCGTCGTTGTATTTTTTCAAATGCTTATTGTCGACTGAAGAGGGCTTGAGTTACTTCCAACATGGCGTGGCACAAAATTTCTTTGATCAAATCTTGTCTTCGGTGGAAAACATATTCAATCAAATCAATAATGGTGATGAGTTTCTTGATGTGGATAACCAAGATGAAATTCATTGCGATATGCTCAATTTGCTTAAACAGAACTTGTGGATAATTGGGCAAATTGGATCAGGCAAGTATGGGATCCAGTTGTTGGACCCGTTGTACAATATCAATTTAGAGTCATCGATTGTTGAGTTGATTTTGGACCAATTCCACAATTGTCCCATTTGGGAAATTAGAGGCGTTTGTTTTTATGTGCTTGGGATGGTTTCAACTACAGTTGAAGGGGTGGAGATACTTGATGAGTATGGCTGGAGTTCGGTATTGGATCAATATGGAAACAGCATGAAGTTTGCATATCCTAGACCGGCTCCTGATGGTGATGTGGAATTCAAACTTGGTGGTGCCAGTGGTGGTGAATCCAAAGATGATGCCAACTTGTTCAATGTGGCTATCGTCAATCCGTATCGTGACGCACAGTATTTCAACATTTTCAACAGCATGATTGAGGAAACATCAATTGAAAGTCAGAGCCCGCCACTCACAAGAACAGTTTTCCATTGCTTACACAATTTGAATTCAATCTTATCCAAGATTGAAATAAAAGCAATACGAGAATTGCACAAGTTGAAGTTGAGCTCAAGTTCAATTTTCGAAGATGGTGATTTATTTCTTGATGTTATTCGATTAATTGACAAGGGGAACTTTGCATTCCATAAACGAGTCTTTATTTTCAAATTGTTTATTGAAAATACTCGAGTTTTGGAAACGATATTAAAGAGGGAACGGCGTGGATCATTCAAAGTTGCAAATGGCAACAATTACAGCAACTACGTAAGCTAATAAAAAGATGTCAGCATTTTTATATTTAATGTTAATAAAAAAAAATTAAAAAATAAAGAAGGACCTTTTATGTACCTACTACTTTCTCTTTCTCTTTTTGCTAGATGAACTAGCAGCTTGTGGAGTAACAATCATTTTCCCATCAATTCCCAAATCAAACTCGACTCCATTATACACATTCAATCGTTTCAACATTTCAAGAGTGACTGGTTTGCTTGCGCCAGGAACTAAATTTGTCGTCACTGATTGACGGTTGCGGCGACACCAAGCCTCAATAGATTGTGGGTTGATTTCGATAGATGTTAGGTCGTCATTGATTATATCGGGGATATTTTCAATCAAGTATGCATTGAGTAATAAATTGCAAGGTATTGCAACGTTGGCAAATAGTTGAGGATGTTGTGTTAGTGGCGATAGCGTTTTGGCCAAACGAGGTACTTTTTCCACAATTCTATTTATCCTTTCGGTATCAAATAAATTGGGAGATGTAAAGTTGTCATTAGTGGTGGAGTTGTCTTCTAGATGCTCCAATATGTTCAAGATTGCCTGATTACGACGTTCAAAATAACTCAATGTTTTACGTTGACTTTGTTCGTTTTCAAAAGTTGACAGTAATTGAGATGATGCAACCTTAAACTGTTCTTGTAAAGTGTGGTATAGTTGTTGTAACTCTTCAAATGGCATGGAATCAATTTCATCATCATTGTCAGTTGAAGCTGGTGTTGCATTGGCGTTGGGTGTAGGTTCTTGCTTGATATGTCGAGCTGCGGTATGGTTCTGTTGCATTGAAGATGCACCTGGATGCGGTAACGGCGATTCCCCGGTCATGATCTCTCTAGTGGCTTGTAATGGTGGAAGTTGTTGAAGATTTTGTAACAATTCAATGTCGTGAAAATATTATCAATGTCGCATAAAAAATTATCAAGTGTTGCAAATTCAGTGTATTACACATTTAAATCATTTGTATAGTTTTCTAGAGAATAACCACTTTATTATATTACATCTCAATACAATCTACATATAACATAAAATATATAATAGCAGATCATTAAGACGATCTTAGTTAAAGTTTCCCACACTGACGCTATGATTAATTTCCTCTCTCAACGTGTCTTGATGCGTTGTTCTTCTCGACATGCTTTCTGCTTTTTTTTCTTTTTTTGTAGTTTCCCATCTAGATGAATTATTATGTCCTCTATTGTACGTTGAGTTTCCCATTTAGTAGATGTATACCTTGTCCAACTTGTTCAAATCCTTCTTGATGTAGCATGTGTGTACATACAAGATGAAGTCAACAAGTAGTAACAAAATTCCCAAGGATATGAGCATCACTACTACTCCAGTAGATACCATGGTGACATTCCTTTCAATCTTGATTAATGTTGTTACTACTGACATCTCTCTTTGCTTTGAAGTGAATGGGTGTGTGTGGAAAGAAGTTCTTTTAATCTGGAGAATTTAAATAATACGTGCAATGTGTGTGAATTAGCAGACCAGCTGTTATTCAGATTGCTAATAATATGTGTGTTTCAAGTAAAGGGACTTGGATGTGATGTGTATTATATTTCGTTGCTGTGTGTGGTTGTGGTTGTGGTTGTGGATGTGGATGTGGTGTGAATATAGCTTCGTAGGGTGTGTGGGCGTATGCTTGAGCTGTGTGATGAGTAATAGACAATTGAGTAAGTAAAGCAATGATGTCAATGATGATGTTAAGGACACTTTCAAGGGATATTTATAGATCCATATGTACAAGGGGTGCGTACATATATATATGTATAGAAAGATTGTGTGTGTGTGTGTGTGTGTGGTGGTTATCTGTATTTGCAAGTTTTGCTTTTTTTTTTTATTTTTTCTTTTTTATTTTTATTTTTTTGAAACTCCTTTAAGAGAGTGTGATTGTCTTTGTCTCTTTTGTCTCTTTTGTCTCTTTTTGTCTTTGGTTTAAATTTTATTTCTTTTTCGTTCTTTTCACAAGATAAAAAATATTTAATAAATAATATTTGATGAAAAGAGTTTACAAACGTTTGCTCTTTTGATTTTAAATTTTCTTAATAAAAAAAAAATCCCATAAAATTCCCTTATTCAACCGAGGAGCCCGAGTCAAGTTGTACCAAAATTGTTTATCGTAAAGTTAAAACACCAGAACTTCTCCTCAAACTACTTCAAAGAATGAGCAGGTAAGTCTTAAGATCAACTTTGCTAATTTATGCTGACGCGCAAGAAAACAAACCAGATGATATATGCACGTGCAGCCACATTATCGCTGACTTCCCTTTTGTCCATCAATGAAGTATTTACGACACAAAAATGTGCAACACTGCACTTTGTTTCACTTTGTTTACATTCAACTCATAAATCGGAATATATAGGGTGCCAATGGTTGTGGTTGGGTCTACTACAAAATAATCTGGTGATGTACGTATATTATCTCCCTAACTGATTCTATTGTTTTTTGCTCTCTTTTCATTTTCAATTTTGGTTCTTTTTTTTTTTTTTTTTTTTTTTTTTTTTTTTTTTTTTTTTTTTTTTTTTTTTTTCTTGTCTGTAAACTATTATTGTGGTTTTGTTACTATTACAGAGATTTACTTATTTGTTATTGTACTATTATCTTATTGTTTATTTTAGCATAGTGTTTCACATATAAATTGTCTTGTTTTGTTTATTTGCTTGTTTGTTTGTTTGTTTGTGTGTTTGTGTGTCTCTGTCTCGTTCGCTTTGAGTAATATGAGTTCAGGTGGGGCAACATACGAGGAGGGGGGAGGGGCATGCAGACTTTTCACCCCCCATCCGCTTCACTTCACTTCAATATGTATCATTGTATCGGATTTGAAGTCAGATAAGACATATGCTGTATACACATAGACCTACACGCATTGCACATTCGTACACTCGCACAATACTTTGCTTTCCTCCTCGGAGGAGAGGAGGTAAGTACCTAAGAAGCTCTTTCTCACTTGATGTCGTTACTAATGCGCCCAGACGCTTTGATTATTTAGCAATTGCTGGTGTCTAGAAAAACATTCGAATCGTAGATTATTTAGTTTTACTTCTTCCCTTTTTGTGTATGTTTTTAACTCAGAATTGTGGCAGTGGCAGTGGCAGTGACAGAGCATCAATTACCAAATCGGGGGATTACCAAAGCCGCACCATCGGGCACCTAAGAAGAGAAGAAAAAAAAAAGAAAAGAAACAGAAACATCTAGGAATAAAAAAAAAATTTTTTTATCCCAGAATGGGTAGTTAGCCATAACAACTGTTTGCTCAACCATTATATACGTATGTCATCATATCATTTGCACATCGACATCCTCGTGTGTTCAATATGGGGACCACACACATTCATTGACCAACAGGAATAGCAATTGAAAAAGATGATGATTCAAAATTAACTATACTTATCTACATTATTTGAACAAAAAACTCAAATGTAAAGAAACTAATTTATTATCTGACTTTAAATTGGTTTATTTCCTATGTTGGTTGATGGATTGACCCAACTACATTTTGATTATGTTTATACTAACTAGCAAACGACAGCACGCTTACCAATGACTTTCGGTATCACTCTATAGGAAGACTACTCAGTTCCAGAGTAGCATGAGGGGGTGTGGCTTGCATGTACAAATGTTCGTGAATAACCAAACAGACCTAGCGTTTTGTTGACGTAATGGATGATATCGGGATCAATCAATATTATAAAGTCAAAACAATAAGGGAGGATCAAAGATTGAGGCTAATTTAATCCTTTTTTTTTGTTTTTTTTTGTTTTTTTTTGTTTTTGTTTTTTGAGAAATTGATATATCTCTTATCTTTCCACCCCCAATTGTTGAATTTATAAATAGCTGCTGTGGCTGTATCTGCAAAAACGTACTTCAGGATGTGCTTGGAGACAGCAACTTACCAACAACCCCTTTCAAGTAGATTCTCCTAAGATCCTTCCTATCTCTTTTTTTTTTTCTACAAAAGTAAACCACCTCCACCCATTTGAGCTGATGGGCTCAACAGGCCAGAAACAAAAAAGTCTCAAATTTCAAGTTTACTCTGTAGGGTTTGGATTCTCTAGTTTAACACGCAGTGCATACATACGTACAGTATTTAAGGCACACTGAAGGACACAGCACACTGGACACAGCACACTGGACACAGCACACTGGACACATTGTCGTCCTGAAATTGCTTACATCTTTATTCATCAATTTCTTTTTTTTTTTTTTTTTGGTCTGTGTACGGTTATGCCTCGGTTATGAATCGATGCAATCCCAGTAAAGATCAATGGCTTCATAAGTGAGTGGTATATTTACGCAACTACAATCACCGGGTTAGATTATACATTTCGTGTTTTGAGAAATGCTTAATCTCCAAATTAAGCACAAACGCATAACCGAGGAACAAAGTTTCACTTTCTTAGTTTCAAAGTAATCCCCTTGATCATGTAAAAGATGGATTTAAGTCGACCGTTTGGCTTCTCACCAACTTGTTTCACCATTACCTCTTATCCCCCAATTTGAAGTAGTCTAGATTTGCAAAACAAAACTTCTGGCATTGCCTAAAAGAGAAAACATTCAACCTAAAACAAACTCAATCCCCCCCCCCTCAAGAACCAAATACAGCCAGGCCCGCCTTGAACTTCTTGACTGTTTTGTGTGTCCCATCGAAAAGCAAACGTTTGGATGATGAAGCTTACCTTTTTTTTTTTCTCACGTTCTTTCTTCCAAGGCTTCATCAATCTAGATTTACTTTGAAGTAGCAGGGTCACGTTTGTATGTTCTCGTATACAGAAGTGGAGGGTCTGTTCGTTAATGCACTGGGCATGGCTCCTCTTTAGTTACACAGCAGAGAGAAACTCTTTACAAAACTTCAACCTCTCTCACTATTCTGCGGACAAAAGCTTCAGCTTTCAACATACATATGGCTGTGCCTTCCTATAAAAGCCTAGATCTGTTATGAAGTTGGTGTCAAAGTCAGAGCGTACTTAGGAGAGCGGTTCAATATATTGAATCAGTCGCAGAAGCGATAGAAGCAAAAAAAATATAAGAAAATCGAGGGTTCCGCCACGAAAGCGCATACCAGTGTGGCAAAGAGAAATGGCAATTACACGTCCATTGCAGACTCTCCCTTACTAAACAGTCATATTTCATCCACCAAGTACTGCAGAATATACTGACCTCAACAAGGAGTCTCCTCAACATCGACCGAGACCTACCTGTATTTCATTCATCTCACCTGATGTTCAAGCCACAAAACCACCTTCAGAATCGATTATGCGCATACGCAACTGCTTGATCAACAATTACATCAGGGGGCAGAGATGTAAAAAAAAAAAAAATTTGCAATTGCATTGACAATGCCTACTATTTACTTACCTGATACTACTCTCCAGTAGCAACACTGAAAATGATAAGCACTGACATCGACGAAGATGTGTCAGCAACGAGCCACAGCAACACACCTCCCAAACACTTGACTAAATCTCCGTCATTCACATCTATCAAATCTTCCTCCTTCACAAGCACTACACCAGCAAACCATGCTTCGATATTCCACTACCTCAATCTTGCATCAGAAAAACTTGACTCGCTCGGTGTCGAAACTCGAGGAATAGAACGGATCCTACCGAGTGAACGTTCATCCAACAAAACAGGCCAATTCATCAGCGTGCTAGGTCTTTGGTGCTCGGCCTGTGGAGGACTCACTTCAATGTCATCATTCTTTCTAGGCCCACTAACTTTCGAGCTAGGGTTACGAAACACTTTGATTGCTGGAATCATTGGTCAAGGGTTGGGATGTGTGGTGGCAGCATATTGTTCAGTGATGGGGCCCAGATCCGGATGTCGACAAATGGTAAGTGCAAGATTCCTCTTTGGATGGTGGTTTGTGAAGTTCGTGGCGTTGGTCAATATTATTGGGGTCACTGGATGGTCAGTCGTCAATTGTGTTGTCGGTGGTCAGATTTTGGCTAGTTTGAGCGATGATCGGGTCCCGTTGTGGGCGGGGATTGTTATTATTGCTGGTGTCACGCTTCTTGTTGCAATTGGTGGGATCAAGCAGTTGTTGAGAGTGGAAACGTTTCTTAGCATACCTGTCAATTTGTCATTCTTGTTGTTGTACATTGTTGCGTCGCAGAAATTCCAATACTTGACCTTGGATGATGCCATTACTGATTCTGCCACAATCAAGGGCAACTGGCTAAGTTTCTTTTCGTTATGCTACTCCATAACTGCAACTTGGGGTGGGATTGCTTCTGACTACTACATTCTCTTTCCTGAGGATACACCAGATGTGCAAGTGTTTTGTATCACTTTGTTGGGCATTTTCCTCCCCACCACGTTTGTCGGTGTTGCTGGGTTACTCATTGGCAATGTTGCCCTTGGATACAAGCCATGGGGTGATGCATATGCGAAATGGGGAATGGGTGGATTGTTGAATGAAGCATTTAAACCATGGGGAGGTGGCGGCAAGTTCTTGCTCGTTATTATGTTTCTCTCATTGATTTCAAACAATATTCTCAATACGTACTCGGCAGCTTTCGATATCCAAATGGCAGGTACTTGGTTGGCAAAGATTCCGAGATGGTTTTGGGCAATTGTGGTGACGGCGATGTACTTGGTGGCGGCATTAGTTGGTCGGAATGAGTTTTCAACAATTTTGGGCAATTTCTTGCCAATGATTGGATACTGGATTTCAATGTATTTCATATTGTTGCTTGAGGAAAATACCATATTCCGTACTAGCAGATTCCACCATTTGTACAAATTAGAATTTGCCAAAGATGGCTCATATGATGCACCATCCACAACAACAACAACAACATCATCATCATTAGCAAGCCATGATGTCTCTACAGAAGACCAATTTGACTTGCGCAAATCTACTCTGCATCATTACAATTTCAATATTTGGAAAGATTCTAATAAACTCACTCACGGGTGGGCTGCTGCTGCTTCTTTTGTGATTGGAGCCACAGGGGCTGCTGTTGGTATGTCGCAAAAGTACTGGATTGGCCCACTTGCAAGGAGAGTTGGAGGTGAGTATGGTGGTGATATTGCCATGTGGTTGTGTATGGGATTCAGTGGAGTTGTCTACCCTGTGCTAAGATATGCCGAGTTGAAGTACTGCAAGAGGTAGATTTAGTATAGATTGTAACCTTGTTATGCTGATTTGCAGCCAAAAACAAAATCTTTAGCCAATTCATGCAATCTCTTTAAATCAGCGTTATAGACACCGGTTATGTGATTATCGCGCTTACCAACCACCAGCTCTTCATCATCTGGATATACATCTCTCCGCATGCCTTAGAGATTGCATGGCAATTTAACTTTACGTGCAACCTGAGTGTTGCGCACGACCAGACGAGATTTTTTTTTTTTTTTTTTCTTTCTTGCTTTCTTTCCTCCCCTCATTTCATCAAGCAGTTGAACCTGATACAAGCTCAACACTCACATACACACGGCCACTTTCTTTCGTTATGATATTTCCCAAATCCTTCTCAACTAAGATACTACGCCGCATACACATTCGACAAAACTCAACCACGGCTCAATCATACATCCGTACCAAACCGAAACTATATTCACTTTTGCAAACCCCCACTACAAAATCACTAATTCTTTCACTTATTTGCACATCAGTCATGATAGACTTGTTGAAAATACGCCGTGATTTAGATTCGTTACAACATTCATACACGATGAAATTTGCGTTGTTGGGCGAGATCATCACCAAGTTGACACGGGGTGATTTGTTTGATTTGGATAAGGAATTGAAGTTGGCGAATGCCTTCACAGGTGAGACTAAATACGGCTCGGTTGATGATGTTGAGTTGGATGTTGAGTTGGAGGAGTTTTTAAAGTTGGCTGAAGTAGATGGCGGTAAGACAAATGATGAGGAAAGTAATAGTCCTGCTGCCAGTGCTGTTGGTGGCGGTGCTGGGTACTTATAGAATGAAATAAAACAAATATACATTTATAATTAATACACACTGAACAAATAAGTATCTCTAAATCACGGCAATCTTCTTTATGGTCCTTCTATGGTTATCACCAGTTTCAATAATCTTTCCCTCTTGTTGTAATCTCTTTAACCCGTCGTTGATATCCAGATTTTCAATCCTGAATGAACTTCGCTCATTAAGCTTCATGGTTAAATCGTTAAACCTTATCAAGTTGTTGTTTTCATCAAGGATTTTCAAAATCTCATTAACCAAGTCTTCCCTGATACGTCTTTGCTGGGAAGTGGTACCGGTTTGAACCATATCCATATCGATCCTCCCAGTGACTGGGTCAGTAGCGTAATCCTTAATGGCCGACTTGATCAACCGGACCGCTTCCTTAACGTCAATCAATTGAACTCGGTTGGAAAATCTCATCTTGGCATGAGCTTCACTCAATCTAATCATTGATTCCAACTGTCTAGTGGTTGCCGTGATCCTCTTTTCCGATAATCGAGCATCTTCACCCAATTTCCTCATCTCAACATAAGCACGAACCAATTCATTCTTGGCTTCTTCAGTTATAGTTGGATTAAAGTGCTCCTTGGCGTATTGAATATACAATGCCAACTGTTCAACAGGTAGTATATAGTTATTAGTAACGGTGTCCGGTGCATCTTCCAAATACATTTGTGTCAAATGCCTAGCCAACTGTCTGTCAAGTCTTTCATCAACTTTATCCAAAATCAAATAAACCAAATCGAAACGAGATAACAATGGAGGTGGCAAGTCTATGTTTGCCGTAACGGGCAAGTTTGGATCATAACGTGAGTTTATTGGATTGGCAGAGGCCAAAATAGACGTTCTTGCGTTCAATGTGGTGATGATACCTGCTTTAGCAATGGAGATTGTCTGTTGTTCCATAACTTCATGCAAAACGGACCTCGTTGACTCGCTCATCTTGTCAAATTCATCAATACAACAAACACCACCATCGGACAACACCAATGCACCACTCTCCAAGACCAATTGCTTGGTGTCAACGTCTCTAGTGATGTACGCAGTCAAACCAACTGCCGAAGAACCTTTACCGGATGTATACACACCCCTTGGAGCAATCTTGTGAACATATTGCAAGATCTGCGATTTCGAAGTGGATGGATCACCACAAAGTAAAATATTGATATCACCTCTGTATCTCCCACCTTTCTTAAAAGTCTTGTTGGTTCCTCCAAATAATTGCAAAAGGATACCCTTTTTCACATCATCCATTTCGTAAATGGACGGAGCCAATGACCTAGCCAACACTTCATACAAATCATCTCTTTGTGAGATTTCCTTCAATTGGGCTTCTTCCTCAGAGGTGATTTTTCTAGTCTCTTCCACCTCTTGATCCTTTTCCGCCAATTCATTTTCCAAAGTTGTAATATCAGCTCCAAGACGTTTCTTGTCAATCTTTTTGATATGGACAATGTCCAAATACGTCTTGTACAAACTCTTTAACGCACGTTGTCTTGAATTTGCTCTGACTGGCAATGATCGAAAAATACCACAAACCTCAATACGGTCACCAGCACGACAAGTATCAACCAATTCATCGTAAACGCATAAATTGATTGAATGGGGTGTTTGTCCATCAGGAACCAAATCTGGGGTTTCTTGCAATCTTACAACTTGCTTGTCGGCAAAAGAAGAACGATTGTGAATCAAAACCATTGAGTTTGATTGGCCACAAACTTCTCTTGGACATTTGGTGGGCTCAGAAATGACCCCACGATCAATTTCAACCCCAACTGTGTGCCCACACACATTACATTTGAAAAACGCAACCTTCATATCGGGGATGATTGGAGTGGAACGTAAAGTGAGACCTTTAACACTGACTAATTTATCAATATCGTTTGGATTTAATTCTCTCATTCCCTTTTCCACCAAGTTGATATTGTAAGGCCGAATGGTATACACTCTGGTTTCAACGTCGTCAAGTTTAGCAGGAATATCCTCTTCGTCGCTATCTTGAATTATTTGAATCAAGCAATCCTTAATAGTATGGTCCATAATTGGAATGATTTCTTGCGGATAGTTGATCAATTGATGATACAATTTTCTTGTAGGAGGATAACACAACAAATTCTTTGCATCCAAGTTGAGATTGTTCAACCCCAATTCTCTAATAGTGTTCAACTTGCTCACATAGTACAATTCATGATCCTCGGGCTCAACCTCTTGTTGATCAGCTTCTTTTCTGTACCTATATTTAAAACTCAACAAAAACTCTCTAAAAATTAAAGAACATTCTTGAATCGACACATTCGTACCCCAAATAACTCTTGTTGGTTCATCAGGTTCAACAAGGTCGGAGTTGAATGCCGATGAAGTCGATCTCAATGACGAGTTTTGCCTGTTTCCTCTTGGTTGCGTAAAAGTTCTTCTCAGTGGTGAGGAAGCAGCATCATTAACGTCACTTCTTTGGTGCCTTCTCATAATCCTATCGACATCATGAACACGATTAGCTCTTTGAGAACCAAAGTTACCAATATCGGAAGTTTGATTAACTGATGATGTATAGTGCAAGGGCGAAGAAATGTCATTGACTCTGTTCTGTGAGTTAGCAATATCTGAGCCAGGATTCGACGAATTGAAAAACAATGGTGATGAAGGAACTACCGACTGTTGTTGACTTTGAGATATGGATTCGGAGTTTCTGTCGAGCGAATCACCCATATAGGTGTTTGGGTTATTGCTGCTGCTGTGGGGTGGTGACGACGACATAGTTTTGATTCGGCAAACAACTACTGTTGACAGAAAAAGAAATAGAAAAAGGTGTTTTACAAGATTGGAAAAGAGTGTGTATTTGAGATCTTGATGGAATTTTTTTTGTATCCCAGTTCCACACACACACACAGAATTATTTATTCCACACGCGTCGCATTTGGAGAAAATCATACATAACATTTCCTAATTGGGATTAATTTATTTTTTAATCGCTATCTTTGATACCTCCTTCGCCAATGACATAAACACATTCGCTTTCAGGCATATTTGGACTATCCAATAATTTCCCGACTCTTTCATCACCGCGACCTTTTCTCAACAAGATCCTCGTTGCTGATGCATGAGCCAACACATGACCACCAACTGGTTTCCTACCATCAGCGGCAGCAAATAAGGAGCTGGCTCCAGGATCGCTTTGAACCTGGTTGGTTAAAAAAACGGCCACATTATAATCCTCTGCAACTCTAGTCAAATATGCCAAATGCTGGTTCAATTTCTGTTGTCTCTCATTCAATTCTCCTCGACCAGAGTAATCAACTCGAAAACAAGCCAATATGGAGTCGATTATTAACAACCGGTACGATCCAGTCGCCAATTCAGGACCTAATTGCTCAACCAACTCTATTTGATGCTCGCTATTTAATGCACGGGCATAGGAAATATTTTCGAGACATGTCAATGGGTCTACGTCAAATCTCTCAGCAATGGCCCTGATTCTTTCTGGACGAAAGGTCCCTTCCGTGTCAATGAATGCCACTTTACCTTCTGCACCACCAAGACTCTTGGTTAATTGTGCAGCCACACATAAAGTGTGACATAATTGGGTTTTACCACACCTGTATTCTCCAAAGACCTCAGTGATGCTCATAGAGGTAACACCTCCTCCTAACATGCCATCAAACTGACTTGATCCTGTGGTGATTTTGAATACATTTTCCCGAAGTTCAGCCACAACGCTGGCGGAAACAAACCCAGTAGTCTACTCGTCTGTTAGTTTAAAAATCTCTTTTGTGAGTCAGTTGTTATACATACCTGTATCTTTCCAGCAGCTTCTTTGATCTTTTCCACTTTCACCTCGCTCAAGCCCTTGATCTTGGCAAGGTTTCTCCTTGTGGTTGATAAAACCGACTGTGCAGTGTTAGTAAATATTTCACTACAGTGACTGCAATGAAGACAAGACATACGGCAATTGAGCAAATTCCAGCCAATCTCAACTTGGAAATATCTCCAGCGTTGATCCCTTGATCTTGGAGGAAGTCGATTGATTGTACTTGGTCTGTCAGACTCATTAACAGTTTGGTGTGAAGGTGTTGTGGAGTTTTTGCAACCACGGTGTAGCAAAAAGAAAGTGAAAAATATTCCAAAAAAAAAAAAAAAAAAAGATCAGATAAAGAGTTTAGTACAGGCAACAGCATGAAAGAGTTTAGGAGTTTACATTTGGCTCATAAATCTATTTGGTCTTGGCAGATCTATAAGTATTACATTTAGAGACAGTTTGGACAACTACATCTCTCATATGCTTCCTTCAAAAATCAATGTTCTTCACGGTCTTGCCCCCTTCGGCTGTTTCATTTTCCTTGGAGTCATCCTCAACAGGTATACCCCACTCTTCAATCTCAAACTTCTTTCTTCCATTTTTGAAAGCAAACTCTCCATCATGTATCATCATCAACCCTCTTTCAGATAGCACTGGGAGCTTGATGATATTGACCAACCCTTGTTGTATTTTTGATGGCTCATTCTTGTACGCCTTTTCAATCAATTGACTCATTTCTTGATTGAATGGTTGAAGATGTATGGCAGAGTCAAACAAAATTTCTAAAATGGTGGTTAAACTGGATTCCCTAGGGTACAAGTCGAGTGATATTGAAGAAATGAGAACCAAGTTCTGCTCAAACTGACGAAGCAAAGATCGAAGTGAATGAGCAAGTGGGAAAACAAATGTGGAAGCAGTGTTGTAAGGCGGATAGATGGATGGGTTTAGAAACCCAGGAATGACGAGTCTAATCACTTTTGAGGGGTTACTCTTGAGCTGCAGTTTTATAACGCTAGTGAGCTGATTGACCATGTCCTTGACTGTTCGCGACAAAGGAATGTAAGTGATATCCTGTGGATTGGGCCCTGGCTGCAACTTTTGAGTAATGTCAAATTGATGACTGTAATGTTCATAAGCTACACCCGGTTCACTCTCTTTTTCAACAACGTCTTTCTTATTCAAGCCGTATCTCCATGCAATTTTCATCTTCAGATCATTTCGAGAGACATTAGACCCATGGGCAATATTGGACACACTCACCTTTGACTCATTTTCAGCAATTTTTGCCTTCTTTTGATCTTTTGAAGAACCTTTGTATAGTCCTGGCAAATCGTTTGACCAAAGAGGACTCAATCCGAGTACAATGACATGCGAATTGAACAGATTGGGCTTTATTCTGTTATGCATGACACCCTGCGAGGCGAATGCTCGTAGTAACACCGATGCAAAATCAGTAGTGCCAGATTCTTCCACGAGCAACGAATGGCCCAATGGTAAACCCTGATGTAGTAATATTTTATCCAAGTCGGAACTTCCCGTTGATGTAGTTGGCTGTGAGGTTATAAGTGATGGCCTAACTGCTGGATTGTCTAATATAGAGCTTTCTTGGGTAGACAGAGAAGCTTGCCTTGCAATTGCACCTGGTACTCTTTTGGTAATCGATGACGTAGCTGGTGTGGCAGGCAGCTGTCCCCGACCTGGAGCGCTACCCGGTCTCACTGGTAATGGAGCCTGAGGCCCCCTCTGTGGGGTCGGACCTCCTCCCAACACTTCTCCTCTTTTCCTGAATGACATTGTTTGTTGGAGTTGCTGTAGTTACTTTGAAGCTGAAGATGATGACTTGATAAAAATAACAAGACAAAAAAAAACAGAAGAAAAAGAACAAAAAAAAAAAAATAAAACAGAAGTTACAAGAACAAGAGAACAACATAAACAACAGTTCAACTGTATTGTTAACTATGGGAGCAGCTATATCCTTACCGCTAATGCCAGTGTCGTCCCTTGCGTCTTGCTTTGGCGCGGCAGCATGTTCAGCATTTTGTACATCTATAGGGGGCACCTTTAAATCATCGATTATGACAAGAATAACATATGCGATATTATTGTTGATAAATTCTTTGATATCATGGATCGCTCTATCGCCCTTCATCATTCGGAAAATAGAGAAAGCTACATTCGGTTTCATCAATATCAGCTGCGGCCCTGACGGTAGCCAGTGTATAAGTTTCACTTCTGTGCATAGGATCAATTTTGCCTTGGGGGTGTTGCATTTAATTTTGGCGGGGTTATTGGTCAATGTGAAGTCGACAGCAAACCCCAGAGCCATAATTCAGAATGGATGTTGGAAAATGAAGATTTTTGCATGGATTACATTTATCTTTGTTAACTTTGTTTTGGTTCCCGACAGCTTTTTTGTGTTTTACGGAAACCATATTGCAATCATTTTTTCAACCATCTTTTTAGGGATTGGATTGATACTTTTGGTTGACTTTGCTCACGCGTGGGCAGAAAAGTGCTTGGAAAAGATTGAAATGGAAGAGTTGACCGGAGAAGGCGATGCTGGATTCTGGAAGAAGTTGTTGGTTGGTGGTACGCTAACTATGTACATTGGCAGTATCATTTTGACCGTCGTCATGTATTGGTTTTTTGCAGGCAAAGGATGTTCAATGAATAAGACGGCAATTAGTTTGAACTTGGTGTTTGCAACTATCATATCAGCCATGTCCATTCACAATACAGTTCAAGAGTATAATCCACATGCAGGTTTGGCCCAGTCTTCAATGGTGGTGTTTTACTGCACATACTTGGTCATGAGTGCAGTTGCTTCCGAACCAGATGACAAATATTGCAACCCGTTGGTGAGGTCAAAAGGAACGAGAACCGCAAGTGTGGTGTTGGGTGCCTTTTTCACATTCATAGCTGTTGCGTACACGACGACTAGAGCAGCAGCTAATTCTGCATTTAGTTCAGAATCGGCAGAGGAGTTTGCTACTCCAGGAACAACCACTACAACGCAACCCAGCGCTAGGAGTGAGATGAGATACCAAGCTCTCAAGCAAGCTGTGGACGAGGGCTCTCTTCCTGAGAGTGCCTTGAATCAAGTTGACTTGTACGAAGAAGAAGAGGTTCGTGACGAAGAACGGTCTACTGTGAAATACAACTACACATTATTCCACATAATTTTCTTTTTGGCAACCCAGTATGTGGCAACGCTTTTAACAATCAATGTCAAGCAAGACGACTATGGTGATTTTGTACCGGTTGGCAGAACCTATTTCGCAAGCTGGGTCAAAATTGTTAGTTCGTGGGTGTGTTTTATCTTGTATGGGTGGAGCTTGATTGCCCCAGTTATTTGGCCAGATAGATTTGGTGTACTGTTGTAGAGACAATGTAATGAAAATTGGTTTGTAATGTACTACCCAAATTGGAAGTCAAGATATTTGAATCTAATTGGCTAACAAAACTTTTCCACAACTTTTTTTTTTATGTGAGGGAAAAAAAAAAAAAATTTGTTAGACGAAAAATAACCCAGCTACAACCAGATCATCACATTATCTATTCAACCATGTCGTCAATAATATCTAAAGCCAGTGGATTGGTTAGCTCTGTAGTCACCAAGTCATCAGAAGTTGTCAACTGTGCAGTATACTGGTCAAAAGTTGGTGCTGAATTATCCAAAACCATTTACCAAAAAGAGGGATTGGCCCCACCATCAATCAAACAATTTGAGACTGTCTACCAAAATGCATTTAAATGGTTGAAGAACCCAGCTGAGCAACAAAAGGTTATTGAGCAAGTCAAGTCCTACAAGCCAAATGTTCAAGATGCCGTCAAGTATGGTGTTTATGGTATTCAATTGGCTGGTTTCTTTGCTGTTGGTGAAATTGTTGGAAGAAGAAGAATCTTTGGTTACCCCAAATTAGGTGAAGAACATCATTAATAGAGATGGATATAAAACGTGTATTATAAGTCAATAGTATTCAAGGGGGGAAGAGAAAATGATAAATATGTTTTGCTCTGTTTAACTTGCTCCTACTCGGTCCCAGCCTCCAACTGTTTTCTTCTTTTGGAAGCGGCTATCATCTCTTGCTTTTGTTTCCTCTTTTGCTTTATAACTTTTGGCACTGTACTAATCTTTTTCCGTTTCACTTCATGAGTTTTGATGTTTTTCTTTTCCTTCTTGCTAAGCTTGCCCATATTCTCCATCCACGCACTAAATCCCGACTCACATCCTGATTGTTTCATAACATTGATGATTGGCTTGACAGCTTTGTCATCTTCTTTGGTGAAGAATGTGACTGCCCTACCTGTTCTTCCACCTCTCCCGGTTCTACCAATCCTATGCACATACGCTTGTGCGCTTTGTGGAACATCATAGTTGATGACCAAATTCACGCCTTTGAAGTCTACACCTCTCGCGAGCACGTCAGTGGTGATGAGGACCCAAATGTCTCCATTCTTGAACCTCTTTATCACCTCATCTCTTTGCTTTGGTGTCCTTTCTGCATGAATCACATCGACATTCAACTTATCGTAAACCAACTCATGGAACAATGCCTTGGCTCTGGTGATGGATTGTAAAAAGATTATAATCGGCGGTTTAAACTCTCCGTTTTGTACCATTTGCCTAATGGCCAACAACTTACCTTCTTCATTACCGGTGAAGACCAATTTTTGATCAATTGTGCTGCTGGCAGCCTCTTTGTGGCCAATGATAACCCTAATGGGATCCTTCATAATGGAATGGGCCATTTCTTCAACACCTGATGGAATGGTGGCAGAAAACATCGATTTTCGTATCTTGTTGTTTGTCAAGTGATTTAATATTTCATCAGTTTGCTCAGCAAATCCATGGTCAAAGAGTTTATCAGCTTCATCAATGACCAATTGCTCTACTTTTGACAAATCGATCTTGCTGTTTTTTACAACATCAATCAAACGTAATGGCGTAGAGACAATAATGTGGTACTTTGATGCCTTCACAATATCGTTGTTTAATTTGCTTGCTAGTTGCTTTGATAGTATGCCAATTGTGAGGTTCTTGCCCTTGACCAAAGTGTCCAACTCTTGGAATATTTGCACTGCCAATTCATTGGTTGGGGAGATGATCAACCCTCTTACTCCAAAGTTTTTGCCAGTTTGTCTTGTAATGAGTTGCTGAACCAATGGGATCAAGAAAGCCAACGTTTTACCAGACCCCGTGGGAGCACACGCAATCAAGTCCCTATTGGATAACGATATTGGTATTGATTCACATTGAATTGGTGTGGGCTCAATAAAGTCGTTGTCAATAAGATTGGACAAGAGTTTTTTGTCGATTTGAAACCTTCCGATCATGTCTTCGAATGAACCTATGGGGATGGGAATGTCATCACCGGTCACTTTTGATCGATGTAGGTTTCTAAACTTTTTGGCATCTTCTTCATCCTTCAACTGCAAAGGAGGAGCTTCGTCCTCTTCATAGTCATCTTGCTCTTTGGATTCAACTTCAGAATTTGCCTTCTCTGATACGTGTTTTGCAAGCTTTTTCGTGTGAAAGAAATCAGTCTCCTTCTCAACTTGGGACAAGATTGATTCTTCTTTATGTTTTTGATTTTTGTTTTGTTTGTCTGACGGGAGGGCGTAGTCAGTAGTCACATCTTTTGACTTCTTCAACGAAGCTCCTCTACTCAATATTCTAAAGATATCCATGTTGTTTTACTATGCTTTCTTCGGTAGTGGAGATGATCATCGCACAGGAAAGGAACTCTCATAATTTTTCGCCAAAGTTTGAAGTGCGACTTTCACGCTACCTATTTTCCATTCTGTCTTTGGAGAGAGAGAGAAAAAAAAAAATTTTTTTTACTGAATTTTCACCATTACCAGGTAACAACTTTGTTCAGAGCATTCGTTTCCAAGATGAGTATACGACAGACCATTCAATATACCAGTCGAAATATAAGCTCTCGCTCTTATACGCCCACTATTTCCTTCATCAGATCACTTTACTTACACAAAGGACCGAGGGTTGAAGGGTTGAAAAGGGACCCCAAAGAAGTATTTGTAAATCACAATGGCACAGAATACGAACTTAACCAAGACAACATTCAACACATCAAATCATACCTTGGGTCAAGGTACCAGATCCCTGACGAGATAGCATTACAGATTATCACCCACAAGTCATTTGGCAATGGTATCAAGCCATACAATGAAAAGTTGGCAGCAATGGGTTCAAAGCTATTATCTTTATTTGCTGCCAAACACGTTGTCAAGAAACACACGGAAAAAGATGCAAAATTGGTGATTGAAGGTAAGAACTTGTCAATATTGGGCTCACGGGCAGCAAAAGAACTTTACGGAAGGAGTTCAACTGGATATTTTGCCAAACTTAATGGATTGAATAACACAATGTTTTGGAAATCGAGGAACCCAACATTGAGGTTTGAATCTAGTGGAGAGTTGAAAGTCAGTTCACAGTTGCTATATAGTTTGATTGGTGCGGTTAATATCTACCACGGGAAAGCCAAAGCGGAGGAATTTATCAGTGAGAATTTGATAAAGGGGTTGGAGGAGATTACAAAAGAGCTTGTACATAGAGGATAAAATAAACAGGTGATTGCATTTCTTGTTAATGTAAACTAGATTATCCCACACCAGTCAGTAGAATCTTGTTTGAGCGGAGTATTAACTTTCAATACTAAAATGATATTGATTTTATTCGTACAAAACTAAATAAAGTAAAAACAAAGAAAACAGGAGTAAAGGTACTTATGATTTGTATTGAGATTTGGCAGCTTCGTAACCCTTTTGGAATTCATTGTGAGCTTCCCTTTGCAAGTGTTCTGGCAATTGAGCAATCTTTGAGTCCAAAGCATCGTTACCAGTCTTGAAGGAGTGGGAACCTGCTCCGGAGTGACCAGTAGATGATCCAGTACCATATCCAGCACCAGTGGAACCGGTGTTGGAAGAGCCATAAGCGTTAGAACCAGTGTTGGAAGAGCCATAAGCGTTAGAACCAGTGTTGGAAGAACCATAAGCGTTAGAACCAGTGTTGGAAGAACCATAAGCACCAGAACCAGTGTGGGATGATCCGTGACCAGTCTGTGATGAGGTGTTTCCACGGGTGTCGTAAGCACCAGTAGCACCTCCTTCAGTGGTGGATGGGGCGTGCTTGCTTGCATCTTGGTGACCGTGGTGGTGTTTAGATGATGTGTTGCCATATTCACTACCGTCGTAACCGTGAGATGTGGCGTTTTGGTTACCGTAAGCACCAGTGGAAGCTGGTTCGCTACCGTAGTAACCTGAACCATATTCATTGTTTGGGTCTAACTTGGAGCTGTGGTTACCGTGAGACCCTGAGTTGGAAGATCCGTAAGCAGCAGCGCCTGCAGCACCAGTAGCACCAGTGGCAGCATTGTGGTTACCGGATGAGGCATGGTGACCAGAAGAACCGTGGTGACCGGATGAAGTGTTGTCGTAACCAGATTGACTTCCATAAGCGTTGGAGGTGGTAGAACCAGATTGGTTTCCGTATCCAGATGAAGTGGTACCAGATTGGTTTCCGTAACCTGAAGTGGTGGTACCAGATTGGTTTCCGTATCCAGCAGAAGAAGACTTGTCACCGTAGCCTGAAGAAGTAGTTCCAGATTGGTTACCGTAACCTGAGGAGGTAGTACCTGAGTGGTTACCCGAAGTTGATGATCCAGCACCGTAACCTCCAGCAGCACCAGCAGCGCCAGCGCCAGCACCGGTTCCAGCGGCAGTACCAGCACCAGATCCCGAACCAGTTCCTGAGCCAGATTTCTTTGCGTTGTATTCCTTGTACTTTTCTTGAGCTAAGTCAGTACCGGTTTGGCCATCTTTTCCACCAGCGTATTTACCAGCTTGTTCGTTGTAGTTGTCAACGTCGTCTTTCTTGATTCCTTTCAATTTGTCAGTTAAACCCATTTTGTATTGATATCTAGTGTGTAGTTAATAGTAGATGTGTTAAAAGTATACGGTTGAGTTCCACTTGATGAGGAGTGGGAAATTAAGACGGTATTTATAGCAGTTCTTTGGTGAAATCCAATTGCAAAAACTGTGGTGAAATTTTACATCGCCACGTTTTCACTTTCTCTTTGTATATGGTTGCTGTATATGCATATACAAAAATGTTGCTTGCTGTCTCCATTGTCTGTTGTTTCCTCTATATACACTATAAATTCTTTTTTATGTAGATGACACAACCAATCCACAAATATACACACACACACTTAAGCCTAGATGCATATATGCACTACTCCCTCCCACGTCTCTTGTTGTATACCTCTATTTTTAACTTTAACTCTTGTTTCTCTCTAGTTGTTGTTTGCTATTTGGGTGTATTGGATGCAAATCTCTCTCTCTTTTCTCGTTTGCGGTATGTAACAAATATTCAATAGTACATGATCAGTAGTTGTGAGGAGAAAAAGACATTATTACAAACTACAAATGCAAAAGTGAATGCAGAGTCCGTTTCTTTACACTCAATTGGTTGGCTTGCTAATTTCTCGAGAGAGCGCTGCCTTCCGGAGTTTGTAAACTCTAGACCTTCTCCCCCCCCTCCTCACTCCCTCACTCCCTCACTCCCTCTGTCGGTAAGAACAGCAACCAATTGCGTTACACACAATGATCAAAAAGCATTGGTTTCAAATAAAATTAATTACCAATTGGCCGAGATCCGAGATCGCAACGTTTTGTGGATTACACAGCAAAGACTGTGGTGGTGTGTACAAATTGGACCTTTGCTATTTATTTTTTTTTTTTGGCAGAATTTCAGGTTTACTTTCCTCCTCCACACTTTTTGTCCCTCGTTTTCTACTAGTGACACAAAATGCAAAAGACCGAGAAATTGCAGTTACGTAATAGTTAGAGGGTTTTTTTTTTTATTTTTTTTTTCTTTTTTTACAAAAAATTGTGTTGTGTGTCCATACCAAAACAGAAATAGGATCTGATTACGTCATAATACTTATAAGGCACCACCAATCATCACTGTGAGTGGATATATATATCACGTCCGTTGATAGTTTCAAAAGTCGAAAAAAATCATGACCTAATGGGCAGAAATCTTTGCGCTTAGCCACCTCATCTCGGTATAACCACAATTCAACTTTGTAAACGTCATCTTCATGCAATGCACCTTATAGAATCGAAGAAGGAGCCACATACAGGAAACAATACTCTAATTTCAATCTATTTGCATTGTAATTAATTTTTTTCGACTACAACAGGCACCTTGAGACGTGCAACGTCACCATTACTCAACTCAAAAGTCAATCTCAAGTGATACGATCTTGTCATGAAACAAGATTGGAAATCAGGCACCAAATTAAATCTATTGTAGGACTTGTCATGAGCTGCACTAGTTGGGACTCCCTTCAACGATAATGACGCCAAGTTGATATTCAAATTGAAAGCCGATGTTGCTGCACCATCACCATTATTGGTCCACTTCAAGCCATTGCTTTTGTAGTTGTATATCCCACCATTAACTAAAAGATCCCCCACGACCAAATTATTCAGTTTCTCTTCAATCTTGCATATCGATTTCAAATCATCGACCAATTGTTTCTCTATCCGGAAATTTTGCAACCCTAGCCTTTGCGACAAGTGATATAGTTCTGTTGACTGCTTCTGCAATGGTCGCACAATATTGTTGGTGAAGGTGTCAAGGTCAACATCGCGCTTACTATTGTTGGGAAACTTGTTGTAGATCAAGCAATGATTAAACTCGAGGGCAATTGGAGATGTCAATGACCTCATTGTGTGCACAACCAACTCTGCGTTGATATTTTTGATTGTTGGTGGTGTTTGGTTAGTATCACTTGATGGAAATATGGTTGTCAATTCAATGGGCACGGTCAATTTCCAGCTTTTTTCCAACTCCTCAATCGACTCCTCTCTGAATCTGCACGGAGGAATGTACTTTACTTGGTAAACTTGTTTTGGTGACTTGACTTGTAAAACTCCTTGATTTTTCAAGCCGGTAATTGACCTCTTCATCAATTGAACGAGTACCTCGTAATACTCCAACTTTTTCAAGTTGGACTTTATATCTCTTATTGAATCTGCGTGTTGGTACGACTGGGCCATTTTGGCAGCTTCGATTTCTTCCTGTGTGAGATCAGGCGACAATTCAGGAACTGTTCTTGATTCCAATGCCTTTTCCAATTGGTGTCCAATATCAATCTTATCCTTGACACGCTTGACCAAGTTGTCATACAACAACTTATTCTCAACCAACTTCATCAACCTCTCATTCTCGGTCACGACATTTGTAGTAGGAACCACTCGAATGTAATTGGTCAACTCCTTCAAAATAATATATTCGTCACCTTTGGAATTGACCAACTTGGCATGATCCTTGTGTTTTGGAGTAACGATTTTCCCAAAATTCACTTCCCACGTTGATTTCCTACCAATGAATCTTGCCATTACTCCATACCCCACTGACGTGTTTATAATTGAAAAATCTTTAATCTTGTTCAAGTCTCTTTCAGGGTAGTGAGCAACTTCCCATCTAGACAATCCAATAGTTGGTGGTAACTCAACATGCTTGGACAAACTGTGCTCACTGCATTCTGAATCAAGTAGATTGTTGGGAATCTTGAATGAAAAGAACCGTTTGTAAACACGATGAGGTAAGATTTCCTTCTTAGGACCAAAGTACAAATACGCCCCATCCAAGGGATCAGTTGTGTTGCCGAACTTACATAAGTATGGATTTTCGGAATCTGTGACCAATCGGTTTATGTGGCCCTCATTCCAACTACCATAAAAATCAAACATTTCCAAAAACCGACGAATCTTTACTGGTTCCAACTCCTGCGGTCTCTTTTCATTAGCAACCATGAAATTTCCCTCAAATAACAAGTAAAACATCTCAAATGGAATGGGTCTGTCGGACGTGTTTTTAATGGTGATGTATCCATTCAATAAGTCTCCTTGGGTATACTCATAAATAGACGGATCAATCAACTCGGGCGCTTTGCCAACTTCACCAATGTCTTTCGTATAAAACACCTCGAGCTGTACAGCTTTGGAAATTTCTTGTTTTTCAAATGTCATATTAGGCAACCGGTGCACATTATCCAATATCGTCTCCATCAAGTTGGCATTTTCATCAGCAACAATCAATGGGATGTCATCGATGGTGGAGGTTGAATTGACCGGCGCCACGCGTCGGTTTTGAGACTCGGATACTGAGGTCGGGGTGGTGGAAGCGGCGGAAGAAGAGGAAGCAGAAGTGGTGGTGGCTTCTTGCAAGTGGTTACTCTCTGAGCTGGTATGGGCCGACAATTCCGAATTGTTGCAACTGTACACCGGTGGCGGTAAGTCGTCCTCGTTGTCCTCGGGGACATTGACATTCATCCCGACTGTGGATGTGTACATGGAGTACGATGGTAGGATTGTGCTTATTGTCTCATCAAACGATTGGGTTTTGGAATAATTTGGTTTCGAAGTCATGGATTGCTTCTTGCTGGTAATGTATGAATTGATACAATTAAGTAAAGGTACAACAAAGAAGTTTTACTCTGAGAATATTTATTTGGAAGGACATGCTGGCCCTTTTTTAAATAGTACATGGAGGTATAATAAATTTCATATCCACAATCATTCGTATGACTAATCAAGATTTTTAGGAAAAGCTTCGTATTTTGTCTTCTTTGTGTAATGAGATCTCTGCAACGGAGAGAGAGAGAGAGAAAACAAAAATACGGTACAAACTCACGCCGTCGCCGTTTGAGGTGCTGCAGCACACGCGTATTACAAATCCAAGCAGGTGACTTACCACTAAAGGAGACTGCGCACTTGGTGTGCTTGGACTAACTAGAGCATGCGAGATAGTTGGCGGCTACTGAGATCTCCCAATCTCCCAATCTCCCAATCTCCCAATTCCGGTGAAATTGAATATCAGCTTTTGTTGGAATCAGGTTACCCCGCACTACGGATACCTACTCCACGCATCCCGTATAGCACATTCATATTTTGAGGATTCCACGAGATCCTACAAGATCGTCTCTATATCCATACATCTACTCAGATGCTCCAAACTCAGTCATCACACGTCAAAGCATGTAGTTTGCCACTACCTTTTGATGTGAAAATTGAGTTTCCGCGCTAACGCCGTATCTTTTTCTTTTGCGTTCGAGCGGCGAATGCGCATTCACATCCGCATTTACCCGAATCACGGCTTTGACTACATCTCTACTCTGAGATTTCTATTGGCCCCAGATTATATTTAGAGCCTCCTCGCATAGAAACTTCGAGCGTCTTTGAGCAAGCTAAAAATGTAAACCTAATTGAATCAAAGGACGTAGGATATACGATGGAATATTCTAGATGGATTTAACAAAAGATCCCGCTTGTGACTCATTGAACTACCACAAAAATACATATCCCTTCAACTTATGGAGGGATTGTGCAAGGGAGAATTATCGGCTACATTTCACGAATTTACATTACTTCCAATTCGACTTTATCTCCGTCTTATTGTCTATTACGTCTACTCTCTCTATAATTTCACCTCTTGCAATACTTTAGCTCAGCATACCGCAACACAGGATAAACTATCCCACTAAACCCCATACACAACCACATGGCAATATCACCACCATACTCACCGCCAATTCTACGTGCAATTGGACCAACCCAGTATGTCTGTGCCATCCCCACTGCTGCGCCAGTAGCTCCAATAATAAACGACGCAGTAGCAGCCCACCCGTGAGTTAGCTTATCGTAGTCATTCCATATATTGAAATTGTAATGATGATTGGGACGGCGAAGTAAATGGGCGGGGTTGGCACTGTTGGTTTCAGCCTCTTGTCCCAATTCATTGATGGAAGATGACGGTGATGTTGATGTAGAATCATCTTTGGCAAATTCTAATTTGTACAAATGGTGGAATCTGCTAGTACGGAATATGGTATTTTCCTCAAGCAACAATATGAAATACATTGAAATCCAGTATCCAATCATTGGCAAGAAATTGCCCAAAATCGTTGAAAACTCATTCCGACCAACTAATGCCGCCACCAAATATACAGCAGTGATTGCAATTGCCCAAAGCCATCTCGGAATCTTTGCAAACACTGTACCTGCCAATTGTAATCCAAATGCTGCCGAGTACGTATTGAGAATATTATTTGAAATTAACGAAAGGAAAATGACAACGAGCAAGAACTTGCCGCCACCTCCCCATGGCTTAAATGCTTCATTCAACAATCCACCCATTCCCCATTTCGCATATGCATCACCCCATGGCTTGTATCCAAGGGCAACATTGCCAATGAGTAACCCAGCAACACCGACAAACGTGGTGGGGAGGAAAATGCCCAACAAAGTGATACAAAACACTTGCACATCTGGTGTATCCTCAGGAAAGAGAATGTAGTAGTCAGAAGCAATCCCACCCCAAGTTGCAGTTATGGAGTAGCATAACGAAAAGAAACTTAGCCAGTTGCCCTTGATTGTGGCAGAATCAGTAATGGCATCATCCAAGGTCAAGTATTGGAATTTCTGCGACGCAACAATGTACAACAACAAGAATGACAAATTGACAGGTATGCTAAGAAACGTTTCCACTCTCAACAACTGCTTGATCCCACCAATTGCAACAAGAAGCGTGACACCAGCAATAATAACAATCCCCGCCCACAACGGGACCCGATCATCGCTCAAACTAGCCAAAATCTGACCACCGACAACACAATTGACGACTGACCATCCAGTGACCCCAATAATATTGACCAACGCCACGAACTTCACAAACCACCATCCAAAGAGGAATCTTGCACTTACCATTTGTCGACATCCGGATCTGGGCCCCATCACTGAACAATATGCCGCGATGAAGCATCCTAACGTGTGGCCTACAAGTCCTGCAATTAACGTGTTGCGCAATCCGAGTTCGAATAACAAGGGGCCGAGGTAGAAAGATGACATGGATGAGAGTCCACCACAGGCCGAGAACCAGAATCCAATGACGCTGATTAGTAATTTTGTCGTGTTGGTTGACCGTTCGTTTGGTAGAATCCTCTCTATTCCTCTGGTTTCTACTCCTAGTGAATCTAGTTTTTCTGATGCAAGATTGAGATAGTGGAAGATGGAGTAGTGAGGTTTAGGTTGAAGAAGCGAGGTGGATGATGATGTTGATGTGGAAGATGTAGTTATGGTGAGATCATTTGTAGGTGGTGTCTCCTTTGTCCGCTTGTCGATATCGGATACCATGGCCGCTTCGGATTTGGACATGGTGATGGGTGAATAAAGAGGAGAAGGGGGAGGAACAAAGAATGTTAATGCCGCATCGCTATTGATATAAACATTTGTTTTTTCTTTTTTTCTTTTTATTTTATTTTTTTTTTAATTTTTAATTCGTAATTTTGAGTCATAAAAGGAGTCAGATATATCCTCTGCACCTTTAACGGTTTTACGACTCCCAACTTCTCTCTGCGCCACAGTTGTGTTGATAATGCAATATAATCTATAAAGTGTATCTTCTATACGTCTCTAATTCTTCTCAATAGATACTCTTTTCTATTGAACCACAATTCACTCTCTTTCGCGGCGTTGCGGGTGCCACCATGGCCCTCACCAGTGGTCCGACCTTGATAAATGTCCAACACATTTGGCAAAAGTCGATCAATTTGCAGTTTCGACTTTGCTTCAAGCCATTCCTTCATTGAAAGTAAGTACCACAACGCCGAAATTCTGAACTTTGTCAGTCCCATTGATGATTTCGTTGGTTGCAATTTGAGCTTGTTTCCATACACTCCTTCTTCTTCTTCTTCTTCTTGCTCTTCTGGTGGGTTGTTGTTCTTGTTTGCTTGATTCATAGCCACATCCGGACCTGAATATTTTCCCGATGTTATGAAATACCTCCCACTGTTGTATCCCAATCTCTCTAGCAATAGCGCTTTGATTACCGAGTAAGGCGCATTAGACATTGAAGTATCGAAATCCACAATGAGCTTATGCAAGTATTTCTCAATGAGATCAAACCACCAAATAGACTGCTGGTAAGTTTGACTCATTAGTAATAGCAACTCAACAACAATCACAAAACTTGCTATACTATACGTTTTCAAATTGAATCGCGACTTGAATGTATAAGACAAATTATCCATGTACGGTTCAATTATGTCATGTTTAATTCGACGCAAAGTGTTTCTGTCGGGTGTAACTGTTGAGTTTGTGGTATGCTGTAGCAATAGGGATACGATACACATTTCCTGAGTCGACGCAACGTAAAGCCATGCTCGCTCATTACTATAGTCCTTACGTACAATGTCATAGGTTGAGTATGCATATTTGTAATCCTTGAGCATCAAGGACCAATCGGCAAGCTTTCTTGTTATCTGTTCAGGTGACGATTTGTAGTATTGGTTCTCTCGGTGATTAAATGACGTGTGACTATGTGAAGCTGATGTGGTGGATGTTGATGAAAGTAAATTTGAGTCACTATTATTGTTGAAAAGTTTCCTAGATGCCGAAAAAAATCGTCCCGTTATTGACTTCTTGGGTTGCAACACTTGGTCATCCCATGCACGTACCTTATTCTGCATGTGAGGTATAAGGTACTTGTTGATAAATGTATTTACTCCAAATTTAATAGAAGTGTCAACTGACTGGGGTATTGTAAATGACGATGTTAAATCATTGAGGGAAATCCGTTGTAGATGCTCTTCAATTGTGCAATTCTCCACCAATGACAAAGTCTCTGTTTCTAGTTCTGGTTCTGGTTCTCCCTTTTCATCGTGGCTTGACTTTATGGCAAGCAAAGTGGATTCTATATTCAATTTCAGTCTGATATTCAGTTGAAACCCTGATAATTCATTAGCATTATATTTTGATGAATCAAATACAATAAACACATGCATTAACAAGTCGTCAATTTGGAAATACTTTGGAAAGTTGTAATTTCTAAACTCAACCATCATTTTGCGTAAGTCATCCACCGAGTCGTTATCATAATCAATAACAAACACTTGAGCTACTGGGTGATTAAAAGTCTCAAATGCAGTTGGTCTGTTTGAAGTAATGATTTTGTCGAGAAATGTCAAGTACAAGTCTTTTTCATTAGATTGCTCGTTTTTAGCGGCATGACGCAAGTACTGTTCCAATGAAGATATGCGAAATAGCTGTTCTAACTGTGGAGCATCATGTGAAGCGAAGTTTGGGATGTTCCCCAAAGAGTCACTTGTGGATGATGAACTCAGATCTCTACTGGAGACACTCACGCCATCATGGCTTCTCCTTTGCTTCTGTTGTTGTTGTTGTTGTTGTTGTTGTTGTGATTGTTGACGGTCCTGCTGTTGAGCAGTGATTACCGATAGTATTTCTGGTAAAGAAGAATCAAATCTGATGGGGAAGTGATCATGACTTTTTGTGATTAGTTGAGTATTGGTGATTTTAAATTGTTGATTAGGTATGGCATATTTAATGTTGTTACCAAAAGGCTTGAAAATTTGCAAAGTGGTGGATATCGATGAAGCATCATTGCCGTTGTTTAATATCGACTGAAAGTATAGATCAACATTGTGTGATGACTGTAAAGACACCAGTGGTGAGAATGAGTGAAATAGTAGGTGCTGTTTGGAGACATGAGGGTCCAAACCTTTGGGATAGTCCATTGAAGTTGGCTGATTGCTTGAAAATAGAGGATTTAGCGGGGGTATGTACTATATTTTACCGTTGACTCGCGTATATCTAGAGAGAGTATGTAGAAGAAAAAAATAAAAAAAGTGAAATGACATGAATTTTTAATGTCGCGGTTTTCGATAACTCGACATTGAAAGAATTTCTAAAAGGTCCTCAAAATTTCGGTCGATAGCATAGAGTTTCGAATTGAAGGTTGAGAATAAAACCTTGTTGAAGCAGGTGCGTTTGCAAGAAGCATTTCTGCTCTCAACTCATTGGGCATTGCAACAAGTGGATTTCAATTAGCCATGCACTTTGCCAAAATTGTTACCACTAGCTAGACCGCATGTGGCTACATATAGCAGTATACGCCGGCTCAAGGGAGTTTGAAAGAACTTTTCCATCAAGTTGCTAACGTAAATGGAAGCAGAGAAAGAGTTGAAGGTGCATATCAACACAGGCATTTAGTTGCTCTTTGCAGAGCAAAACAGAGTGATCCTTCTCTTATTCCTGAACACTCTAAAACCACATTGAAACACATACGATGAGCTTCAAGGCATCAGTTATCAAAGTGATTATAGCATATAGGGAGGATCCAAGTTCAACTATGATTCCAGTGCAGCCGTGCGTATACAAGAAACTGTGTCGTGTTTGCAACATTCTGTGTCTTTAGATCTTATCTTTCTGTGTATATGTGTGTCTGAAACAAATTTAATACACGGAAGAAAACAGAGAGATTACACAAACCCGCGTTTCTTTTGCATTGTGCTGTTTTATGTAAACACCCAAATCGCATTACTTTACAACAGACACTTCATTTTTTTTTTTCGTCAAGGCAAACTTTCTGTCGTGTTTTTGCCTTGACATTGACGCGACAGATAGCACAGGTACCGATATACTCAAATGCCTTAACTTGGCTGATATACGAAACCAGGCCCACTGAGTTCATAGTCTGTATATGTCTACGCCAAATAATGGAGAATGCTGTTTCCACAACGACATTACAGTCTCTTACATACACAAACCTACGCGAAAATTACGAGTGCACAATGTTTAACCAGACACAAACAAACAAAAAATGAAAACAGACACCAAATTTATTTTTATTTTTTATTTTTTTTTTTTTTGTTGATTCTCTTTCTTCAGACACTTTTTATACTTCTTCTTCTTCTTCTTCTTCTTCTTCTTCTTCTTCGTCTAAAGTGTTTTTTTTTTTTTCTCTCTCTCTCTTTTTCTCTTTTTACAACCAAACCATTCAGCCTCATTCACCAGGTCATATAGACACCACACCATCAACCCATTCGTCCCACATCTACATTGAGTAGCTTTCACTAAATCACACCATCAAAACCAATCAAAGCTTACTTGTCCACTCGTTTTAACAACACTTCTACTTTTTTCTTTTCCATTCTTTTTTCTTTTCTGTTTTTTATTTTTTTTTTTTGCTCGAAAGGACCAAATCAAATCTTTGTTTTTCAAGTTCGTCGCCAAAATCACCAGATTGTCAAAACAACATCTACAACCTGAGATACAGATACACAAGGACTTGATATGGGTTGGTATAAGGATATACTACTACAGATCCTACTACTACTTCTACTAAAGTGTCTGACAATTCTAGCTGATTCCAGCTCTGTATTCCAGAATGTCACCCAACCACAGCTTGATTATGGATCAATTGGAGATCGAATAGGCTTCTTTGGATCATTTTCAGCTGTGAGCTTCTATAACCACAGAGGTGCATCAGATCAACTCAGCTTACCTTCAAACTCACCAAACAATGCACTTGGCAAACGAGACAATTCATCATCATCAACAAATACAAACTCAAACTCAAATACAAACACAAACACAAACAGTCTCTACGTGCAAGACCCAACAAGTAATTACAATTTAAAATATGCTGACCTCGATGGTCCAATTAATCAACTATACAAACTATCCGACAACACTGTTATTCTAAATGGTGACTTCACTACATTTAATGGTAAACTGGTGAAAAGTCCATTAATTTACAACATCACTTCAAATTCAACCACTGATATAATAACAGACGACGACAAGGTCGATGGACATGTCAACACAATCTTTATTGACAACGACTTGGTTTATCTTGGGGGTAACTTTACCTACAACAATACCGTTGGAGCAGCAATTTACAACACAACATCAAACAAGCTTTCGTCCACACTATTCCAAGGGTTTGGTACCAATGCATCCATCAATTCAATTGCTAAGCTAGCGGACAAGGATGACAAGACTTTGGGGTCAATTTTGTTTGGTGGTTCTTTCAACACTTTGGGCTTGTCGGATTTACTAATACACAATCTAACCACGAATTCAACACATCATCATAATGAAACAAACTCCACTATTGTAAACGCTGAACAACAAATATCCCTCAGGCATGGATCGTTTACCGCTGTGAATGCAAAGGACAACAGTCAAAATTCACTTGTCATATGTCCATCAGAAGACCATATATGGGAAGCAGCTCCAAGTTCCGGAGCAGAGTGGAAAGTTGAACTTCCTGACGAAATGAAAGGAGTAACTCCAACCAAGGCTCGTATCTACATACCCGAAAGCAACAACGGAATCAAGTTGTTTAGAATTTACTCCTACCCCAATAACGGTATCATGAATTTGACATATATCGACCCCGCAACCAACGAGTTGCAAAATTGTGACGCTTGGTGTCCATTGGTGGCCTTTGACCAGTTGAACGATCACGTGGAAAACAACATCGATAATGCTACTGAGCTAAATCGAGATGATGTTTTCGTTGACGAAGAGGATGGAACATACTTTAGATACTACGATCCTAGCACTAAAACTAAGAATTTGGGGTACGGAGCCAATTTCCAGGAATTTGCCTTTGTTGATTCCATTAGTTTTGACTCTATTGGCTTGACTATTATCGACTGGTTTGGCGAACAAGGGGCATTTTCTGGTTTTGAGTTGTATCAAAATTCCATACAAGTGTTTGGAAATAATACATTGAATGAACCAAATTGCGGCAGTGATTTTGGAAAAAGTAACAATAATTATGCCGAGATTGTTTCGGGTAATTTTCAATCAGTGAGAAATGTTTCAGCTGCGGTTACAAACACCGACTATTTGGTGAGTTACGACGCCTCAGCAAAGATTGCATTGTACCCAAATGTTTCTTATTCGGGGGAGTACTCCATCATAATGACCACCCCAGGTTGCGCAATTGACAATTCATGCTCACAAAGAGTCATTGTTAATGTAACGGTATTTGGTGATGACAATGGCATACTATCATCCAACTTGATTCACCAAAATAACGAAAATGTCAAGTTTGATTACTTGTATCATGGCCATTTGAATGGATCTGATGACGGCGCTAACAGGATTGAGGTTCTGTTTTATGATACTATTACCCCTGGTGCGGCAAATCCATTCATGGTAGTTGACAAAGTAGTGGCGAATATTGTGTCATTGGACCTGTATTACGATCGAAACAATACTAATCACACAAGAAGCTCATTGAGGTCCAACTTGACTCGAATTGAATTGAATGGATTGTTTGAATATTCGTTGGGTAATTTCTCCGAATTCGATGAAAATTTGGTACATCACAAGATGGACAACAAGACAATTTTGAGTCCAAACAACACCTACATTGGTAATTCGTCTATCAACTTGTTGAGTAGTCGCTTCGCGAATGACTCTATTGTTGATGAAATCAATGTCCACGATGATTCGATATTTTTGGTTGGAAACTTTGAGTCAGACAGCAATAACCTAACATTGTCGAATAATAATTTGATAACTTTGAATGTCTCGTCTTACAACACCACATCAAATGAATCTAGTATAGACTTGCCCACAACTTTGAAGAAGAGGGACACACAAAAATTTGAAGGTGCAACATTCAACAACTCCATATCAAGAACATTTACTCTCAACAATGGGTTGTTAGTGCTTGGTCGATTTAGTTTAACGGGCACCACAGTCAAGGATCTTTCCAACAAAAACGATACTGCTTCACAAGCGAATAATTTCGCGATAATGTCAAACGACAATGAATGGTTTGGTTTTGGAAATGATTACGAAGATGTTGAATTTGATCAATTTGCTGGCTTCACAATTGATGGCGTTGAATACTATGTGTTTTCAGCACAAGGCTCATACTTTAGGACATGGGACAACACCAATTTCAAGTGGTCTAATCGTCAATTCAATTTAACACAAGCGGCATCATTAACGTCACTGTTGCAAGTACTCGGAGGGTCCGGTTTCAATGTTATGGATTATTACACCAATGATCAAGCATACATCCAAAGTGCCAATTTTTCCAAATTTGGCATTGACGTCTCGAAAAATGTCAATAGCTACATTTCTAAATCTTTTTACGTCAACAGTTCCGTCAGTGTCATTGGCGGTAAATTCAACTCAAGTAATGTTGAAAATGTTGGAATCATCAGTAACAAAGACCCGTCAAATACAATTCAACAGCTACAGGGTGACATTTTGTGGAATAATGATACCATCATTCAGTCATTATATGCAGATGGCAACAGTGAGTACTTGTTTATTGGTATGAACTCGTCGGTATCACTCGAAGATGAGGAAATCACCGGACTCATCATATATGATCTTAAGAACAACACTTTTGCGTCATTCCAACCAGCTGCACTCTCAAATAGCAATGGCAATCCAATCAGTGTTAATTCGATAGTGTTGTATGATGACGGAAACAAATTGCTCGTTGGTGGAGACTTTGATACTGCCGGGTCACTAAGTTGCAAATCCTTGTGTGTTTACGATATTGCCAATACGAGGTGGCTTGATCCACAAAATGACAATACTGGCCAGACTTCCACCATCGGCGGAGTCATTACTGATATGAAGTTTTACACATCGAGTAGAGTTCTCATATCCGGTAAGAACTTGACCCTTGATAATCAAGATGTTGTATTTCTTACATACAATTTCAAGGGCGGATCTTTTGATACTGACTCGGCTTTAAATGCTTTGAACAAGCCTGTCAACCGCTTTATTTTGAATGATCGTTCAAATAAGGAACTGAGCGGTAGAATGATTGCAATGGGAGACGAATTCATTTCTGGATTCGATGGGTCCAAATGGTCCCGCATTGATGACCAAATTGAATACTCTGATTCAAACTTCGCGGTGTTCCACGACTTGAAATTGTTGACCTTGTCGAAATCATCTTCATACAATGGGGATTTGTTTGATAATGATCGTATTTTGCTTGTTGCCGGAACTTTCCCACTCAAAGACTATGGCCTCCTCAATATGGCCTTGTTCAATGGTACTTCATGGATCCCATACGTTTACACCACATCTCCAAATTCGTTCCCCACAATTGGAGATGTCAAGACTATATTGATTGACGATTACTACCGTCTTCAATCATCTGACGATTTGAAAAACTTGCATCATTACTTGTCCAAGGGAAAAGTTGTTGGTATTTCGTTGGCGTGTGCTTTAGGATCGACTTCGTTGTTTGGATTATTGTATTTGATCCCTTATCTTGCGTTGTTGAGGAACCGAAAGGGATATGTACAAAGGATTCATGAGCAGGATATGATTGATAGTGTTAATCCCGAGGACTTGTTGCATGAGATTGATTTACAAAGGGAGAAATAAAAATCGATGTTTACTGTTGTTGTGATTCTTTTCAAATTCATGTGTATTTTACATTTTACTTTAATAATACTTATGCGGCGTTTTATTTTATGGCTACAAGGGCTTGTAAAATCTCAAAGCATGTTTATGTGTAATTTATTGTACATGGTGTAAAGCGCTCTACTTTGACCCAGGTTCCACATCGTCACCTTTAGACGATGCTCTTTCTTCACCTTCTTCTTCATCGTCAATATCAAAAAGTCTTTCAGTACTTGACGCCTTTGTTTTCCCATCGCCATCAGTGTCTTTTCCACCTTTGGCTGAGGATCCACCACCAACGTCAATATTTGACTCAAAATCATCATCATCATCATCATCCCTAAACATATCACGACGCTCAAATTGCTCCTGGCTCAACCTGGCACCATGCGCCAATTCCTCATCGACATCATCATCAAAATCACCAAACAACTCATCTTCATCTTCGTTAGGAATAGAAACATAGTTTCTCGCACCTGGCTGCCGTCTGAACACAATATTGCCAATCTTCTCCAACACTTTGCGATCAATCTTGCGTATTGTTTTAAAAGTGGCAAAAACCACCGCGGCGGTATATACACCACCTTTAACTATCCTGTTAACGACAACATCAACTTGATTATCCTCAATTGGATTGAACCCTTCCTCAAAGTCCTGATCGTTCAACCTGATCTGTCCTAATCTCTCAAACCCACCATTACGACGAACCCCGCGATCATACACAAACCAAGTCGTACCAAGAAATGTAATCAATGGGATAAAACTAATGAAAAACAATTTACCACCTTTAATTTCGCGTCCATAATACTCATTAAACTCCTGCTCTTTGCCAGGGCACGCATGAGGACTAAATGTATCGTACTGCTTGCCGCCCACACATGTGGAAAGTGGGATTTTCCTGTACCCAGTAGTGTCAAAGTACTGGAAAGCTCCCGGTTTGCTACACATATCCTTCTTGCGATCGCTGGCCGACATTCCTGCAACCAACTTACATGTATTGTCCTTGGAATCACGGTAGTAGTTATAATCGCATTCGTAATCGCGTCGAGTACAGGCACAATTTTGAGTAACTTTATGACCCTCGGATAACGGAGCGCCACCAATAAAACAATCGTAATGGCCCATTGCACGACGCAAGTATTGCGACTTGTGTCCGAAAAGACAATTGTCGGGCGTGTTGGGGTGAGATGGTGACCAGTATTCATAATCGTCAGAATCGGGATTGTCGAGGTCCAATTGACATTGCCGTTTATAGATGTTTGTGAAATCGATGGAGTAGGATAATGTATCTCTTGTGTCCTTTGGATGATGGGCGAAAATTATAAACTTTCTTGCAGTATCAGTGGGCACGGTTGCTAGGTCTAGTATCTTGACTGGTTTATCGGTAAATTTGTACTCATTCCAAGATTTGCCATCATCTAATGAATACAAAAATTTGTCAGTTTCACCAACAGCATCAACCAACATCAAGATTGTACCTTGGTCTCCATATTCCCATTGATATACACCCAGCTGTACCTCTTTCCAAGTGGCGCCTCCATCAGTACTTAAAAATGTCGATGCAGAAGCAATGTCATCCAAGTACTCGCCAACATTACCAACGCCAATCAAGAATCCAACTGCGGAACCAGAAGAATATGTATCTCTGTAATCTGCGCGTTCAGTGAATCCATGTAGGTGCAATGCACATTTCTCGAGTGGGGCCCCGTTGCACCCATACTTGGCACCCTTTGAATCAACAGCTGGGGGAATCAAGTAGTCCCATTCACTTCCATCGTTTCTGGAAATGAGTGTTTGTAATTTCTTTTGTCCTTTGCCGTCTTTGTAATTAGCTACAATATTGGCCAATATTGTACCCTCCAATCCATCGATTCGATCAAAGTCGACATATCCTTCCTCGTTCCTATTGACATGGTCCAAACTCAAAACAAAATAAGTACCGTTGGAATTGGACTTCAATAACGATCCATACTCGAATCCATTCTGAGCACTAGTGGTAACATGCATAAAGATAGAACCTGTACTGGAATCCAAAACAGTATAAGCTTGATGAGGTTCTACCTTGAGATCCTTGGGAAAGTCAGCATCAGCAAAGATTTTGCCGTCCACAGTGACCTTAGCTTCAAGTGAACCATCTTTAACAACAGCAGCCACCACATATGTGTCTGAAACAGCATAGCCCACAATATCATCGTAAATCTTGTTAGCACTCTTCAGTCCATCAATCGAATACAAGCTCTTTTTCCCGTCACTTTCAATCTTGGTACAGAATATCAAATTGTCAACTGGTTTTCTGAAAATGGGACCAACGTAATCACAAGCAACAACATTATCCAATATCTTATTGAACGATTGTCCATAGTTGGTAGTGACGTATGCAGAAGCTTTACAATTGTAATCACCCCCATCACAGTCACCACCAAGCCACAAAAACTTTGAAGCATCAGTCTTGTGGAAAGCCACTGCTTTTCGTACAACAGGGACAAATTTATTGGGAGTTGTAATTCTGTGGAAAGTTTCAGCTCCATCCTCCGAATAATACTGAACATCAGTATCGGACACGAGGACAATTTGGCCTGGTAACAATCCCGTATAAAACCCAAGAATCTTATCGTGAATCGGAGCCTTGACAAAACTGACTCCCCCGTTAGTGGACACAAATATGCTATCCTCATTGGTCTTCATGACGACATTGTCGGCGAGGGTTTTGTCATTGTTTCCGAGATAAGCATACTGTGCCAATTTCCCTTCAAAGTCACTAGTTGTGATCTTGATTTCTTGAGTATCACCACTTGGATCATCTTTAGGCTTTGTGTAGTCAGCACACTTGATCTTTTCCTTGGTGGCGAAATCCTCCAATTTCTTGCTTCTCAATTCACACAAGTTGCCATTGATCTTAGACTTGTCGTAGATTTCGAGAACATCTTTCCCTTCACACAACTTTGCAATCATTTTTGGATCAGGAACACACTGATTGCCACCTTTTTCACTTGGTTTGAATCCCAAGGCACACTCAAAATCGTTTTCAACACATTGGCATGGTTCATCATATACACGAACATCTTCAAATAATTTGTCAACAAAACATTCAGCGTCTTGTTTTCTTCTGTGGAATTTCTCCTTGTGACCATAGGCACAAAGTTGTATATTATCAGGAACTTGTCTCGCGTAAATGTCTTCAAAATCACTGTCTTTACATGTTTTGCCACCATAAGCTTTCGAGAAATCAATATGGTACAACAACTCCTTATCATCACCCGTATTAAAATCTGGTTTGATTCCGTGGATCAAGAACTTTCTTGAAGAGCCATCGACAGAAGTGATAAAATCCAAAATATAAACTGCATCTTTGATTTCCACTTTTTCCCAGTCCTTGCCTTGATTCAATGAATAGTAAAAAAATTTTCCCGGATCAGTCCTTTTCACTCCAGCATAAGGCATTGCTAACATGACATTCCCTTGGTCACCAAAAGAAAATACACAAGCTTCCTCCAACACCAAGTCCCACGAATATCCCCCATCACGAGACACAAATGTTTTCATTTCACTAATATCGTGGGTAAGGTGCTTTCCTTCTGTTCCCACTCCCATCAAGATTCCTGGAGTTGGTCCTGTCACAAATTTTCCTTCACCACCTAGCTCGCTAAATGACCACAAGTGCACAGAACACCCATCCTCAATTTTACAATTAGGGCTATTCAGTTTTAGAGGAATCCAATCATCACCGTCGTTGAATGAATACTTTGTTATCACGTCCTTTGATTTCCCGCCTCCAAATATGATATCCAATAGCGACTTTGGAGCATCTTCTTCACTTTCAACCTGAACATCAGCAAGCCAAGCGCCGTCAATGTTTTCCACTTTCAATACAACATCGCTAGCAATATTGTCGAGAACTTCAGTGAAATGCAATCCCAATGAATCCGACCTAAACAATTTGGAAGCCCGAGAGGAGCCCCTTCCATATGACATAGTCAGAAGAAATAGCGCTGATGGCGATGAAGCATGGAACGACATCACCCCATACTTGACATCCACCTGCAAGTCAGCTTTAAGAAAATCTTTCCCGTCCTTGGACACATACATGTCCACCCTGGATTTCTCATTAAATTTGTCGTTTCTCATCACAACAGTCATGAAATTCTCCTCCACTTTAATGTCAATTATCGCACCATTACCAGTTTCAGTCAAATCAAACTCTTTTCTATTCTTGAAAAAATCATCAGACTTGTAAAGACGCGATTTAACAATGTGCTTGTGTGAATTGAGTTCATTTTCGGAACAATAGATAGTTTGCGAATTTGCAATTCCAGACTCCTTGGTGGCCCTTGCAAACCTACAGACATGAGCATTGATTGGCAACTTTTTAGACGCTGACTTGAAACCATCTTTAGTGTAGTGGAATACATGCTCACATTTGTGATTATAGTTTTCATCAGGGCACTGGTAATTCGACATGAGCAACAAATTTGGGTCGGCTGCATTAAATTCCAATTTCGGTACTGAAGCCAACCCATTCCCATCGAAATCGTAAACATCAGAAGTAAACTTTGACCAAGACTTACCTTGGTCATTTGTTACAAAGTGGGTTTTGGTCATTGTTAAAATGAATGCTCGATCTTTGACAAATGGATCAAATTGGATACTGACGACCTTATCCTCAATTCCCTTCACCTGTTCAAACAGTTTCCCATCGTCAAATGAAATGAAAGCCTTGTTATCCCTCATGATCAAAATGTTTGATGAATCGTCAAAATATCGTATCAACTTGGAAATAGAGTCAGATTCGGTGACCGATATTTCGGGCGTAAAAGCACATACTATAGAAACCCATGCACTTAATAGTAGTAGAATGGTTGTGTACTTCATGATTTACTTGGATTTGGTTCTTTTCTCTCTTAATAATCAATTCGGCTTCAATGTTTTGCTCATCTGAAGTTGATGTCGTATGAACGGCTCTTTTTGAAGTAGCTGGAGAAAGCCTTGTCAACTTTTGTTTTCTAGTTTTTTTTTTTTTTTTATTATTTATTTTTTTTCGCATTTCCGTTTTGCCAGCGGTTAACAATGATTGTCCATTGCAAGGCTGTGTTCACGGACCTTTTTTCGTAGAATGTTTGCAGACTGACGAGGCTACGAAGTAAGTGGTGTGAGGGAAGGAATAGGGTAACGAACTCACCAGTCATTGAAAGATCATACTCAATTCTATGCTATAAAATTACGTCTTTTTCGACACTACTTCTCTTCTATCACCAATGCAACGTGACGAGCCTTCTTCGCAATTTTAATGCAACAGTCAACATCCACATCTGTGTACTTGCTCAAATCAAAAGCGTAACTCAAAAAACTGTTGCTAAACTTTTCCTCGTCTTGGATCTGTATTTTGAGGATAGTGGATTTCGTAGACAACTTGACTGGAATGTCAAACGGCGATGACTCTCCAATCAATCCATACACCTTATTCAAGCTGCTCATTATTAGTGTTTTCCACGTTATCAAATCAATGTCTACCTTCTCATACTGTTTGAGTTTGGCTTCATCGTGTTGTATCTTTGGATCAGGAAAGCTGGAAATAGGGTTAGTAAGAGTTAGTAAGAGTACGCATTAATTGCACCAGTTCTTTATACACACATTTCAAGTCTCAAGTAAAGCCAATCATCTTCATCTTCGAAAATCTGCTCATTATTCATTCTCTTTCCTATACTCCTAATGACATGTTGTTTTTTTTTTTTAAATGTGAATTGAATACCAGCTGTGTACGTTTTTCTTTTTTTCTTTTCTCTTCCAATGTCTGCTACCAAAGGCTAATTAAGCTCTCTTTGAGGGCTGGATGAATGTATTTGGATAACAATGTCTTCATCACTGGATGTAGTGTCCTCCTCGCTTGAGATCACGTTAGCGGATTTTTCCAAAACCACATCCTTTGGCTTATTCTGTGGTGGCGGGTCTGCGGGACTGATGGGGCTGTTGTACCACCTAGGCGACCTTTGAACTTGACGGTGACTCTCCCATGGTGAGGACTTGATTTGAACTGCAAGCTCCTGGTCAATGTTGAGAATGGGGACCATTAACCCCTGGAACCTGTAGTCCATTTGCTGAAATGTTGGCGATAAGGGTCTAGGCGGGGACGACAAAGGTGGTGACCATGTAGGCGGGCATATTTTCGAAGCTGTTTGCATATTCGAATGCATTGTATCTGTCTGCAATAGCACGAAAGATGAAACCGGGAATAGTTTGCCTGATTTATAATCCAAGGTCACCATGTGGGGATTCTGTTGTTGTGTGTTTTGTTTCTTCTGACGAGGAAGGAGCAAATCTGGAAGTTGAATATCATAGTAGTAGCCATGACGCAAGTTCATCAACTCGTGTATCTGATAAGTAGGTTTGGTCATCCTTGGCTATAGCCTGTTGTCTAGATGAACAAGTGTTTTCAAGTGTTTTCTTTAATAATCAGTTTTTGATATGGGATTATTGGAATGTTAACTTTGAGTAACCTGGGTGCAAAAAATTGGGAAACAGATTTTAGAGTACCAGCACTTGCTGAATTCTCTTATAAGGAAAAGCCCCAATTATGAACTTTTACACTGTTCACTGGTATTCAAGTTTGCTGACGTTGCATACAACGCAGTTCCTCTTATTATTCTCTACTATACACTCTATAATAACACAAGTTAAGAACTAGACACTCCATCGAAGTTATCCAACTCCTTTAAAATCTTTTCGAAAACATCTTCGTAAACACAACTCCCCCATAACGTGTCCATGTGCTCATAGCTTCTACACAACTCAACCTTCAATTTATCTCGCATTAAGGGATTACCATCAACAATTAAAGTCCTGGTCTTTTCGATATCAACCAATATATCCGCGTCACCGTAAAACATGTACATGGGAACATTCAAGTGGTCGGCTATAGGAAATGGAGTCACTCTGTTTCCCTTTTCCTTCGATTTACCCGACAACGAACTCAATTTAGTTAGTCCACACGAGCAAGTCTCATCAAACATCTGAAATCTTTCGGCTTTTATTATTTGAAACCAGTGGACTAAGGACTTGACCAGAGAGTTGGAAAACATGTGGGGATATCCCATCCGCTTCTGATCTTGGCTGATGTTTTCCCCAGTCCATCCAAACAACAAGGAAAGCGACTTGTCCACAACTCTTTCGTACAATTTCGCACCAAATATCGTAGACCAAAATGATACACTAGGCATTATGGCACGACGACCAAATATGCTGTACAAGAACCTGTTATCTGCCGCTGTCTGATTGACTATTAGTTTAAAAACGGGATGGTTCAAGTTCAGTGGAATGATTGCAGGGGACAAGCCAATGAATAACTTGATTTTAGAGTTGAGCTCTGGATAAAGACTTAAACTTGCTATAAGCTGGGAGCAGCCTTGTGAGAACCCAACGTAAACTATGTCAATGGGGTCTTGGGTTTCGTAGCTCGACAATGTGGTAGACGAGCTCAGAAAGGAAGGTGGCTTGAGTGACCCGTCACCAGACACCGCGTTGTTAGAACTCGGTCCAGTTATCCCTGCACGTTCCTTGTACTCATACAACTTTCGAATATACTCAATTGTATCTGGGATGTCAAAGTACGAAAACTCATCCAACGAAAAATCCCAGAACAGTGGGTCAGAAGCTGATAGATTCAAGTGCTTCCTCGAATATTTGTTGCCTCTGTTGTTCCCTAGATACACATCGTACCCTGCATCAACAAGTAAGTACGGTAGTGTTTTCTGTTTTGTTGACCCAAGTACCCAGAGCTCCGAATTGGTTAAAAGGCCATGATGTAGATATACTACTGCTTTTGGTCTCGTTGTTAATGTAAAGCAATTTTTCTTTTCCAACTTGTGAACAACAAGCAAGTAACCGTCTCTTGTCGTCACCACATGCTCTCTAGCTCTGTAGCCCGATGCTGATACAATTTCACTAAAGTCTCTTGCCGCGATTACCTGCTCATAAAGCTCGGTCTTGTCCTTGCAAACAGGGGCCTTCTCGCGACGATCATATGTACTGAGTCCTACTAAAGACTTGAGGAATAGGATTGTGATTTTCAGAAGTAGGACAAAGATGTTGAATATGGTTGACAATGTTGATATTCTGGTATTTGCTGGCATTTTGCAAAGGTACCAAGAATTGTCTTTTCCACTTTTGGCTAGCTAGTGTCAATGGTGGCGTGGCGTGGCGTGGCGTGGCGTGGAAGGTATTTGTATTTATATTTGCACCTTCTCGTTGTTGTTGTTGTTGTAACTACTATGGTCCACATCGTATTTTGTTGTTTTTTTTTTTTTTTCTTGATTGCGATGAAACACGCAACGAATAAAACAGTTACCCAAAAGAGAAGTCAGGACAATCATTCACAGAAGTTTTACTTTATACAAGATACACCTCTAGTAGCTACAGCCAAATGTGTTTTACAATTACTCAAAAGATTCCAAACCATTTCCCGGACTTATTGGATTTGTTGTCGAGTTTCTTTATATCCAACCCTGCCAACATTCTCTCCTCTTGTTCCTGTTGTATTCTTTCTGCTTCAAGTAAATGCCTCTCACTAGGTCTATTAAGAACAAACTCTCCTTCTTGTGTCTTTCTCAAATCATCTGGTATATACTGAGCATCCTTTACACTATGCAACACAGTATATCCCAGCTTTGGGAAATGCAAGTCATCATACTCTTGATCACTCAAACCGCCAAATATTCTCTCCTTCAACCACAACTGACTTCGATAAAAATCGCTAAACACATTATCTCTACCTTCATTCCATCTGTAGAAAAACGTAAAGTAGAAAATCACTGACCCTCCTACCAATGTTCCAAACCATCGAGAGCCCAAATGTAGCTTCTTGTTTGTGTCAACACGACGCAAAACTTTGTATTGATTTGGATACAAATCAGACATTGGTCTCGCAGTATAGTTTAGTCTCTCCATCGTTTCGTTCACCTTTTGATATTGCGTAGGTTGTTTGGGAATAGATGAGAATCCTTGTGGTTGTTGGCCAGGTATTTGAAATTCTGAAGGGTAACCCTCAGGTGGACGAATATCGGTGGGATCATAGGGATTGTAGGGGGCCCTTGGCGGAACCCAACCTTTTGGGTTCGGCCTTCTTGTTGGCTCGTGGCGTTCTTCAGGGGAACTCATTTGTCAGTACAACAAAGATCTTCGTGGCTTATCTGTGTGGTTTATGGCGATTTCCCACGCTTTAAGAAAAAAAAAAAACAAAAAAACAAAAAGGACCATTACCAATAGATTTCCCCTCGTTAGCTCAAAGCTCCTTGCACATCAGAGACAATTGACATGTCTATTACAAGCAATTTGAAGGAGTTCTTCTCCTTGGGTGCTCTAGACACAAGATTAGACCCTACAACGGCCCAGAATAAGAGACAACAAGCAACTAAGAAAAAAGCCACCCCTTCCAAATGGGGCACCATAGAATTCAAGTTTTACTACATCGTCTTCATCATTGTTGTGCCATTGATGTTCAAGGCAGCTAGGGAAGCTTCAAACGAAACCAATCCAAACTATCCTCGATTTGAACGGTTGTTGAGTAAAGGCTGGATCTTCGGAAGGAAAGTTGACAATTCGGACCAACAGTACAGATTCTTTAGGGATAATTTGTTCCTCCTATGTTTACTCGGTGTGATCCACTTGCCATTGAGGAGGGTGTTGACACCGGTATTGTCAATACGGAAAAGAACGCATTTTGATTTGGTTTTTGGCGTCATTTTTTTGATTGGAGCTCATGGGATGAATGTAATTAAGCTCTCCGCTCATTTGGCAATAAACTACGCAATTGGGAAATATATTAAACAACGCAAAGTAGCCATTTGGACAACATGGATATATGGGGTCTCCACTTTGTTTTTGAATGACTGGTATGGAATGCAAAAGTCGGGCATTCTGTTTTTGGATCTGGGTTTCAAAGGTATCATCGAAAGATGGGATGTCTTTTACAACTTCACCTTACTTCGAATGATATCCTACAATCTTGACTATATTGAACGAGAACAAACATTGAGCATACCAAGCGCAAAAGGTGGGTCATTGATTGACCTCAACGATCGGGAAAGACTAACGGCTCCATTACCGTTGGAAGACTACAATGTATTTAACTACATCGCCTACGTGTTGTACACTCCCTTGTTCATAGCAGGACCTGTATTAACATTCAATGACTACGTATACCAATCGAACTATCAACAAGCGGTCTCGGTCAAGGATAAAAAAAGAATCTTCATCTACTTTCTCCGGTTTGTCTTTTGTTTATTGGTTATGGAATTTATCTTACACTTCATGTATGTGGTTGCCGTATCCAAAACAAAAGCCTGGGATGGTGACACTCCATTTCAAATATCGATGTTGGGGCTCTTCAATTTAAACATAATCTGGTTGAAGCTTTTGATACCGTGGAGGTTGTTTCGACTCTGGAGTTTATTGGATGGAATCGACCCTCCAGAAAACATGATTCGTTGTATGGACAATAATTTTTCAGCTCTTGCTTTTTGGAGAGCATGGCATCGATCATTCAACAGATGGGTCATCAGGTATATTTATGTCCCCATGGGAGGAGGAGGAAGTTACCGTATATTGAACAGCTTATTGGTTTTCAGTTTTGTGGCAATCTGGCATGATATTGAGTTGAGATTACTTATGTGGGGCTGGTTGATTGTTTTGTTTTTGATTCCTGAACTTTCTGCCAGCATGGTCTTTAGAAAGTACGATCAAGAGTGGTGGTACAGGTATTTATGTGGGTTGGGAGCTGTGGTCAACATATGGATGATGATGATTGCAAATCTTGTGGGCTTTTGTCTTGGTAAGGATGGAACATTGCAGTTGATTCAAGAGATTTTCAAATCCGTTCTGGGTGTGTCATTCTTCATTGCGTCATCAATTTCGTTGTTTGTTGCTTCACAAGTGATGTTTGAATTACGACAGGCAGAGAGGAGAGAAGGTATAGATGTTAGGTGTTAGTATGTTGCTAAACATTATTTATTAAAATACAAAATGTGGTAACTTTCTAGGATTGTTTTCCGTAGTTGAAAAGCGTATGGTAGCACACGATAGATAAACTTCATATAGACTCTTTTTTACAAACTCTGCCGCCGTATAGTTAAAATCCACATGGCGCCACCTGTCCCCGTATACTCAGCTGAAGAGACTCGGCTACAATACAAAGATCAGCTCGAGAACCCACAAAAGTATCAATGCCATCTTAAGTCACTAACGCAGCATGAATGTACTTTCAAAGCAGGTACAGATACAACCCTGCCTCAATTCATATGCTTGCCCTTCAAAAGACTTTTCCAGAGATGTCTAATACCAACTTTGGAACAAAAGAATGGTAAGAAGATTCGAGCGGAGAAGTGGATAAATATCGAAGTGACGCAAGAGTCGACTAATCAAGATTTGTTGGATGAGGATTCAAAATATGCGAAGTATGTTCAAGATTTCCTATCCGCCGAAAAGGACCTTAGGGATTTGATGGAAAAGGAGGCAGAGCTCAGCACCTGAGAAGGAAAGAGACAGGATATGGTGAGATCAGGCTAGGACAGCTCTAACCATGACTGGTAATTACAGTTGGAACAAGTCTCCTTTGTACTCTAGATTTAAATATACAACTTATATATATATATATATATATATATATACTGCTGCAACACGTTTCAAATCAGAACCTGTAGCTAAGCATTGCTGACTCCGTTCCGCATCAGTCCCTCAATACGTGGATCCTTCTTCTGGTTGTGGCAACTTCTTGTTATTTGGCGATGCCATGCTTTTTCTCAACTCCAACAACACCGTCTCCATAGTGTACGATCTCTTCCAGTTTTTCAAGGTATCGAACTCAGAAACAACAACATTTCCATTCGAGTCCACACAGGGCAAATTGATTTTACTGATGAATTGAACCTTCGGAGGTTTATCGGGGTAGTTTTCATTGCATATGATCTTTAACGAGTATATTCTGTTCTCATGGTTCGAGTGTGGTGGGCCAATGATGGTTCCATTCCAGTAAGTCATTGTTATATCATCTTGATTGGTCAACCCGTACGAAATGGACTCTGCGCCTAGACCTTTCTCACCTTTCTCTAATTCTTCTAATAATTTGAAATTTCTTGGACTGAAGGGATGTTAGTATATGGAGATTTGCTACATTAGGATACCATCGTACGTACATTTTGGACATGTTAGGTTGGTTCCCTGTTGGGCGTAGATCTATGCAAACAAAATGTGTGGGTTTTTCCAATAGGATCAACCAAGTCGCCACGAACTTGTCACATGTCTAGGAATAGGTAATGTCGTGTGATTTGAATTTGCGACAAAAGTAAATGACCATACAAAAATTTACAGACGAGACATTGAAAAATATACACACACAGAGACGCAGAAACATAGTTACAGAAGGGAAGGCACACACTACCACCACCACTACCACCACCACTACCACCACCACTACCACCACCACTAATGACAGACCCCACATCGTCGCCATTCGTTGAGTCACCATCTGCTCTGAATAGCTTTCTCAAAAACTATGCTGCAGAAACTTCAAAGCTTGACTCTAAGCTTTACCTATCCAAACTCGAATTCGAGATAAAATCATTCAAGACTGAGAAAGAATTATGGGCTAAAGAGAAAGCCACGATTGCATCAAAGTACGAGGAAACCATCAAACAAAAAAACAAGGAATTAGAAGAGCTCAAGCTAAACATGGAATTTGTATATAAAGAAAATGAACAGTTGAGCTCCAAAATTGACAACTCGAATGATACCTCGCAAGCTCAATTGAATGAGTTGAATGAAAAATACAAGCAATTGAGATCTAGGAATAGCAAATTGGAGTCTGATTACCGCAGCCTAGTTGATAAAAATGACAGGTTGATCAGAAAACACAAGCAAGTGACTGCCGATTGGAATTCTCAAATAAAAATCAATGACGAGTTGAGCAACGAATTGAAGAATCGTGATCAAACCATACAGACATTGCAGGAATCAAACGAACGACTTGTCTCCGAGCAAGAGCAATACAGCCAGCTTTTCAAGAATGACGAGTCAGTGTTTAAGAATAATCAGATCTTAATGAGCAAAAATGCAAGCTTACAGAAAACAAACAACCAACTACAACTTCGAATTGATCAGCTTTTACAAAAACAGACATCTATAGAATTGTTGAAACAGAAAAACATGAGTTTGGTTAAGGTTCAGGACCAACTTGAGGAGCTCAAGTGTAAGTATCAAAAATTGGAAGTGGAAAAGCTAGAGCTAGAAACAAAATACAACGATTACTTCCGAACCTTGGAAAGGACTATTGTTGATGATGATGATGATGATGATGGTGGGTATGACCCGGAAGATCTCGACGTTACAAAGTTCTTGAAGGTGCAAAATTTCATAAACAAATTTAGACAGCTTCAGGCACAAAATTTAGCACTAAAGGAAAAATACAATTTCAAAACGATTGAGTCAAACGAATTGAAACAAGAACTAGAGGACGTATCGAGACTGATAGAAGAAGAGTATTTACCAATAATACAAAAAGGTCAAGCAAAAAATGAGATTTCGTCCAATCGAATAATAGAATTAGAAAGAGAGAAAACCTTGCTTACAGCTGAAGTTGCACATTTGAGAAAACTGTTGAAGGATTTGGAAGAAATTTTGAATTCCAGAGATGAGTCTAAGCATCAAGATAAAACTATGCAACAATATATTACGAACTTGGAGAACTTGGTTGATCAATACAAACGGAAACTAGACGAGCAAACTCGAAATTCGGGCACCAGCGCCTTGCAGATTGGCGAGAAAAGACAACGTACTGAGGGCAAAAGCTTTCGCCATACTGCAGAAGATTTAGAAAAGCAAAACGTGCAGTTGTTGTCTACTATCAAAAACTTGGAGCTTTTGAACTCCGAATTAAAACAAAAGCTAGCGTCATTGGAAATCATTCATGAAAAGCAAGAGTCGGTCAAAGTTCTTGAATTGAAGAATAATTTATTATCTAAGGACCAGTTTGTGAAGCGAGCAACTCTCGATGCTCTTCGAGCCGAAAATGATGCTTTGATTGGAAAGTACGTTAGCCATCGTCCAAGCACTGACCTCGTTCCTAAAGCTCTTTTTGCAAGACAGGAGGACGATAAGGCAGCGCTACAGTCACAAGTGGATGCATTAACGAAAAGAATATCCAGGTTAAGAGATGTTTACACACAAAAATCTAGAGACATTCTAATTACTATATCTCGATATTTTGGTTATTCAATTGAGTTTTTGCCCAGTACCATTCGTCCAGATGAACTATCATCGAGATTAAAGTTGTCCTCCAACTTAATTCCACGAGAGAATAACTCGTATTTGATTCTCGACATCGACAACAAGAGTCTTAAGGCGTATGGGGATTATGAATTCAAGTCACTTTGTGAAGCGTTAGCGAACGAGTGGGTATCCAAAAACCAATTCCCTTGCATGTTGAGCGCGTTGAATCTTAAGTTATATGAAGCTGCAAAACCTACATAGTAAAAGCAAATTACATTTGTGATAATTTTGAGGATACGAGCTCCAAAAGCTCCTTGTGTGTGATTCCGTAATTTTTTGGATCCTTCTGAATCTCTTTAAACACTGCTCCCCTTTTAACCTCATCGAATTTTTCCCCAATATCGTTCAAGAAGAAAGAGATGCTCTCGTCATTACCATTTCTCTTATAGTACGTGTATAGCCAACCCCAAGCATCTCCATTTGTAGGATCTGCATTCAAACTTCTATCGAACCACGACTTCGCTTTTAGGAACTTTCCATCTTTCCAAAACAAAACCCCTAAATAAAGTAAGATTTCAGGAGAATTATTCGTCTTTTGCAAAGCATTGATAAATTCCGGTTTACGAAGTGACATTTTCGGTATAAGCAAAAGATGTTGATACCACACGTGAGCATTAGATGGGAACTGTTTCAAATTCTTGGCGGCAATACTTGTTGCTGCTTTTATGTTTCCCTGACGCTTTTCGAGGTCAACATGGGCCACAGCAATTTCGACCGAGTTTGGAATTGTCAATGATGCTTTGTCTAGTATAGACCTGGCTCTGATAAGAACACCTAATTTTTCCTCTACCAATGAATACTTTATCCACAATATTGGTGACTGAGGACATACCTGGACTGATAACGCGGCAGCCTCCCTCGCAGATACGAGATTCCCCATGTCCTCCATAAGTATTTGGATATTTTGCAAATGAAGTTTCCAAGAGTCTGGAAATAGATCTAAAGCTCGTTGTGAAACCTTCAAAACATTTTTTGGTGAGTCCCGTTTACATCGCAAAATGTGTATATATCTGTACCAGAACTTGTCACTTCTCTTTGGTTCCTGTTGAATGATTTCTTTAGCGATTAACTCGGCTTTGTCGATATTCCCTGTGTTGGACTCGAGTTCAACTCTTGCAAGCTTAATCAGATCGTCATCATATTTGTTGTCAGCTTGCTGCAATATTTCTCGGGCTTTATTAGCATAGCCAGCAACCTTCCATGCGTCTTTTGCATACATCAAGGACACCAGTATCGGATCTGGAACCAAATCAATCGCAGTTGAGTAAAATCTAAATAAGGTCTCGGTGTCAAGATACTTTCGAACGACAGTAATGAGTCTTTGCCATAAATTAATATCAGTCGATCCTGACTGCGCCAAATAGTTTAATATCGTTTCCATAAACTCAAAATGGCCATGTTCACCCTGTTCTTCTGCTTCGGTAATCAATTCCTCAGGTGCAAAACTCAGCGATTTCAAGAAACTTGAAAGTACCTCTGTGCCTGTCTTTGTAAATCCTTCCTCAATCGCTTTTGAGGCTATGTGATACCACTCCGACCTTGCAACATTGGGGTTTTCCTTGACAGCCCGATCCGTCAACTTTTGTATCTTAGTTCCCGTGATATACGGATTCTCGCGCTCCTCCAATTTACAAGCAGCGATCCAGACTTTGACATCACCGTGAAGAATCTTTCGTGCTTTATTCAAATACGATTTTGCATCGTCGTATGTGGATATGTTGACCAATGCGACCCAAAACTCCCATGCCGTGGGACAAAGATCAATGGCTTTTATTAGCAATTTCAGCACCACGCCTTGGTCATCCTCCTGATCAATTAAAAGCTTCCACAATTGTTCCTCTCTTGGAAAATCTTCTAAAGCTCTCATGATCGTTTTCTTCTTGGACTTGGTTTCAACTTCCAACTCAATTGCCTTCATCCACAAGTTCACGGAGCTCTTGCAAAATTTCAAGCCCTCTTTCGCAATAGCTTTTGCATATGCATTGTCGTTCAAGTTGAGTCTAATATTTTCGAGCCAAACTTCGTCAGATCCAGGTATAGTCTTACATGCTTGCAGGATCAATTCTCTTGCCTTGTTGAAATTGTTTGCTTGCTCTTCTAACCTTGCCGATTGTATCCACGAACTTGGTCGGTACGGTTCTGTTTTACGCAAGGATGCAAGGATCAAACGGCCCTTTTTCAAGTCAGCAAATTTTGCATCTTTATCAGCACCATCCGACTGCAAAATCGTATTTTCTAACTCCTCTGAATCTTTCAGAGTCTTGTTTGCAGCAATGCTGTCCAATTGCGCAGTTAAAAAGTCCTCCCTTTCTGTTTTTGACATGGTGTTGGTCAATTCCATCCCCGCTCCTTTTGCAAGAATCAGATCTGGGGCAGTATAGAGTCGCTGCAGCTGTTGCTCAAGAATACGCAGTCGCTTATTCTTCCTCGTCATATCACCTGCCTCCGGTAGCAGTAGCCATTCATCTTCTGTTAAAGACGTCAACTCACGTTTCAAATCTGAAAATTGTGATTTTTTGGATAATTCACTATCAGTTGGAACTTTAACCACTGTATGCTGTTTCCGTCTGGATTTCAATCTGTTTTCAACTTCCCCAAATATGCGGTCCGCTTCCTCATCCTCTTCGTCTCTCTTTGACCGAGACACCAACAATCCACCCTCGTTTACCTCGGGATTCCCAGTATCTTCGTTGTCGTCTGCGTCGTCCGATCGATTGCGAGTGTACTTACCGGTACTAAACCCCACGGCTCCTCGTCCAACACCAGCTATGTACCCTGGTGGTGGTTCCTGGTCTAAAAATGCAAACTTGTTACTGCTCATGTAGAAGGGATTGTATCAAGGAAATAATGTGTTACGTCGATTAATTATTTATCCATTTACTGGTAGACTTTTGTGTAATCTGTATTCTTCCCGCTTTCTCATCGCAGACAACAGTCAGTTGATAATTTTTTTTTTTTTTTTTTTTTTTGCAAGTCAACCTTTCAGCGCAATCAATCTCTTCTTCAAACCGCAGGCACTGGAGAAATGTCAAAGAGAGTTGCTGAAGAAGACCTCAACGGTCAAAACGCTTCAAGTGCAATCAAATCAAATGAAAATTCAGTCCCCACGTCTGCGCAAAGGGAGTCATTGGAAGATGAGATGGATGTTGGTGATTACGAAGATCCATATGGAGACGATTTTGAAAGTGACGAAGACATCATTGAATTGGACGAAGAGGAGGACAACGACGAAGAAATGGATGAGGAGGCAGCCAGCAAGAAAATTGAAGAGCTTGAAAGAAAAGAGCAAGAACAACAACAGGAGCCGGAATCGGCTATTTACTTACCACACAAGTCCAAGCCATTGGGCCCAGACGAGGTGTTGGAAGCGGACCCTACTGTTTATGAGATGTTGCACAACGTCAACTTGCCTTGGCCTTGTTTGACAATTGACATTTTGCCAGATAATTTGGGCAATGAAAGGCGTACTTATCCTGCCACTGTATACTTGGCAACGGCAACTCAAGCAGCTAAATCCAAAGACAACGAACTAATAGCTATGAAAGCATCAAGTTTGGCTAAGACCTTGGTCAAGGACGACAACGACGAAGATGACAATGATGATGACGATGATGATGACGATGATATGGATTCGGATCCTATTTTAGACACGGACACCATTCCCTTGAAGCACACAACAAACAGAATCAGAGTCAATCCCCACTCTCTGCAAACTGGCGAATATCTTACAGCCACAATGTCTGAAAACGGGGATGTCTATCTTTTTGACTTAGCTTCTCAATTCAAGGCGTTTGATACCCCGGGGTATATCATTCCCAAATCATCAAAGAGGCCCATTCACACAATTCGTGCTCACGGAAACGTGGAAGGATATGGTTTGGACTGGTCGCCATTGACAAATACGGGAGCTTTATTGACTGGTGATGTTAGTGGAAGAGTGCATTTAACAACGAGGACATCAACAAGTTGGGTCACAGACAAGACTCCCTTTTTTGCTTCCCAATCTTCAATAGAGGATATACAATGGTCAACTGGAGAGAACACCGTTTTTTCCACCGCCGGGTGTGATGGGTACGTGAGAATATGGGATACGAGATCAAAGAAGCACAAACCTGCGTTGTCTGTCAAAGCATCCAATTCTGATGTTAATGTCATTTCGTGGTGCTCTAAAATCAACCACTTACTAGCGTCAGGACACGATGATGGAACCTGGAGTGTGTGGGACTTGAGAAACTTTACTCAACCCAACCCATCACCAGTTGCCAATTACGACTTTCACAAGTCTCCGGTCACCTCAATATCTTTTAACCCGTTGGATGAGTCGATCATTGCAGTCAGCTCCGAGGATAATACTGTTACATTGTGGGACTTGGCAGTAGAGGCAGATGACGAAGAAATTTCGCAACAAAGAAAAGAGCTTAAGGAATTACACGACATTCCACCTCAGTTGTTGTTTGTGCATTGGCAAAAAGACGTCAAAGACGTGAGGTGGCACCAACAAATCCCCGGGTGCTTGGTATCTACAGGAGGGGATGGGTTAAACATTTGGAAAACTATATCTGTATAGATGTAGGAAGAAGCGATTTGTTTGTAATTGATGCGTACAACCTGCTCAATACTTGTTCAACTCTTGTATTTGCCTTTCCTTCTTTTCTATCGTGTGTCTCACCTTCATTAATCGCTGATCCATTCGTAGCCAGAATTCATTCAAATCTAAGGCATACTGGACGTACTTTTCCGACACAATCATACTCTTGACAACCAACATCGTGTAATATCTGTAAAGCTCCTTTATCTGTACATTATGCAGAGCATTCGTCTGCGTTAATTCTGAAAGACGCGTCTGTGTTATTCGTGTGCTGATATCGTTGATAACTGAATCTGCGTTAATGTTCACCACCTCAATCATATCCCTACGCATACCCATAATAGCATCATAATGTAGGCTGAGATCCTCTTCTTTGACCGAATCGGGTATGGAGGCTTCTTCCGTACGAGAAGGCTTTTGAACTGGAAAACGATCTGCTAGTGAAAATAGTGTTTTCAACTCAGGGTGCTTCTCTCTCAAATCCCGTACTCGAGACTTCACCATAGTCATTTGAGATATGATGGAATCATCTTGAACATTGCTAAGTGCTAATTGGAGTTTGGCTACTCTTTGAGATAAATTTGTTATCCCTTCATCCATTGGACACTACGTGGGTAGAGAGTAGTAGCTATTTTTTTTTTGGTGCGTCCTACAACCGAGCCTTTTTTTAAGAGTGAACCTTCTATTCGAACTATAAAACATGAGACACTTTTTGAACACACTTCAGTTATCAATCCTCTTCACTGCTACTAACAACATCTTTGACTACCCTCCCACCGCCTAGAAAATCTCTGAGGCTCATTGGTCTTCCATTGTTGGATGTAAGTGCAAAGTGTTGTGTTTTTTTGGGAACAGAGCTGTTTTCAAATTGAATGTTTTGAAACCTTGCCTTTCCATAGTCGTCGTCATTGCCATCGTCTTCTTCATCATCATCATCGGCAACATCGGCAACATCGGAACCTGAGCTCTTGTCGTCTCTACTTTTGTTTTGAAGATTGACGGCCTGGTTTGTGGCCTTTCCATTCTGTGAGTTTCTTCCGCTCTCTTCTTTTATCCCCTCCCCAAGCAATTCCTGTAATTGGTCTTCTAAATCCTTAAAGTCGTCATCCAAATCGTCTACCTGGGATTTGGTGGCATTATCAGTTAGTGGTTTTGGTACAACACTCTGACCTTCTACATGATCCGAAACCGGTGCCTTTGTAGGCGAGAATTCATCACCAGAGTCAAAGAGTTTGATCTGTTCCTTTTCATGTTTCGTAGGCGGCACTTTTTGAGGTGAAGAATTACCGCTCCGATCAGAGCCGTCAACCTCGCTTCCCTTCAACTTTGTCTTTTGTTGTTGTCTCGATGCAAGTAATGGTCGTGGTGATGCAACTCTACTTTTCCGAAGGGGGTCAGTCCTGGGGTTCCACTTCATAGCACTTCCAGGAACACCTTTTTTCACTGTCGTCTCGGGGATTCTTTTGTTGGGTGAGGACAGCTTAGCCAGTTCGAGTTTGCGTTTTGGACTTTCTTGCTTGTTATTCACTTCACTTTTTGTTGTATCAGTCACATGGATGGGTCCATTTCTAGCCTCGCTGGCTCTGGTGGACTTGCTTAGCCGATCGAGTTTCAATATCTTTTTCTTCCTGTCAAGGAGTATCAAAGAGAATTCCATTTGGCTGTTTGATTTGTCTTCCTGTGACGAACCATTTGATATCGGTCGTTTGTTGAGGTGTGAAGACGCTCCCACAGCTGAAAGGTTCTGGCTCTCCAGATAAATTTTGATAGGCTTTGTTCTCGGCAGTTGCCCTACTTCACTTGTCACCGGGGCATTCGCCTCAAACTTGATTTTATTGAGGATTGACACATCTAGATCATATTCACCATCAGGTAAAGACATTCCACTTCACAAGTTTGACCTGATGCGCGCTATTTGGTTCAAAATCCGTAGCGAGCTTAACAAAGTGATTCGCTTGGCGGTGAAAGCAAAGGGTGATCAAAATTAAGAGTGTCGGTAATTTTTTACTCCGAAAGTGGTTTGAGAATGGGAGAAATAAAATTGCAATTTTTGTGCAACCGCCTCTCACTCTCAACTGACCAACCCTGTGGCAGTGGAGAAACAAATATGGCGGAACTGAGACCGAAATGCACAAAAGTGAGTGCGCCTGAGTACTGCACCGCCTTGCTTATGTCTAGGACGGCGAAAAAAAACTTTAACAAGAAGCTTCGTAAGGTAACACTTATCTTATACCATAGACCGTTACTTCTGCCAGATGTTGTGATATTTCAAATATAGATAAAAGATTGATCTCCGTAGTTGACATATTGTTAAAGAGCAAAAGGAAAAAAAGGTAAACAAAACAACAACAAAAAAAAAAAAAAAAAAAAAAAAAAAAAAAAAAAAAAAAAAAAAAAAAAAAAAAGAGAGAGAGAGAGAGAGCGACAGAAATGTGAAAAATTCTGAAATCTATAGACCATAATCTACAAAAACAACCCTAGTTCATGGCACCAATACCAACTACTTCTCAAGATGCAAATGTCGGACTATTTCATCCTAAGGTCATTGCCCTTTCATTGGGCGTCTCAGCAACTGCATACCTCTCATACAGACTTTACACGCGGTACCTCAAGCCTGTACGTTCAATCCTAGATCTCACTCCAGAAAGGCTAGAATACAACCACAAGCTATATGGCTATGTCACCCGAGTGGGTGATGGAGACAATTTCCGTTTTTACCATACCCCTGGAGGGGTTTTTGGCGGATGGGGGTGGCTCAGGTCCATACCCAAGGATAATAAGACACTAAAAAATGAGACGTTGATGATCCGCTTGTGTGGTATCGATGCCCCTGAACGAGCGCATTTTGGGAAACCAGCACAGCCATACAGCGAAGACGCGTTGCAGTGGTTGCGCTCGTATATCTTGGGAAGATATGTGGTTGTCACGCCGTACCTGGTGGATCAATACAAGAGAATCGTAGGTAAGTGTCAAGTATGGAAATGGACAGGAAATAAGGACGTTTCTGCTGAGATGTTGAAGCATGGAATGGCCATTGTATATGAAGGGAAAGTTGGGGCGGAGTTTGGGGATAATGAAGACTGGTACAGGCGACTAGAGAAGAGAGCAAAGTTTTTCAAACGTGGTGTATGGGTACTAGGGTCCAAGATGTTGACACCTGGTGACTATAAAAAGGCCTATTATCGAAACAACTGACCCTCTGTATCAAATTGAACATTTGCATTTGCATTTGCATTTGCAATTGCATTTGCATTTTTCTAACTACTTAAAAGTCCTCTTACTTATTTTAATAAATCAGCAACCGCACTGGACAATGCATCAACATCCTCCTTTGTTTGTGCTTCAGCATAAACACGCACGGCATCTTCAGTACCTGAAGCCCTCACGAATGAACGTCCTTGTGGGTGTTTTGCCACCAAGTGATCAATTTTTTCTTGTAAACCTTTAGGCTCAACCAAGGTTCGTTCGGCATTTGTCGTTTTGAAAATAGTTCTGTCTGGGACAACAACCTTGATCAACTTGTTTGGCAAATCAGAATATGCCTTATTCCATTGCTCCGGCGACAAATCAAGATAATGCAATATAATCAAAACAACCAAAAGATCAGAGATTGCATCACCAACAGTTTGGTTGATTAATTGACTAAAGTTTTGTAAAACTTTGACTGCAGTTTCTTCTTTTGGTGAGTTTGCTTTGTAATTGAATATCTTGCGCTCGGCTTCCTTTTTGAAAACAACAGTGCCGTGTCCGTTTGCTTCAAAATAAACACCAATATCAAATTTTTCTGCTTCGTGATGCAAATGTTTCACACCAGTAGGGGTACAACGAACTGGCAACTTCAATACTTCTTCAACATACTTGGTGGAGGATCCGTTGGCGTAGGCTGTTTGCACCACGCCAATATCGAGTTTCAATTTACTTGAATCAATGTTCTTGAAGACTTGTTGCAAAAACAAAGCAATTAACGTTGATATTTTGTCACCATCGAGAAGAACAAATGCATCATTTGAGTCCTTGAAATAACAAATGAGCCTATCGGCATCACCATCAAAAGATGCATAAAGCTTATTCGAAACAGGTTGAACGTTCTTCGGTAACTTTTGATTTGTCTTGACAAAATCAGCACCACAATCGTAGTTCAACAACTCTGGCTTTTCGTAGTCTCCGTTCACAACGTTGAATTTGATTTCATCGGCAAGATACTTTTTCAATAGAGTGTCGATTTTTGGTGCACCAACACCGTTTGCTGCATCAATTGTGATATCAAGCTTGTTACCCCTGTTTGAAATGTTAAAAATTTCTTTGAATGAGGTTGCTAATTTCTTGTAGTATCCGTCTTCCTTTCTCTCGCCAAATTCAGGCTCATTGAAAGTTCTCGTGATATAATGTAATTCGGGCGTGGTTAACAACCCAAAATCCTCGAATTGCGTGTTTGGAACACTTTTGAACCCATCAATGGTGGCTTTGTTGAGCGCTGGACTGCTCGCTCTGGAATCCCTAGCAATAACAACACTGCTTGCGCTGTTCAAGTCGATATTCAACTCTTTCGACAATTGTTCAACTGTGCTCGCCAAGTCCTCCGCACTGGAGTTGGCCAATTGACACGCATAAGTTTCCCATTCACTCTCCAACATGCTGCCCAATGGATCCACTACTTTAACCCCATTATCTTGAGGAGGATTGTGCGAGGCAGTAATCATCACCCCAACGGTTTTACCTCCAAGGCTTTTGGATCTTAATGAAGCGAGAATGCCCACGGTGTAATTGACGTAGTCCAAGTACTTGGCATTCATTCGAAACCCGGCAGTCCCGTATGTAAAAGTGATTCCGTCAGGTTTAGGATGTTCGGATACATGTTCACCAAATAGGTTGTTGAGCGACATTGTAGTTTGGAGATCTGGCGTAGTGAAAAGAATTCCGATCTATGAGTTTTGAAAATTTCAAAATTTTCCAAATCGAGAGACAACGTAAACCACGTTTCTTGTCTTTACCGAAACATGTTTAAAAGATTCATATCAACAAAGCCACCTCCATTTCATAAACAAGGTGGCTCCACTGTTAGAATCCAATCCCCGGAGCATAAACTCAAATCCACAAGGGCCAAAGAGTCACCTTTTGTTCAAGAGCTTGTGCTCACCGGACGACCAAACTGGGAAAAAGCTCCTCCACAATTGAAACAACGGTACAAGGGTATATTCCTTGTTCTTTTGTCAGTGCCAATTATATTCATCACCAGTTTTGAAATGTACCAACGACTAGAAGGGCAATCAACAAAGAAGATCCAACAAGGAGAGAAGTTGCCAACTGGTGAGAATAGAGACTTTGATGAGATGGAAAAGTACAAGGTGGAAAAAGAGTCAGTTATGTACAAGCTATTTGGAAAAGACTTCTTTTTGGACGGATTTACGAGCAAAACAATGAAGGTTGATAAAAACGAGAAAGGAAAATGAAGTTGCCCCAACCCCTACTCATTCACTCATTCACTCATTCACTCATTCACTTCCAAATGGGTCTATTCTCATGAAGCGACTTTAGCAAATTCTCTTCATCATATCGAGATCCCAATGATGATAATGGACGTTCTGGAGATGTACAATTATAGCTCAATCTCCGAGAATAAGTAAGATTTGGAATCGTGGTCTCATTTAGTAGAGAATTTGGTCTACCAATGACAGTTGCATTTGAGCTAGCACGTGACCGAGCGACATAAAATGGATCGGCAAAGTCATGATGTGCAGGAGGAGGAGGTGAAACTTCAATGCCGCCAGCGGGTAGTGTACCGTTTTGGGAACGACTTGTTCTGTATGGAGACTGGAAAACAGGGTGAGTAACATCGATTTCTGGAATTTTTGTAAAGCCTCCCCTCTTAGAGAATTTGGGGTACCCCAACTGAATATAATTCGAAACAATGCGTGGTAGTTTGGATGCTGGGCGTGTGCTTGAGTTTATAATGTTGTTTATATAACTGTCGAAATCGAATGAAACAGCCTTTTGCCTTGGTTGTGATTCCAACGGGCCCTTGAGTACAGGAGTCTTGACCAATGTCTCCTCTTCGTCCTCTCTCTCTTTAATATTCATGTCCTCGAAAACCTGGACAAGAGAGTCTTTCAAATTCTTCCCCTTGGGGTTCTCGCCATTGAAAACATCCTTTACTCGATCCTTTTTTGATATACTCAAGGGCATGGTGACAGACTCCACATCCACATTAAAATCAATTCCTTTCCCGTTACTCATTGGACGCTCGAATTCATCTTGATGAGAGTTCTTGGAAGTGGTGCGAAATTGACGTAAACCATGAATTCTCAAAGACCGCTCCCGCTGTTGCTTGAGTCTTAAATTATGCGTATGCAGATCGGCTTTAGCTCTCAAGATCAAATCATTCACCTCCATCCACTTGGGGTGCAAACTTTTGTTATACGTCAGGGGAACTTCTGTATCTGTGATTAATCTTTCTACAATGGCACTTTCAATCAAGTTTATCGAGTTGGAGCATACTTTGTACCTTGATCCGATGTCCTCAGTAATTGTGGAATTATCACCTGTACTGGCTGTATCGGAAAATGCCAAAACGTCAATCAATTCGTCGCACTCCTGGTCGATTTCATGAATTAAGTACTTGAAAATGTCATTCCATTTACTGTCGATATTATCCTGTTTAAAGATTTTGAATTGCGCATCCAAATATTTCCACTTGTCCAACATTGACTCGTAATTCAAGAGCACCTGTTCTCTTGGAACCTTGTACGAGTCCTGCAGACAAAGAGAGTTGAATTCTTCAATTTTTGCAGTAACGATATCAAGTGAAATACGCAATGGAAGGATCTTCTGTTCCACTGCCACAAACTCGTTGTAAACTTCTTGATCCAGATCACTAAAAGTTGGGAGTTTTATCGACTTTACGGACACCGATGAGGTGGTGAATTCATTAATCTTCATCTTGGAAATAATATCATTCAAATTGAATTGGGGCAACACTCTTTTGGGACTTGACAACTTGCAGTCGCTCATTTTTATAACCACTTTGGTACACATTTCAATTTCAGTTGTTAATGACTTAATAACTGACTCGAGTAAGTCCCGGTAATTATTTGAGATATCCAAAGTTCTTTTCAAGACAATCAGTGACTTCTTAACATCCAATAACACATCACTGACTTCTTCAAATTTTTTAATCAAACTCTGGCTTATGTGGGTTGAAGTATCGGCGGTTTCTATTGCTGATAAAAGTCGTGATATTATCGAATCAACACTGTCCACGTCCTGAAACAAGCTCTGTAGCTCTTTCTTACCTTCATGGAACCAATCTAGTACATTCGTAGCATGTCCAGATACCTCTTTTATGTTGTTGAATACGATGATCAAGTCGTTGAGATACAAATCAATGTCATCCAATACTTTATTGATTTTGAATAGCTCATGCTGCAGAAGTGGTACCAAGTTGGATTCATTTGGCTGTGGGAGGTTGACAAGCTCTTCAATAAAGGAGAATACTGGTATTGACGACAATAGATGAGATAATTTGAGCTGAGGACTCCTGGTTACGTTGGAAACCATGTTAGCATTGTTGTATTAAGAAAAGGAATATGTGAGGGGGGGGGGAATTTCAAAAAAAAAAAAGCAAATAAAAAAGCAAAAATAAGAATGATAAAATTGGGGACACCAGATGTAATGTAGAAATATCAATCTGCTTGATAGCTCTAATGCCACTATAATCTCCTCTAAGATATAGAATCCTTGTAACACAATTGTATCAGCCAACAGTACTTGTATATCAAAATAAATCCCAAAACGTAAAACAAAAACAAAACATTTGCGCATCATGTCGCAACTATGCATCTTCCGACTTTACAAATACGACACAACACAACACAACACAACACAAAGATAAAAACTGTCTCTTCTCTCTCTTCCGCCAAAAAAACTTCATGAGAGAGATGAGATCAGACCATCACTAAACTTTCAAGAACTATTTCAAACTATCAAGCATGGGCAAGGCACCAAACAAGAAATTCACCACGAAGCATGACCCCACGAGCAACACTGTTGCTGCAGACAAACACCTCAACAGCGTATTCAAGTTCAATACCAACTTAGGTCAGCATATTCTCAAGAACCCCCAGATTGCTCAAGGAATCGTTGATAAAGCCCAGATCAAGCCCAGTGACATTGTATTGGAGGTTGGTCCAGGTACCGGTAACTTGACTGTGCGGATATTAGAACAGGCGCGCAAGGTTATTGCTGTAGAAATGGATCCAAGAATGGGTGCAGAATTGACCAAAAGAGTCCATGGAACACCCCAGGAAAAGAAATTGGAGATTATGTTGGGCGATTTCATGAAGACTGATTTACCCTATTTTGATGTATGCATATCTAATACCCCATACCAGATATCGTCACCGCTCGTGTTCAAATTACTCAACCAACCACGCCCACCGCGCGTATCTATTCTCATGTTTCAACGAGAGTTTGCAATGAGATTAGTCGCTAGACCTGGTGATGAGCTATATTGTCGATTGTCAGCCAATGTCCAAATGTGGGCGAACGTGACGCATATTATGAAGGTTGGTAAAAACAATTTCCGACCTCCTCCCCAAGTCGAGTCGAGTGTAGTAAGGATAGAAGTCAAGAATCCAAGGCCGAATATAGATTTTAATGAATGGGACGGACTTTTGAGGATTGTTTTTGTTAGAAAGAACAAGACTATAGCTGCTGGATTCAAGTCGCTGAATGTGGTTGACATTTTAGAAAAGAATTACAAGACCTGGTTAGCCACACAAGAAAACAATGGAGACGCAATGGTTGTTGATAATAGATCCGATTTAAAGCCATTGATAAAGGAGAAAATTACAAAAGTGTTGGCGGAAACGGGTTTCGCAGAGCAAAGAGCTGGTAAATTGGATCAAACTGATTTCTTGAAATTGTTGTATGCATTCCATCAAGTGGGAATTCACTTTGCCTAAACACTTGAGTTTATATACAGCATCTAATTCAATTATCGTCTCTTAGCTGTCTTACTAGTATCCTTCTCGATAACTTCGCCAACACCACCCATCTCTTCCAAATTGTCCTCGGCCACAGAGACTGCCTGTCTTCTTTCCCAATACCTATCTTCACACAATTCAAATGCAACTTTTTTCAAATACTTCCCACGTGCCTCCCGATGGCTAGATATAGACCATTCCAAGAAATCACCACCTGATCTAACATAGAATGCTCGTAAAGACTCAAACGGTTTGGGATGAGGTAGCCATGGTCTTGGATCTGGAAACTCTTCCTCTTCGTCATCCGACGATGGCTCCTCCTCTTGCTCCTCAACTTCAGCAAAATTCTCTTCCTCTTCATCCTCGTTTCCACTTGCATCTTCCATGTCCTCTTCTTCATACTCAAAGTCATCTTCCTCATCTTCATCTTCCGATTCTTCCGCCGCTTTCTCTAGCTCAGATAAATCTTCCCAAAAGACTTTGACTCCGTCCAATCTACCCAAATCAATGGCATAAAACGAATCCAAACTAAACTCTTGTGCACCACGTTCAAATACACCACCAAATATATAGAAAACATCATCCACAACACAAGTGGTGGCATTGAAACGAGGATGTGGTAGCTGGCTCATGATTGGATACTCAACAGCATCTTTGGTTAGATCCTCTTCCTCCTCCTCCAGCTTCTCCCCAACGTCCTTGATTTTTTCCAACTCGGCAACGTTATCAGCATCTTCATCGTTCAAGTTGGACTTGGCCAAGATGGAGTTCAAAATATCTTCCAAATCCTCGTCTCTTGATTTCTCTTTAATTGCCTCTTTCTTCTTCCTCTGTGGTCTCAAGCTCAAATTGTACCACCTATTGCTATCGATTTGATAACTATACAATTGGTTGAAAAACTCCGACTCCAATTGCTCTTCACTTTCATCATAGTCATAAACTCCCCCGAATAAAATACCTCGGTTTTTATGATACACCAACGAGCATCCAACACGAGGCAGTGGCAAAACACCTTGCTTCTTTCTCCGCTCAAATCGAACACCTTTTGGATCACTCTTCATTTTCAAAATCCAGCAATCACTCAACACTTTACCCTTTTGTAAACCTTTGCCAGCCTTGACTTTAGTGTATCCTCCATACAACACAGCACCATCAGCACAAGGTATGAACGAGTGTCCGGACCTAGCGTCAGGAATTGGGTGGTTGGGTGGAAACTCAACCTGCTGCCACTTAAATTCTGTCACATCAAATATCCAAACATCATTGAGATAGGTAGTCATTGTACCCAAATCACGGAAACCTCCATGAAGGATGATAAAGTTCTTCCAAACAGCTAACCGATGACCAGATCTTGCAGAAGGTCCCTTTTTTGCGTCAATCTTTTGCCATTCTTTGGTGTCGGCATCCAAGATCCAAGTGTCTCCATAGTGGTAAAATGTTGATTGCTTAGGTGATGAAAACTCACCGCCAAACATTAAAAGGATTCCTGATGGATGAGCACACATGGCATGCGAAGATCTAGGTAAGGGAGCGTTTTTGGAAACGAATTTCCTCCAAGTATCATTATCAACTGAATAAGTGTACAAATCATTATGGAAATGTGACGTTTTCCCATCGCTTGATTCACCACCAAATAAAATGATTTCTCGTTTATTGTGCAAGGGAGAAGCAACCATAGTTGGGTTCAATCGTCTATGCGGGTGGCTCCTGCATACTTCAATTTTGATTTCGGTAAACTCTTCCTGTTCTTTTGCATAGTTGGCCAAAATCGTATCAATGTCTTCGTCCTCCTCTTCTTCGTCGCCTTGTTTCTTTGCCAATTTCTTGTTCTTCACTTCTGCCTTGGACAAGTTTTTCTTTTGCTTCTCTGCAGCACGAGCCTTTTTGGCTTCCTTACTCTTCTTGTCTTTCTTTGCCATTCCATATGCTCCGTAAGGAGAGGTGTATCTAACTATGTGGGGGAATTCAGTAATTGAGTATGGTTGCAAAGATGAGTCCTGGAGGGAAAAAAGAAAAAAGCAAAAAAAAAAAAAAAAAAAAAAATTAAAAAAAAAGTTTGTGAAGTTTGGATTCTTCAACAGAGCGCGATCTTCAACAAGTGCTGAAACCACAACAACATTTGAATGCAGCAGCATCACCAGCAATGTCCGGTACAAACAACGACTACTTCAACAAACAGAGGGATATACTAATCCAGGAAATCTCAAACAACTTGTCGGAAGTATATACCAATTTGGAAACTTTAAATCGATCATTGAGTGAAAGTATACAGATCGGTAAGGAGTTTGATGATGTGGGGAGATTATGGCGTACTTTTTATGATGGTATGAACAGTATAAAAGAGGAAACAAGTGCAGCAGGTATTTCTGAGCACGATGGGAAAACAGGGCAACCTGAAGCTGACTCTAGGCGAACAGGCACAAGTCCTGAGAAGTGATAGATTGTGTGTAATATAGAGGGGTGACTAAAGTTGATGTAATCTAATAGGAGTTTGACGACAGCATATCTTTTTGGAATGTAGAAATCTCTATTGCAAGAACGCAACAGAAGCGTAAGCAGCTCTACACCTATATGCCCACCTGCAAAGCGCACTAAAGCAAAGCTTTTCACACAATCATTTTATTACAATAAACAACACTACTTTTAAGGCTATAAAGTTTATTTGGCAACTGCGAAGGAGCAAAAGAAAAATAGTAACAATTGATTTATACGATGGAATACTGAGACTACATTCAACCTGTTTAGAAACACTTGTGGTGAACAATTGATGGTCCAGATTCGTCGTATTCTTGCTTTGAGATCCACATTTGTTGGAAAGTGGACAATGAAGCCAAAATGGAACCACCGATCCAGACAGAGTACTTTCTTTCTGGAGGAGCAATGATCTTGACCTTCATTGAAGATGGAGCCAAGGCGGTGATTTCCTTTTGCATACGTTCAGCAATACCTGGGAACATAGTAGTACCACCTGACATGACAATGTTACCATACAATTCCTTTCTGACATCCAAGTCACACTTCATGATGGAGTTGAAAGTAGTTTGGTCAATACCAGCGGCTTCCAATCCCAAGTCAGCTGGACGGAACAAAGCTTCTGGAGCTCTGAATCTTTCGTTACCAATGGTGATGACTTGACCATCTGGCAATTCGTACGACTTTTCAATAGCAGATGATTGTGATGAGGTTTGCATTTCTTGTTCAAAATCCAAGGCAACGTAACACAATTTCTCCTTGATGTCTCTGACAATTTCTCTTTCAGCAGTGGTGGAGAAACCGTAACCACGTTCTGACAAAATCTTCATCAAGTAGTCAGTCAAGTCTCTACCAGCCAAGTCAATTCTCAAGATACCGTGAGGCAACGAGAAACCGGCGTAGATTGGAACAACGTGGGTAACACCGTCACCGGAATCCAAAACAATACCAGTGGTTCTACCAGATGAGTACAATGACAAGACTGCTTGGATAGAAACGTAGAAAGCAGGAACGTTGAAAGTTTCAAACATAATTTGGGTCATCTTTTCTCTGTTTGATTTTGGGTTCATTGGGGCTTCGGTCAACAAAACTGGGTGTTCTTCTGGAGCAACTCTCAATTCGTTGTAGAAAGTGTGGTGCCAAATTTTTTCCATATCGTCCCAGTTGGAAACAATACCGTGTTCAATTGGGTATCTCAAAGTCAAAATACCTCTCTTTGATTGGGCTTCGTCACCAACGTATGAATCTTTTTGACCCATACCAACCATAATACCTTGGTGTCTTGGTCTACCAACAATTGATGGGAAGACAGCTCTTGGTGCGTCATCACCAGCAAAACCGGCTTTACACATACCAGAACCATTATCAATGACTAAAGCAGCAACTTCTTCTATAGAGAGGTGTTAGTATAAAAAGCTTCCCCATGATGAGTCAAATTGATTCGCAGAACGTAATGGCTTTGTATCCGAGTTTAGCAACTTATTCTACTCTTGTGTTTCAACTTCAACGTCGAAAAAATAAAAATAAAAAGAAAAAAACCTATGCTGCGTCCAAACCAAGGGAAAAAAAAAAAAAAAAAAAACTGAGATCGAGATAACAAAAGCCACCCGGATCAGTGAGCTATTGCGATCTCTCTAGGTATCATAGTTGAGTGTAGTTGGTCTAGTCTCTCCACAATCGACCTCTTCGAGCAATGTTCTTGACTGATTCCTGTTCGCAAAGTTCTTGATGTTGGTGAGAGATCATGACGATGTATTTGTTTGATTGCTTGTGCTGAATCAAATGAATCAATCGCAATCACGCCATCCACACGCCCCCAACGCCATGATGTCAAGATACATCTCTAAGATCTATTTCGTTGGCTCGACTCCGATCTGAAATTCGTGTTGTTGAGGAAAAGGACAATCAGATCCCAGATATATCAACCATTGCGACTCTCTGCCCAATCAATCACTGATTGAGTGATAAAAGTGTGTTGGTACATACCACCGTCCATTTTGTATATATGATTGATCTATTAAACTGTAAAAGTGCTTGAATTATAGATACAAGTTGTGGGTTTCTAAGAAAGAAAGTAGGAGTTGGAAAAAGAAAAAAGAGTTTTCCTATGAGAAAAAAGAGAACAATTGTGAAAAATTCAGAAAATTGGTTCGTTGGCAAACAAGAGAGAGAGAGAGAGAAAGAGAGAGAGAGAGACGACGACGGGCGAGGGAGGTTGATTTTGAGTTACAAAACAAATACATTTTTTGATCATTGGTACACGACCAGATCATAATAGGAGACGATGGCAGGTCATGTTCTACGTCTCATTCGCCTAGCAACAGGCGCAGAATAAGTCTTGGTTCTCGCACCCTGTGGCATCTGGTCCCTATAAAAGTAAGACTGAAGGTGAGGCTTACTTGCCGACCAATGTAGCAAACAGTGTGCAGCAAATGAGGTACAGATACGCGTTTATCAACGCTTATTTTTTTTTTTTTGCGTTGCCAACAAAACATATTTGAAACGTAGACGGGCAGTCCGACTGCTTATACACAATCTACTAATCTTGGTTTATTGAAGGTATCCTTACACTTATCTGAGGGAAGTTCTGCATCTTCTTTATTCCACATGCTCCTTTGTTAGATTTTAAGTGGGTGGCCAAATCATTAAGTTCCCATTTTGAATCAAGTACACTACCAGTGGGTATCTGAAATCGGCTTAGTCACGAAATAGTTTTTCTTTTTTTTTTCGCCTTTTTTTGCAGGCTATGCTACTACACCTTCTATTCAAACGTGCCAATGAATAGACGTTAGTGCACTCAATAAACGCAGTGAAACAAAACTGTGTATAATGCTATTCTAATAGTCTCCAGCTTGCTTGTGGGTGTAATGTTGGTATGATTACGAGCCCCCCATCTATCACTGAGCAAAGACATACAGAGTTCAGAGATGTAGTACGTTCTTCGAATATAGTTTGACATTGGACACATATCTCTCCAGCTGGTATACTTTGGGATACACACACTAAAGTGTTCAAATAAAGAGCGTGGCCATTGGAAGCGATTTTCGTGGACAACCTGGGCCGATTTGTCTGGTTAAGAGAGAGAAGGTTGCAAAATCGGCGATTGTGTAGGAGTTTAAAAACAAAAATAGTTGATGCCGGAGATAATTGTAAATACACGTTGTGACTTCGATCTCATAAGTGTTTATTGAAGTAATGAGATTGAGTTTTCTTTCAACGATTCATATTAGATGTAAATGCAAATCTCAATGAAACTTTAACGAAAGCAGAAATATAATCAAGATTTTGGTGCCAAAATCATAAAGATCCTGCACTATCCCTTTGGACGTGAGCCAGTTCAATTCTTATACTTTGCTTAGAAAGTGTTGCCCACTTTCCACTAACGTGTTCTCTTTACACCTCTAATTCGCTTAGATGTCTTTTCTTCAAAGGTTTCATTTCAATGAAGGCGCATTGTCGTAAGCGAAATTTATTGCTTGCCCTCTCACTTCATAGTTAAACAACGAAAAGAAAAAAAAAAAAAAAAAAAAGGAAAAAAGGCAAAAAAATGTGACATTCCCCAAAATAGAAATTTCTTTTTTCTTCAACAACAGAGAAAACAATTTGAGTGGTGAGATCACACCAAATCCTCGCCCCTCTCTCTCTCTCTCTCTGTCTATTCCATCGTTGTTTCTTTGACATACGTACACACATCATCACTAGAGATTTTACAATCTTTTTCATCCATCAGTCCATTTACAAAGAGACATACAGTACCTATCAAGTGACAAGAATTACACAGCACTAGCGTTTCTGTATAATCCACTACTCGCATAACATAAAAACAGCACACCCCTAATTTCATTACAAGCACAATCGATAATATGTCTTCATCAGTGCCATATGACCCATACATTCCCAACCAACAGACTGGAGATCAATCCAGGACTGCCGCAATACAAGCCGTATGTACAGTTCCCCTTAAGGATTGTCTTATCTTCTCGTTCCTGTGCTCCTATACTAACTGCCCTTGTTATTCTAGCAAATAGACGACACTGTTGGTATCATGAGAGATAACATCAACAAAGTAGCGGAAAGAGGAGAAAGGTTGGACTCAATAGAAAACAAGACTGACAATTTGGCCATCAGTGCACAAGGTTTCAGAAGAGGTGCAAATAGGGTAAGAAAAGATATGTGGTGGAAAGATTTCAAAATGAGAATGTGTCTTATCTTCGCGGTCATTATCGTGATCATTGTGATTGTCGTTCCTATTGCTGTTCATTTCAGTTAGAATATATTGCCTTGTCGAGTCTTTCAGGTATACCTTTGTTTGGTCAATGCTTCATTTTGTGGTTTTCTTTTTCTTTTTTTTTTTTTCTTTTTTGGGGCAGTTTTACATAAATATATAGGTGTGTATATCTTTGCAAGAGTATATAAGATTTCGTAATTCCTTAACGCTTTTATCGTCTTTGGTTGAACTCATCTTAGGTACACCTCTTCTCTGGGTGGATAACAAGATTCGTAGAAGAGATGCAAAAAAGAAGTCATTTTTCCACCAGAGTCAAAAGGCTTTCTCGTTCTCCAATTGAACAGAGAAGAACATTTAAAAAAAAAAAAACCTCTCTGCATTTCAAAACATCTGATTACTTACACCTTCTTCTTCCTTGCCATTGCATTGCACTGCATACATACCTCACAGACATACATTTCCAATCATGTTCAAATCCTTACTCAGATCATCTTCAATTCCTCTCCGTACGTTGGCTGGACCATCCACCAGTGCTGCTACCGTATCACCATTTTTACGTACATTTTCAACAGCAACCCCACAATACTACAAGGCAGACAAAGATTCTCATGCTTACAAGTACTTGCACGAAAAGACACCCGTTGAGACCAAGTTCACTGAAGAGCACGAGTATGTCAAGTTGTACGACGACGATTCAGCCTTGATTGGTATCACCCAATATGCAGCACAAGCATTGGGTGATGTTACATTTGTTGAGTTGCCGGAATTGGGAACTAGGGTCGAAATTGGCGAAACTTTGGGTTCAGTAGAGAGTGTTAAATCAGCCAGTGAAATCTATAGTCCAGTCAGTGGCGAAGTTGTTGGTGTTAATGAACATTTGGAAAGCGAACCGGGTGTGTTGAACCATGACCCAACTGTTGAAGGGTGGATCGCTCATATCAAGTTGGACGATCCCAAACAAGTCACCGAGAGTGAAACTTTGTTGAGCACTGAAGACTACGCCAAGTCTTTAGAAGAAGATTAAACTATGAAGCTATAGTGGTTTATAAATATAGTTTATTTATTTATTTATTTATTTATGACCGCTCTTTTCATAAATCTAATTCGGGTTTAGTGCCCTTAATCCTGCCCAATACGCAATTTGGCACATATTTAGGAATAAAATTATCCTCGTGCAACATTTCAAAACTTTCAGTTGCATCTCTACCACCAAAGTTTGTAATTGAAGCAGCACCTCCTGGGTGCTGGTCTAAAAACAGAGTCAAGTCAACAACAACATTTTTTATGATACACCAGCAATCCTTCTTTGTGTTGTGTTTGGCAACCTCTTCAGGAGTGAATTCTTTGTCGGGAATGGAAAACAGTCTGGCTTCTTTTGGCTGTTGCTTGGCTGACTTGGCTGCATTTTGCCCCAGCTCAGACTGCTTATGAGCTCCGTTTTTATTGCTGCTGGACAGTCCAACTGATGATGACGACGTCAACGTCGACGTCGTCGTGCCTTGGTGGTTGTTCAAGTCAATGATCAATCTGTTAGTATTTGGGTCAATGTGCAAGTTAATCATGTTCAATCTCTGGGTAGCATTGTGTCCAGGTAATTCACTACCTGCGCCACCAGTCTTACTCAATTTTTGCAACTCATAGCTACAAGCTTCATCAGCAGCCAACCTTCCGTAAACAACACATGCCAACAAGGACGAACCACCTAATCTGTTGTGTCCATGAACACCACCGGCAACTTCACCAGCAGCATACAAACCTTCAAATGGTGTATCATTTTCAGTGAGAACCTGCGACTTGTCATTGATCTTTACACCACCCATGGTGAAATGCAAAACCCTAGTTATAAATGAAACATGGTATTTGGCTTCTGGCTTGTACTCAAATGGAGTAGTAGGGAAAAACTTTTTGCCATAGGGATCCTTGATTTCACCTTTGGCTGCTTTGTTATAAGTGTCCAATTGTTGTTTCAAATGTTCCTCACTACAACCAATCTCTTCACACAATTGTTTCCCAGTAACTGTTCTCATCAAGTTTCTTTGAGTGTAGTGCTTAATATGAAACGCCAACTTCTTTTCTGACTCTTCACTCAAAACCAATCTAATTGGTCCGTTACCAGCTTTGTTTTGCTTCTCCATTTCACCAGATACCCAATCTCTGGTACCCAATTCATCAACAAATCGATCCCCTTTACCATTCAACATGATACCTCCTTCCCCGCGCAATGCCTCAGCACCAAGAAACAAGAACCGAGGTTGTGTCTTACCTGCAATAACGTCCTTATCGTTATAATCAATCAATCCAGTAGGATGAACTTGAACTTTGTCCATATCAATACCAACACCGTGATTCTTCATAATAATCTTTTGGCCGTCTCCAGTAGCATGCACACCATTTGTCGAAGGTAAATCAATGATATCAGGACGGTATTTACGCAATAAACTGTTCTTTGTGAAATCGGCAGCATACCCACCAGTGGACATAATTACAGGTCCGTAAACTTCTGATTTGGACTTATCTTGCAAGTTTTTATATTTTACACCAACAACCCTACCCTCGCCTTCCTTGATCAAGTCAATGACTTGACAGTGCTTCAATATAGCAACCCGATCCGGCTCATCTTCACTCAATTTCTCCAACGTTTCCAACAACCTATAAGTGATGGCCATTCCCGGGAACTTGGAATCATGGCCACGATGCGTACGGGGTTGAGAGTGACCACCTAATCTCAGCACCACTGTCAAATCCAATCCAAACACCTCTTGTAACCAATGGACAGCATCGGCTGAATTATAAGTCAAGACTTTGATCAAAGCGGGGTTGGCTCTATCCTTTGCCGTTTTCAAAGTATCTTCATAAAACTTGTCAACTGAATCGTCAATTTGCAACTTGGTTTGCGTTCTGGTCAAAGCACCATTAATACCCGAAGTTGCTTTACCGCTGTTACCCGATAAGAATCCTTGCTTGTCTAACAAAACAACGTTCGCTCCACGCAAATAGGCTTGATGTGCTGCTGATAATCCAGCCAATCCACCACCTACAATAACAATAGGGTTAACTGGCAATTCTGACATTTGAGTAGGACGTGTATGTGTGTGTGTGGGGGGGGGGGTGAAAAGTGTGTGAATAAATAAGTCTTGCTTATAATGAAGCCGGCAACGATTGGTGGCTGCTGTCTGATAATGCGCGCACTTTTTATAGTTTATACTCCGCGACAAAAAAAAAAACAAAAAAAAAACAAAAGAGAAAAAAAGAACTGATACTGTGGGTGGGGAAGGGGAAAGAGAGGAAGAGAATAATATCGTTCCGATATTATATCTAACAAGTAGGAGTCTATGATGAATAATATTTGCTTTGCAGTGGGCGGAGATTAGAGGTAAAAGTACGCTTTATCGCTGAACCGTCGGTAGTTCTTTCTGATGGTGGTTATTATGCATTGAAATCAGGTGTTTTCCGCCCATCATAATTTTTTCCCCACAAAAGTTTCGGAATTATGCAGAGACTGCCACGATCGAAATTGAAAACCTTGACTCGCGTTGGGCGGATAGGGAGATACTTTTGTGTCTAGGTCGGTGACATCTACTGGATCCCAGATAAGCTTTTGAGACATTTTAGTGTCTGAACCAACTGTGTCAACGTATGAAGAGTAGAACTATTTCCGACAAGAAATAGTTAATGGTTTTGAAGTTTGGATTTCTTGGGTAGTTAGTTGTAATGGTAATGTCGGCGCGCTTACATTTTCCTAATTAGGACAAAAATGTCTGCAGCGACAGCTTGTCAGAAAATACAAAAAAAAAAAAAAAAATGCTCCGTATTTTCTTCTCCCACTGCATATGAGAGTAGTTTCTTTCAATAAAGAACGTCCACCTTTTGAGAACCACAGTTGCAAAAAGAAAACTATCGTAAAGCAAGTTGCTGTAAGCATTCAATGTTATTCTATCTATACATGTGATATATACTGCAAGGCAAATGAGACATCATTGAATTGAGCTTCATTTGCAACCAAAACATCTTCGTTATTTGCCAACTTCTTGTTATTCAAATGGTTCCAAGTTGTCGCATCACCATACAACATTGCTGGTGCTTTAATAAATTGTCCCTTCTCTTTGTGGCATCGCTTACAATTATACGTATCGTGGGTATCACATTCAGTGTCTGGCTGATACATAAACAATTGTTTCAAATTATCAGCACTGAATAAACGCTCCACATCTTCTTTCTCATCAACAACACAACTACTCAATGACATCTTCATTGATTGACGTTGGAAAATCTTCTCTTCAATAGTTCCAGTTGAAATAAAACGATAAATAAAGCAATCCTTCTTTTGACCATCTCGCCAAACTCTAGCCAAAGCTTGTTGGTCCAGCGCAGGGTTCCAGTCTGGGTCGATAAGAATTAACCGATTAGCACCAATCAAGTTAATACCACATCCACCTGCCTTGGACGACAACAAAAAGATAAATTCGGAGCCGTTGGGATCATTAAACCTATCAACCAACTTTTGTCTCTTGTTGATGTTCATGGTTCCATCTAATCTCAACGAACCATACTTCTTATTCCGGCACATTTTTTCAATCAAATCAAGCGTTTGGGTATAGTTTGAAATCAAAACAATCTTGTCATCAGTCTCACGATGTATCTTGTTCAAAAATCGTTCCAAAATCAAAAATTTACCACTAAACCAAGTTTGTACTTCTCGATTACGTCCAGTGGCGGTGATGGAAGATTGATAATCCTCGGGGATTAAATGCTCACACCCTTCCAAGTCATCCGGCAAGTCCAACAAGTCTGGATGATTGCAAAGCTTCTTCAACATACCAATGGCTTTCAACGGTTGCGATCCAATGCCCTTTAACAATTTTTTGATCTCTGGTGACGTGATGAAATGGTTATACAAACTTTTCTGCATTGGTGACAAGCCAGTGAATAACACATACTCGTACTTGACAGGTAAATATTTCGACAAGATATCATTGGTACGTCTGATGATGAATTTCGACACCAATTGCGATAATTCCGTCAATTTGGCATCTCCCTTTTCACGTTCTTTGTCGGTAGCATCAGCGTCTCTACCACGCAAAATGGCATTTTCAAAATTTTTTCTAAAATCGTTTCTGGTACCAAGATAACCAGGGTTGGCAAAATTCAACAAGGAGAAATATTCTGATAAATCATTTTGTATTGGAGTACCTGACAAAATCACCCTTCGATCACATCTCAATGAGTTCAAGGCAGTGAATGTTAATGACTCACCATTCTTTAATCGATGTCCTTCATCAGCCAACATTAGACCCACTTCGGTACCAGCCAATTTATCAACATTTCTTCTCAAAGTTTCATAAGAGATAATCAAAACTGGACGCACGATATTTCTTCCCTGTGCAGTTGCCCATTGTTGCAATGCGGCACCCAAATCATTCGATTTCGTGCTTTTCCCATCAACAGCCAATGGCGTCAATACACCTTCTCCCAACCATTTAACAATTTCATTAGCCCAATTACGCACTAATGATGAAGGGCAAACAATGATGCATTTCTCAATGGTTCTTTTACCTCTGGGAGATTGTCTAAGCAACGTCCACATCAACGTGAGACATTGCAACGTTTTTCCCAATCCCATCTCATCTGCCATAATACACCCTTTGGCTCTCGGGTCCATTAACCCAGCAGTGCAACGATAAAGGAACTTGACACCGGCAATTTGATGGGGACGTAAGATCTTGGCCAATTTCGGGTCAATCACAACTGGAACGTTGGGGTAACGCGCTAGTTTCTCCTCAGGGTTGGTGACAATACCCAATATTTCAGCCAAAGAACGATGCGTCTTTCTTCTCTTTGCTGGCCGTTCCTCAGTTTCCAGATTCATCGATGTGTCCGACAGCTCTAGCTCCTCTATCTTCTTCTTCGCCGCCTCTTCTTCTTCTGGCGTCTTGGGTATCACATCGACCGTTGGGTCGTACAACACAATAGCAAATTCACTCATGGGGTCATGAAGGGCACGCGGTGGAAGTATGGGACGCACTTTAGTGCCCAACGGAGGTGGAGGACCACGTATCATGTCATCCTTCTTAGCGTTCTCTTTACTAAACGGAACAGTGAAAGATCTTTTGAACTTTGTATCGATGATATCGCGTCTACCATCACTATTAATGGAACGAGGAAGCAACGCGCCAAACTTCTTGCATTTAACAACTTCGCCACTTTCATCAACGTTTTGATCTTCTTCTGCTGTTGTACTTCCAAAATCATCAACCGCATAGTTGGTATTCTTCCTTGATGAGCGTACAGGCCGGCGAGATACGATACCAGACACGGTCTCCAGTCGCGTCTTGAATGGCACCTGAAATGGCTTCAAAAGCCGCAAAGCGGAGTCATGAACTTTGGGCGGTCTTTTGTCTTTTGGGACCCCAGCGCCTGAGCCTAGCGGGGTAGTGAAGTGGGTGAGTGGTTTGCGTACTGCCATACTTTGCTTCAATAGGGTTTTGAATGAGATATCTTTTTGTGAAGTTGCGAATCTCTGAAAAAATCAAAACAAAGAAGGGACAATCAAACTTTTGTTATATTGGAGCTACCAACTGATTTACAAAGATCAAACTGCTAATCTCTCCCTTCACAGTTCAACCAAAGCACCACAAGAGAAGGCAACCCGAATGGATCAGATCCTATCAAAAGCTTCAAATCAGGTGGTCTCATTTGCTATACGCTCTGGTATATCGATAGCATCAGGCTATGCCATCAAGACCATCTCCACATTTGTTGACAAAATCCCAGTTCTGCAACAACAACGTCTATCTAGACAACGACACAAACTCAAGACCAAAATCGATATCATCAATGTCACTATCGATTTGATCAAACTTGCAGCTAGTCGCGGCAACACCGTGTTGGAATCCACATTGGAGTTGATTGAAGATTTGCATAGCCAATTCACTGCATTTGACGAAGGGGTCAACGACATCACGGCACAATTGTCGAGTGCAAATACTAAAGAAAGCGTTAAACGGGTTGAAGATTACATGCGTGATTTGATGGTGGAAATCAATGATGCTATACCGATACTAAACTTGTCTTTGATAACGTCGGGGATAAATCTCAATGGTATGACTAATTTCAATGCAATTTCACCTGGTAGGCTACTACAAGCTTCAGATTATTTAAACAAGGGTAGTGATGCAGTAGGTCCTGCATTTGACTTGGTTATGTACACGATATTCTACAACCCAAGTCGAATGAAGTATGTTGGTGAAGGCGATAATGATGTTGATTCTCGTGTGGATGAATTGAGTTGTATAACATGGAAAGAGACATTTGCCAGAAGTTCAGTTCAGGTAACTAATGACGGCAAAAACGGGGAATTTAAGTACACTTTGATTATTGAGGAGGACTTCAATGACGGGAGGTTCCACGGTGGTGGTGATGATGATGATGATGATGATGATGATGCGAAGCCAAAAGTAAAAGTGTACGATTTGAAAGCGGTCCAAAGTATGTTTTTCACGGCGTCGGGGAAATTGCTAAGACTCGAAGGGCGCAATTTACCTGTCTTGATTTTGAAGATAGTCGATGGAGATAAAGAAGAATGGATTGCTTTAGGTGAGCTTCACCTGAATGAATTTGATGACGAAGAGGACGACAGCGATGAAGACGACAGTGAAACAAAAGGTAACACCAAGATATCTCGACAACAGATCAAATCCAGCTCCTTGTCTTTGCTAGAGTATATCATCAGATTAGCGAGGTTGCAACAGATTGAAAACAAGAGCATCTTGACAATCCCCGATGAAGTGTTGAAGATGTATTTACACGATCAACTGACAAGTGCCGATTTGCCAAAATCAATCTCCCAAAAAAGCAAGCATGATGCGAAATTGAAACACACAGAGGATAGGCTAACCATGGACTCCAATATCGCACGTTTGAAAAATTTGGAGATTGCAAAATCGAAAAAGTAAGAAGCATGTCTACGAAAATAGCTATTCAGCTCAACATCGCTCCAATATCCATCTCTTGTACCTAAAAGAATGGAGAAAATACAATTCCATGAAATAAACCTCTCTATAAATACACTAAAGCATAGAAACTGAAATAAATAAGAATATAAATGACCCCAACAAGCCCAGCACCCAAGTCCACAATATCATCAAATGATCACACAATGTTATCAATCAGAATCATCATTTATTTTGGAGTATTCACCAAAGGGGTTGCAAAATGCTGAAACAATGGCAAATCCGCCCCTATTAGACCCAGATGTGGTGAATCAGTCTTAGAGTGCTGAGATGATGATGGATCCTTACTGGGTGTGTTTCCAACAGATGATCCTATGGCACCGTTACTTTCATTTCGCAAACTATTTTGTTCATCAGTACTGCCATTGTCAACAGGGTAAAAATTTGGATGAGTCGACAAAGCATCAGGTAATGAGGGTCGTTGCTGCATATCATTACCATATTCGCCCAAGTCTCCATAGTTTAAACCCTCACTGCCATATTGCTCAAACCCATTTTCATCAAGAAAGGAGTCAGTATACATTTCACTTTCAATCTTGCTCAACTGCGATCCAAATTTACTAGACCCAAGCCCTGTCTTGCCAAAATGATGATGCATCGTGTTGCTATTGTTGTGTTCTTCGTTATGATCTGTACCGATATAGTTAAATTCGTCAGTACCAGTACCAGAAGGCGGGTATGCGGTGGAAGTACTGGACAAAGGCACGCCACCGTTAGCAAGTGCACTATTGTAGTTACTGTAATTGTTGCCCATAAAGTCAAACGATCGCGCAGATGAATTTGACGCTATTGACAAAACACTCTCGGGACGTTTTGGAGCTCGCAGGTGCTGATTATAGTATCCATTTTGTGGGTTATTGTCAAAACTACTACCAAAATTGATGTTATGACTGGACCCTGTTGCTGACGGTAGCGAGCTGTTCAGATCTGTGGTTTGCGTCGCTAGCAGTGGTCTGACAGGAGTTGGTTGGTGTGGAATCTGTTGATCATTCATATTGGCAGGCAAGCCCAGCAATGGCTTATTTTCAGTGTCAAAACTTGGTCCACCAACAAGTGGGAAAAGCGGAAACATGGGATCAACCACTTCAAAACCGGCTGGACTTGTATCTCGCTCCTTATTGAATGTCGAAGACCCTTGATTCGAATGTGCTTGTTCTGCCCGACTTGTGGGGGATTCATTTGACTGAGGTGATATTGTATTGTTCAAATGTGTATTAACACCACTTATTCCTTCACTTAGCGCAGAATTAGAGCCATCAGGATCGTCCAGTTTGTTGAACAAGTCAAACAACCCTTTCTTGATTTCAAAAGGCATCAATATATCCTCAAGGACAAAATTGTCGCTGAGTTCTGGATTCTCCAACTGCGTCTCGTGAGGAGAAATGAATCCAAAATCTACGTGATCTTGTGAATGGTTGCCTGAGTTAGACGCCGTACCAATTTCACTAGGTGTCGATTGCTTTCTGAGCCTTCTCGGCATTGGTCGCGTTGGTAACGAGTTTGACCTTTTTAAAATGTCACCGTCTAACAAGGCCCTTATCTTTGCCGGGTCTGTTTCTTTGTTCTTCTTAGTTGGCAAACCTACTCCCAGAGAAGGGCCACAGGTGCAATGGCTAGTCTTGTGACATGCGCACCCAGTCTCGTGTATGGAGTTGATTGAAGTTGAAGACGCCGACCGAGGTAATTTGGACTTTTTCCCACAAGTGCAAGTGACATGTACGCTTTTCTGCTTTCTGTTTTCTCGGCAGTGATGGCACTGTGAAGCAGGACGACCTTTTGGTTTGATCATGGTCAACGGTTGATCGGTGTGGGTACATGTAGTGACTCTGTGACCTCTTATACAGCGATCACAGGCATACTTGACCCCATTAATCAATACCATTTCCTTTGTAAAGCCTGTACTATTGTGCTGATGTTATATGCTAACGTGTTGCTCGATGTATGTGGATGTTCAGTTGCCCCTTGTGATAAATTGTGGTGACCAGAATATAGCAGAAAACTAGCGGTTTATAAGACAGAGAGGGAGCTACGAGAGAGAGAGAGAGAGAGAAAAAAAAAATAGTTCTTAAGAAGACGAAAAAAAAGAAACAAAAGGCAAAGCGTGGTCGTGTGTTTGGTAACAAATTCTATCTCACATTTTGCACATATTATTTGCACAAAACATTACACAGAAGCTTCAGTGGAGAAGTTTCCACCTAGGCTTCTCTATGTGATCAATGATGCAAAGGTAGACATTGTTTTCCTCAAAAATTTCTGAATTTAGCTTCCCTTACTCTTACATGCAACCTCACAATGTTGTACTCTTAATTAACCAAAAAAAAAAAAAAAAAGGCGTGTACTTGAGTAAGAAAAAAAGAAAGAAAAAGGCTTTTTGATCATAACCCTAAAGGGCTGCAGCCATACTCTCTGTCATCAAGATCCTTCCCCCTGCATTTGAGTGAGTGCAAGTAAGGGATTTTATGGAGTGGGTCCACGGTAAGGGCAGCTTGCTTCTTTTGATAGAAAATTGGTAACTGTCCCCACGTGGCCGCGTTGTCTTCCAAAAATAACCTACTATGCATCAGCCGCTCACATTGACAGCTCTTTAACGGGACACAAAATGCTCTAATATCCACTCTGAACCGAAGCATTGACATTTCAACGGCAGGGGGGAGGGGGCAGCTACTTTCGTGTTATAAGGAAGTGTTTACGCCAGTACAGACCAGTTAATTTGCACCATTGGCTGAATAGCTCCAATATTGACTCCTTACACTACGATCTCTTTTCATATATGCATTCTACACAAGTGTGTAGATACACCTAAATGCCTATAACTACTCTAAAATGGAACAATTTAGTCACTTGAGTCTATCACATGTTTAAAACTTGGACTCTTTGAAAGGAGGACTGATCAATGGTTGGTAAACGTTTCTGAACAACTTATCCTCTGGTACAAACCTATTGCTGAAATTTCTAACATCAACATACTTCTCGTTCAACTGGTCAATTGAAGTGACTCCTAATAGCCTCATATTCATAATCATTTCATCCTTCAAAATCTGCATAGCTTTGACAACTCCATCATCTCCATAAGTGGACATGGCATAAAGGAATGGGCGTCCAATACCTACTCCCTTTGCTCCTAGGCAGATTGCTTTCAACACATCTGTTGCTCGTCTAACACCTCCATCGACATAAACCTCAAAGTTCTTATCCAATCCACGCTCTCTCAAGATTGGCATCAATTCGATAAGAACTTCAATGGGAGCACGAGAATACTCCAACTGACGACCACCATGGTTACTCAATATGATACCTTGACAACCATGCTCGGCTGCCAAAATAGCATCTTCAACACACTGAACACCTTTCAAAATGATTGGCATTTTCGTGATGGATTTGAAAAACTTTACATCTTTCCAACTCAATCCTGTGTCTATGAATGACGAAATGGCTCTGGCCGCACCTTGCGAACGGTCAGCATTATCACCATCGCCTTGAACGTGACTCAAGTCACTAAAGTCTTTCGACCTCATATCTTTTTCACGTCTACCCAACTGTGGCGCATCAACAGTGATGAACAAACCTTTGATACCTCTCTTTTCTGCATGTTGGACTAGCTTCTTGGTGATTTCTCTGTCTGAATTGACATATAATTGAAACCATTGCGTTTGTTTATCAGTGGCCTGATCTACAATTTCATCAAATGAACATGACGCCAATGTCGGTATCATTTGGATAATGTCTTGCTTGGCTGATGCTCGAGTCAAGACTTTTTCTCCATCGGGATGTCCCAACCTACCCAATGCAGTGGCCGTGACGTAAAATGGCGCTGACGTACTTGTACCCAACATTGTCGTTGATAAATCAATATTGGTAACGTCAACCATCACACGGGGTTTGAAGAAGATACGCTGATAACTCAAATGGTTTTCTCTCATGGTGATCTCATCATCACATCCAGATGAATAGTAAGCCCATGCAATCTTTTCCATGGTGTGTCTAGCCACAAACTCAAAATCGTTCAAATTGTAAATTTGTCCCAATTCAGGTTTATTTTCAACTCGCTTGAGACGTTGCACTTCTTCTTTTGGAATCGGCTCCCCATCTTCATCAAGCAACACTTCTTCTTCCTCGTCTGCCTCATTGGCCGATGTCGAGCTTGCTTGTGGCGCAGGAATGGGGTCCTTGCCATCTTGTTCATCATATTCAACATCAAACTCATCAACAACATTGCCATTGGACTTGCCAGAGCTTTGCTGTGGCTTGGGTTCGGAGCTCTCCTTCTTCTTCTTGACAACCTTTTTTACTGGTTGGTTGACCCTCTTTTCAACCTCACCTTTGTGATATTTTGGTGCCAAATACTTTGTCAACGTGTCCAGCGGATGTATGGGGTCAAATGCCTTGGTTGCATCCTTGCCTGCGTATTTCAAAATGATAGCCGACCCACCGGGATGCTCATCAACGAAATCCGACAAGTCATAAGCTTTGTCGTGGATAATGACCCAACAGTCCTGTTTGGTATTGTGCTTAGCTACTTCAGACAATGCAAGAACCATAGCTGATTTGAAATCTATGTCTTTGAATGTAAAGCAAGATATAATATACGGTAGGCGTAAGTAGTAGTCGACTTGAGGGGGGTGGGTGGTATTAATATATACTTTTGTGGAGACAGTACCCAGAAAAAAAAAAAAAAAAAGTAATGAAGGTTGAGTTGGGTTGGGTTGTGGTGTGGAGAGAAGTAGCAAAACTATAGTTATAAAGAAAATAAAAAGGTTCAATCCAATGAATGCCGGCGGATTTGTTATCTCTTTCCTAATCGGGTAGAAGGTTCCGCCAGATTCACATTGTGTCTAGCTTTTTTTTGTATTTTTTTTCTCCGTTGTTATTTTCTTTTTTTTTTTTTTTTTCGTGTCTGATGGAATCAGATGGAGTCAGATCTATTCAGACAGCAGACAAAAATTAGATTCTTCAAGTTAAACAAACGAGAATGCTAAATATAAAATTTGTTCGGCCTGAGATATCTGTCAGTGTGGGGAAGAATATTAAGTTGCAAAAAAAAAAATAAAGCAAAAAATAATTTATAATGCAAATGTTGTTGAAGGCGGGGAAGGATTTGAGAGAACTAAGTTTGTCTTGAGATGAATCCTTATCGACTTGTCTCGGTTCTGGATTTGTAGTATTTTGGAATTAAATCAGAGAACAAAAGATAAGGAGTACTCTGTCCCCCATACTCTGAAGACAGAGTTTCTCCTACATTGAGTCCAATAACTTAAATTTGATAAACTCTATTGCATGGTTTACTGTCACAACGTGCGACGGCAATTGCTTTCAGGTTCAAAAAGTATCTTTTGCACCAAATCCGTGCAAAATCCAAGTCCCCCCCGTAAACGATCGTTCCAGAGCTTGAGACACAAAAGAGAATGTCAGGAAACATTTTTGCGACCACTAGAACTAAACGATTGCAACTTTCTTTACGAGGTTGAAAAACTAAAAAATTGATACTTAAAGAGCTTGTTACCTTGCTTAACTCTTCTTCACCCTGATTCAAAAAAGACCATTCCTCCCCCCTAGACACTCACGATGAAGATACTTTTCCTTTTGACCATTCCCATAGCTATATATTCAATTTCCTGCTCATTGTACTATACATGGTTACCAACAAACTTTCGTTTTGATAAGAATGTTCTTCATCAATTAGCACAAGACTCAATCAAGCAACATCCAAACAATATTACTGAATTGATGATTGATTTGGGTGGGAAAATCAACCACGAGTACCCCGGTCTTGTCAATGAGTTGAATTTTAATGATTGGGTATACAACAATGCAGGTGGGGCTATGGGGTCCATGTTTATTCTTCATGCTTCAATAACCGAATACTTGATCTTTTTCGGCACAGCAATTGGAACAGAAGGTCATACTGGAGTTCATTTTTCGGAAGACTATTTCATGATTCTTCAAGGTGAAGAGAGAGCAGCATTACCAGGAAGATTGGAGCCCGAGGTGTACAAGCCTGGTGACTGTCACCATTTGGTTAGAGGTCAGGTCAAGCAATACGCCATGCCCGGTGAGTCTTGGGCTTTGGAGTATGCACAAGGATGGATTCCATCAATGTTGTTCTTTGGATTTTTGGACACATTCACTTCAACTTTGGATTTCCATACCCTTTATTTGACTTGCTACTTCACTGCACGAGATATGTTGAAGAATTTAGTTAGAGGTAAATTTTAAAGAGGTCGTCAAATTGCCTGTATAGATTTAAAGAAAAAAATGTGTGCGGAAAATTGTAGCGTTCGTGACGATACGCGTCTCTCTTGTTTTCTTTCTTCTTTTTTTGTTCTTTCTACTTAGGTAACAACCTTAATGGGTAGGACTGGTCGTCAAATGTATGGGCTATCTATCCACTTCTGCAAATGGGCTGATTCTTTAGGTTGAAGCTTCACGCTGCAAATTGTAGATGTCTTTTTTGAAAATCACATGTAGATGCTAATATTACAAGGTTTAATATTTTTTGCAAGGACACACTACCTTGTTCTAGCAAAGCTTTGTCTCTAGTGGCAGAAAGCATTAGGGCATGGGTGCTTTGAGCCGGTAAGGAGTAACATCCAACCATTACTTCTAAAACATCCCCTGTTGGACACGCTAAACTCTGCTACGTGTATAGGCTCTTGTACCGAGTGCAAAGGCACTTTTGTAGCAAATCTCACACATATCTGAAACAATGCTACACCTCCTGATCAGTACTTCCAATAAAGCAATCACACTTTGCAACCCCATCCATATATGATAAAAATCCAAGTGTAAAATGCTGATGAGACCGAAACCTTGTCTGTAGTCACTGGATTTGTTTGTAGTACACTTTTAACTGTCAGAGTCCAGTGTCGCGTCACATTCAAAGAATTACGTGTAATATTTTACAACAGTATAAACAAAACAACACAACAGAGAATTAAGGAAAAGGGAAAAAAATTCTTTTTTTTTTTTTTTTTACTATTTTTTTTTTTCTCTTTTTTGGCGTTTCTGATCTAATCAACAACAAAAAGACCCCCCTCCCTCTCTAAACAGAAGCTTTGAATCTACCTTTTATCTCGATTCCCATCAGATCAGCACTTGTCTACTACATTACTACTAAATATGGTATCTTTGTACGATGTAGGGACCACTTGTTGGTACCCAGACGAAAAGTTGGGTTGGATAGGTGCCAAAGTTGTATCCAATAAATCAGAAGGAAACAAACATGTCATCAAATTGGTTTCTGAACAAGATGAATCACAAGAGTTTACTGTGGAAACAGACAATCTCTCTGAAGACAACGAGAAACTCCCGCCTTTGCGAAATCCCCCCATTTTGGAAGCAGCTGAGGATTTAACCAGTTTGTCTTACTTGAACGAACCTGCTGTTTTGCAAGCGATTAAATTACGTTACTCACTGTTGGATATCTATACTTACTCGGGTATTGTTTTGATTGCCACAAACCCTTTTCAAAAAGTGGAGCAGTTGTATTCACAAGATATCATTCAAGCATATGCCGGTAAAAGAAGAGGAGAGTTGGATCCTCATCTTTTCGCCATTGCAGAGGATGCGTACAGATGTATGAAACTAGATGGCCAGAATCAAACCATTGTTGTTAGTGGTGAGTCAGGTGCGGGTAAGACAGTTTCCGCCAAGTATATCATGAGATACTTTGCCTCAGTGGAGGAAGATACCGACCAAGTTGTCGGCTCTGAACATAAATCTGACATGTCCGACGTTGAAAAACAAATCTTGGCAACAAATCCTATTATGGAAGCGTTTGGTAATGCCAAAACCACTAGGAATGATAATTCATCTCGTTTTGGTAAATACTTGGAGATCTTGTTTGACAAATCAACGTCCATTATTGGTGCCAGAGTGAGAACATACCTTTTAGAGAGATCTAGACTAGTGTTTCAACCTTCAACTGAAAGAAACTACCACATATTTTACCAGCTTTTGGCGGGGTTGGATCCAGAACACAAGAAAGAATTGGGATTATTGACTGCTGATGATTACAAATACACGAATCAAGGAGGATTACCCAAGATACAAGGTGTCGATGACGCTGAAGAATTCCAAACCACTAAAGAGGCCCTTGGGTTGATTGGTGTCAATGAAGCCAAACAAATGGAAATTTACAAGATTTTAGCAGCTCTTTTACACCTCGGAAATATTGATATTGCTGCAACCAGAAACGATGCCCATTTGTCAAGCGACGAACCAAATTTGGCCAAAGCTTGTGAGTTGTTGGGAATAGATCCTGTGAGTTTCGCCAAATGGTGTGTCAAGAAACAAATTACCACCAGGTCGGAAAAAATTGTAACCAACTTGAATCACAAGCAAGCCTTGGTTGCTAGAGACTCATTTGCCAAGTACATTTACTCGGCGTTGTTTGACTGGTTGGTTAGTTATATCAACTCTGATTTGTGTCCCGAAGATGTTGCCGCACAAGTCAATTCATTCATTGGTGTTTTGGATATTTACGGGTTTGAGCATTTTGATAAAAACTCGTTTGAACAATTTTGTATCAACTACGCCAATGAGAAGTTGCAACAGGAGTTCAATCAGCATGTGTTTAAGTTGGAACAGGAAGAATATGTTAAGGAACAAATCGAATGGTCGTTTATTGATTTTGTTGATAATCAGCCATGTATTGACGTGATTGAGAACAGAATGGGTATACTTGCCTTGTTGGATGAAGAATCGAGGTTACCAGCCGGTAATGATCAATCTTGGGTTGAAAAAATGTATCAAAATTTGGATAAAGAGCCAACAAACAAGGTTTTCAAAAAACCAAGATTTGGTCAAACAAAATTCACTGTCAGCCATTATGCGTTGGATGTTACTTATGATATTGATGGTTTCATTGAAAAGAACAGAGACACTGTTGGTGAGGGTCATTTGGATGTTATGAAAAACACGACCAATGAACTACTCAAGGATGTCCTTGCCATCGTTGACAAGAATGCTGCAGAATTAGAGGCTAGCAAAGCACCAGCAAAGGGCAAACTTGCCAATAAGAAGCCCACTTTGGGATCCATGTTTAAGAACTCCTTGGTCGAATTGATGAAGACAATCAACTCAACCAATGTTCATTACATCAGATGTATCAAACCCAATGAAGAGAAGAAAGCATGGGAGTTTGATTCATTGATGGTGCTTTCTCAATTGAGGGCTTGTGGTGTTTTGGAAACAATTCGAATTTCATGTGCTGGTTTCCCATCCAGATGGACTTATGTTGAGTTTGCCGATAGGTACCACACATTGGTTCATTCTGACGACTGGATTAAGGTCATGAGGGTTGAAACCACTCAGGAGTCAGTTACTGATCTTTGTAATCAAATCTTGACATCCAATGTCAAAGACAAAGGGAAGTATCAGTTGGGTAATACCAAGATTTTTTTCAAAGCGGGTATGTTGGCTCATTTTGAAAAATTGAGGTCCGACAAGATGTACAAATCGGCAGTGATGATACAAAAGAATATGAGAAAACGGTTCTATAGACAGAGATATCTCGATGTTAGGCAATCTCACGTTAAGTTGCAAAGTTTGATTCGTGGATATGAAAAGAGGAGACAAATCAAGGAAGAAAAAGAGCGTGCCGCAGCTACTTTGATTCAAACGTCAATCAGAGGACATTTGGCAAGAAAGCAATACCTCAATACCCTCAACTCAGTCGTCACTTTGCAAAAATCTATCCGTGGATTACAAGCAAGAAAGAATATCAAATCATTGCGTTTGGAAAAGGCTGCATCCACAATTCAAAAATCTTGGAAGGGATACAGAGAGAGAACGACGTTTGCCAATACCAAGAAATCAGCAATTGTTATACAATCTGCATTCAGAAGACAGTATGCTTACCGAGAATTTAAAGCTTTGAAGGCAGATGCTAAATCACTCAACAAGTTGCAAGAGGTTTCCTACAAATTGGAGAACAAAGTTGTTGACTTGACTCAATCTTTGACGTCAAAGATTCAGGACAATAAGGCACTCATGGAGGAGATTTCGAATTTGAAAGATTTGTTGAAACAACAAGGTCATGCTCACGAAACTTTGAAAGCAAGGGAAGTTGAGTTCAACAACAAATTGGACACCACGAGTGCAGAACATAAACTGGAAGTTGAGAATTTGAACAATGAATTAGCAACCCTCAGATCTGAATATGCATCGGCTGAAGCCAAGATTGCTGAGTTGTCCAAGGAACAATCGGCATTGAAACAAGAGGTGCAACGCACTCTTGAAGAGTTGAACACCGCCAGGACCGATTTAGTCAAGCGTGACACAATTGAAGTTGACTTGAAGGCACACATTGAACAATTGAAAGGCGAGTTGGCGCAACTCAACAATCCCAAGATTAGAGGGGTGGCCAATGGCAGCAGCAACAAGCGTCATAGTAGTGCCGTGGCGTGGAACAATTCTCCCAGCTCTCTTGATAATCCTAGACCAACTTCAGTTATTGCTGTTTCCAATGACGGTGATGCTAATATTGATGATATTAATGAAGAGTTATTCAAGTTGTTGAGAAACGGGCGTCAATTGCATCGTGAAATAGTGGAAGGGTTGCTCAAGGGCTCCAAAATCCCTGCTTCGAATGTTGCCGCTGATTTGACAAGGAAGGAGGTGTTGTTCCCGTCTAGAATCATCATTATCATCTTGTCTGATATGTGGAGATTGGGATTGACTAAGGAAAGTGAGGAATTTCTTGGTGAAGTGTTGTCAACTATACAAAATCTCGTTTCTGCTTTGAAAGACGAGGATGTCATTTCCCATGGTGCATTTTGGTTATCGAATACTCACGAGTTGTACTCGTTTGTGTCGTATGCCGAACAAACCATCATTTCAAATGACAACTTGTCTCATGAGATGAGCGAAGATGAGTTTAATGAGTACTTGAAGTTGGTTGGCGTTGTCAAGGAGGACTTTGAATCTTTGTCGTACAACATTTACAACATGTGGATGAAGAAGATGCAAAAGGACTTGGAAAAGAAGGCTGTGTCGGCTGTCGTCATCTCGCAATCATTACCTGGGTTCATGGCTCCGGAGAGCTCGCCGTTCTTGAGTAAAGTGTTTTCAAGTGGTTCGAGTAGTTACAAAATGGATGACATTTTGCTCACATTCAACTCGCTATATTGGTCAATGAAGAATTACTACATTGAGGATGAAGTTATTGTACGCGTGATTACGGAAATGTTGAGATTTATTGACGCATTGTGTTTTAATGATTTGATAATGAGACGTAACTTTTTGTCATGGAAGCGTGGTTTGCAATTGAACTACAATGTCACGCGACTTGAAGAATGGTGCAACTCGCACGGCATAGAAGAAGGGTCGACTTGTTTGATCCATGTTTTGCAAGCGGCCAAATTGTTGCAATTGAGGAAAAACACCAGCGAGGATATCGATATCATTTACGAAATCTGTTTTGCATTGAATCCATCCCAGATTCACAAGATCGTTGGTGCGTATAGCTCAGCTGAGTATGAGACTCCAATAGCCCCAGCCGTGATGTCGTTGGTGGCGGCAAAGACCAAGGAAAGCTCGACGGATGAAATTTTCTTGACGGTGTCTGCTGATGGACATTTCGAAGATCCATTTAGAGAGATTGAGTTGAGACCATTTGCCCGTGTTGAAGCTTATGTTCCTGCTTGGTTGAATTTGCCTGTTATTCGTCGTATCGTTGAGTTGGTTGCTAAAAATGCTTCAGTCCAGGCGACTATACTGAACAATAAAGAAGAGGCTACTATTGCTGCGTAGAAGAGAGTGGGTGTGTGTAGTTTCAAATTCTTTAATAAATAGTTTTTAATTTATTTACATCGTAATAGCTCTCTTCCATCACTGTATACTTTCGTTTGTCCCTTTCAACTTCATTTGTAACGCATGGACACCCTGTTTACTGATTTCATCGTCTAGCAAATTGTACACCAATCGGTGTCTAGTAGGTAAATTCTTGCCATTGAACTCTTCACTTTGCATCTTGATGTAGAAATGGGATTCGGTTCTATTGGACGCGCCTTGCATCCCAGCGTGTTTGGCATGTTTGTGAGAATCGTTTCTAATCTCAAGAAATGTGGGATGGAAGGTGGACTGTAATTTCGACAGAATGGATGTCTCTATGGGACCCATCGTGGATGTGGCTGGTGATGTCGACATTTGTCTAAAAAGACTTCTAAGCATATGTGTGAACAGCAAGGGTTGGTGGGAGGAAGAATACGGGGTTGACTTTGTCGTGTCGCCTGGATCGCCTGCTCTTTCATTTTTTTTTTATTATTATTATTTTCAAGATCAGATCTGAGAAGAATGTATACAATTTTTTTCAGAAAATCCACCAAATCACTGATGTTCAAATTGGCTTGCACAGCAAGGGCGTCTGCGATATACGGTCCCATACAGAAGAGGCTAAGTGGTCCAATTGTACGCCACCTCTCCTACACAAGAGGTTGTCAAAATAGTACACCTATTGAAACCGTTGATTTAGTATATGATGAATTTGAAACTCCCAACCTGAAGAGCAAATCACCACTTGTGATCCTCCATGGCTTGTTTGGGTCGAAAGCAAATAATCGAACTGTGGCCAAACAGTTGTGCGAGAGACTCGATAGGAATGTGTACTGTCTCGACTTGCGGAATTTTGGGTCTAGTCCTCATATCAAAAGATTAGATTACCCTAGTCTTGCCGCTGACGTTGAAAACTGGGTCGCTCAACGCAAGTTCGAACAAAAGCCGATCCTAATTGGACATTCAATGGGTGCCAAAACTGCCATGGCTGTTGCCTTGCGCAAGCCAGATTTACCGAAAATGATTGTCAGTGTCGATAATGCACCCATAACGTTCGGCAACACCGACTCCAAGTTCAACAAGTACATCAATCAGTTGCGTTTGAGCTTGGAAAAGTACAAATACACTAACATCAAGGACGTTGATGCAAAATTGGCCGAGGTGGAGCCAAATAAGACAGTTCGTCAATTCGTTTTGATGAATATGAAGCGAGGCAAGAAGGATGAGCCGGTGACGTCGAAAATTCCGTTGGATATTATTGGTGATGCTACAAGTAAAGGTTTCATAGCCAGTTGGCCATATAGCCCCGACGATGGAAGATGGACGGGGCCGGTGCTCTTTATCAGAGGCACTGAATCTCATTATATCCCCGATGATGTGTTTCCTGAAATTGCCCAGTTTTTCCCCAATTTTGAAATTAGGGATATTAAATGTGGTCACTGGGTGATTAGTGAAAAGCCAAAAGAGTTTATGGATGTTTTGTGTGAGTACGTTGAACGAGTAGAGGACGAGTAGAGGCATAGAGGCATAGAGGCATAGAATAGATTAGAAATAAAACAGTTATACTATACGAATATATATTTCTATTTGTCACTGACTTTGGTGGATTCATCATTGACGAAATCTCCATAAATATCAAATCGTCTTTGATAATGTACCGGAATATTGGTTCTAGCTGCTGTTAAAACATCCTTATCCAATTCAGCGTATAAAATCTCTTCGCCTTCTCCGGCCTCGGCAATAATGTTACCAGAGGGGTCAACGACCAACGAATGTCCATAGGCTTGGTATCCGCCTCCTTCAACATCTCTAGCTGGAGAGCACAACACGGTATATAGTTCATTATCCACAGCTCTTGCCCTAGCCAACAAATGCCAGTGTCGAGGACCAGTAGTGGTGTTGAAAGCCCCTGGATAAAACATGGCAAATGAGCTGTATGGGCTACGTGATGCAATCGAGGCCAATTCAGGGAAACGAATATCGTAGCAAATTCCGAGCCCCACATTTCCATAATCACCCAATTTGAAAACTGTGGCTTTATCACCACCGGTCAATGTCAATGATTCTTGAAAGGTGATTCCATTTGGAATATCGATATCAAACAAATGCGCCTTACGGTGCTTGGCTATAATCTCCCCTTGAGGTGAAAATGTCAATGATGTATTGTAGATCTTATCCGACGATGATAACTCTGGAATTGATCCACCAATGATGAAAATCCCATGTTTCTTGGCTAACGAGGAGAGCAATTTCGTCGTTTCACCCTCGGGGATATTTTCAGCATAGTTTCTAAACTGGTCTACTGCGTAAGGCGAGTTGAAGCATTCTGGTAACATGACAAGATCAACTTTGGGTGTTTTCGAAGTGGCTTCCTCAATGTACTTGGTGACTTTGGCCAAGTTTGCTGACTTGTCGGCACCGGCCTTCAATTGCAATAGTGCAATTCTTAATGATTTGGATAATGGCGATTTCAATACTGGGGAGGAGGGCATAGTGTGCGTTGCGGAATGAAAAAGTGGTAGGTTCTTTGTAAATGCTCCCGAATTCTGTAATCGACAAAATTAATGCGCTCATAGTGAATTTGTGGATTACATAATATGAGAGGAGTATTGGCAACCTACAAGAAAATCGGAACATATTCTATAACGCAATTTCTATTAATACAAACTCTATGTTACTACACCGGTGTAGCACCCTCGGTGCTGTTCTTTCCATGCTCTTTTTTTTCGGTCTTCTCTTCCAGATCCAAAAACTCTTTAGCTTGCTTATCCTTCCTCCTCAGGCGAAATTGTTTAAGCATATAGATCGCAGCAACAACAACTCCAAAACCTGCAAGGCCCATTCCCATTCTAAAAGCATTTCTGAATCCGAGAACTGTAGTTTGAAAACTCTGAGGTTTATCCTTTGTTGTGTAATATTCAACCAACCCTGCAAAACCCAACCCAATTGAGATTGAGTAGTTGACAAATGTTGATACTAATGAGCCAGCTATACCCTGTTGAGTTCTGGGAAGTGCAGCACTTAACAAAATAACACCAGCAGGAAATGACATATCCATGCCCAATGGTTGTATCAACAAACTGACAAATTTCTGTGCCCAGAATGTTTGTCCAACAGGTCTGGTTCCCATGAGAATTGATCCCGTTAGGAATGCAAGCATCGAAAGAAACATCACCACTGCTGAAGGAATCTTTGTAAGTAGTATCGCTACGCCGACCGCAGCAATGACTCCGACTGGAGCACAGGGAATGTTCTGTACTGCGCCAATGACTTCACTATCTTGGTCAACCAATAATGCCCATCTGAATTGATAGTATAACCAAACGCCAAAACACGACCAACCAGCACTGATGCAAGCCAAAATGAACCCCGTGTCTCCACGCAACACTTCCGGTGGTACTAAAGGGTCAGCCACCTTCTTTTCAACAAAAAAGAATGCCACCATAAGCAAAATTCCAACAATGAACAAGACATAAACGTAAACCTTGTCCCATCCTACAGTTGGTCCTTGATTGAATGCGAAATTAATCAACACTAATCCCGATACACCAGTTATGGACCCCCAGTAATCAAATTTTCATGGTGAGCGAGGTCCTACTCTTGCAGGGATGGTAAAGAATGCCAAAAATGCACATGCTATACTAACGATTCCACAGAGCCAAAATGTCCAAGGCCACCAAACGACATCAGTAAACATTCCACTAAACAAAGCTCCCACAATGAATCCCGATGGAGCAACTGCGCCAAATAGGGCGAAACACATATTTTTCCTGCGTCCGTTTGGGTAAAAATTGCCAATCAACGCTTGAGAGTTTGGCATCATTATAGCGGGGCCTATACCTTGTAATCCCCTCATTGTTGAAAGAAATACATTTGAGGTGGTGAATCCAGTGAATCCACACAAGAGGGAAAACACACCAAACCACAAGTATCCGATAATGTAAAGTCTTTTGTAGCCGTACAAGTCACCTAATCTTCCACTGACTAGGATGAATGTGCCCACAGTCAACGATATTGCTGCTGAAAACCAAGATACTTGACCAGCGTTGTCGGCTATGTTGAATGCTTTTCCAAGTACGACTGAATTGACCATTGTTTGGGCATTTGCTGCTTGGGTCAACAACTGTGACATGCACATGAAAAATATAAATAGTGACTCTCGTAGTAGTGATATTTGTTCGAAATTTGGTATACTCAGGTAAACATCGTTGTGGGTTGTTGTTTCGACAACGTTTTCATATCCCTCAGTTTGGGAATTTATTGTAGTATCTTCTGACATGATGGATTAGGTGAGCTGGAATGGTATGTTGTTAACTGAAGCAGGGGGGGGGGGCGAGGGATGGCGAGGGGCGAAAGTTTGGTAAAAAAAATTTACATATATATGTATATGTAACAGTACTGAGAAGCTGAAGAGTCTCTTTGTTTTTATGATGGCTTTGTAAATTTGTGATGGGGACAACTCGGCACGAATTCGGAACAGCTCCCCCATCTAAAAAAAGAAATGGTACAAAAACTATAATTTCGGGAAATAACTTTGCCGTGACAAGGGCCGCACATTGCTTTTGTAATTACAAAAACTTTAGTAATGTAATGAAAGTACCCATAGCTTACAAATATGCTTTTGAAAGAGAGAGATTGTCAACTATGGGAGAGAGGAAGGGGGGAATGGATACAACATTGATTAGATTCTCTATTAAAGTCTAGATTCATGAGGAATTCATAATGATGGCCTTTTTTGTACCCTGCAAGAAAGCTGGATTTGATGGTTCTTAATACCAGTACAACCCTGGCTTTTTCAATTTTAGAAGTAAGTAAATGTAAAGTTGAAGGATGTTAATCAGATAAGGGCCACCACCACACAGTATGCCCCTACTTCGTGTGGGACTTGAAAGAAGACCGGAAGATAAAACATGCAAGGAAACCGCGTGCGTCAATCTCTAAACAAATATATATATAAAGAAGACAAAATTATAATACGTCAGTCCTAACTTGCCCTGGCCCTGACTTAAACTCTCGCTTCAAAGATGTACAACGGTTATTCTACACAAACACACAAACACACACACAAACACACACACACACACACACACTACTGCACCTTCTTTTGCAACACACCATACAAAACTTATACACATAAAATACATATGTACACAATCTATCTCAAGTACTTAAGAAGGTCTCTACTTCAAAAGCTTAGTAATGTATTATGACTGATATAGTGGAATGTGGACTTGTGAGACCAATTGCCTGGTATTTGCCACTCTTGCATTATATTTCTGTACAACTAGTTAGTACGACACAATCTAAACATATAGTTTGGAATCATGGCGTTGATCCATTAGAACGACTCTTTTAGCCACTCACCTAAATGCTGTACTAGCTATAGATGTATCTTCTTGACGAGAAGTAAGAGAGAGAGAGAGAATGCGGCGGAAGACAGTTAAGAGCCACGCAGTCAACAGGAGAATATACAAGACACCTCTATATTTGAACGACGAGGAGAGGAGAGGAAAGGGGGGTTTCAATAATCTTTTTCTACTTGGGAAATTTCTTTTTTTTGTTTTTTATTTCTTTTATTATTTTTTTAGAACTAAAGAGGGAAGGGGGTTAGTGCTTATAGTACACACTGTGCATTGCATGTATGTATATATGTATATATGTATCTATATCTGTGTGTGTACCATCCATTCAAAAAGAAACCACACAGGATAAATATACATCTAAACAACACGACCTTACTTCTAGTAACATCCGAAACGCTCCTTCAGAGATTTAATCACTGAATAATCTATAGACACCTTGGATTGCGCTTGTAACTGTCTATATATTTTGTTCCTCCTGCTTATTTTCCTAACCGCTGAAAGTTCACCAAGAGGACTACACTCAACTTGGTCACTGTTATTTTACAATCCATCTACATATTCAATCCATCCAAAACGCTACACCACGGATACTTGATTGACTCTTTTTGAGACATTATCCTTCTGAAAGATTCAGTCTTCAAAGACTGAATCAGTTTGGGGCAAATATTGTAAAGACAAAACACAATGAGTCTGTCACAAACTTCCGATCAACGTCCAGTATCAACTGAAAAAGCAAACGCAATTGATATTTCAATCATACCAGAGAACAATCAAGAGACCAGCTTTGGTGGATCAGTAGCCAACTTACTAGAAAATCAAAACCTCTTGGATTTCAATGGCATTTCTGCTAATGATGTGCTTCAGTATTTCAGTACTGAAGATATACAGACTTATATCAACACTGAACAGGATCCCTTTTTACGGATCGAGGCATTGTATAACCAATTGACATACTATCTTGATCAGCCCATTTTTGAAAAAAGCTATGAGCAGCAACCGAGGGATGTACCCGTTGTGGGAGCCACATCAGCACATCAGCCACCACCACCACCACCACTACCTCTACCTCTACCACTACCACTACCACTACCACAGTCGAATGTATCCACAATGCCACACTCAACCTCTATAAGCACTCAAGCATTAAGTGCCTCATTGGTCCCAGGAATGGTTGCACATTCGCCCTTGCCTTCTCACGTGGATGTGTTCCCGTTGGATTCAGATAGGTCAAGCTTTTTGAACCCACTTTTAGTCAATAGTAATTGCAACGGCAAGAACACTACACCTTATGCGATTAGAAAAACTGTTTCTGTTGATGCGCAACCTAATGTTGTTGCTGACAAATTTGGTGGTAAATTTTCCTATCCTACAAATTTCGCAACCATTGCTAGCTCGCCCCTTTTCGCAAACAGTTTTGTCCTTAGTTCCTCAAACGGAGAATCAGTGTTGCAAACACGAGAAAATTTATACAAACTTGGAGGAGATGGTGGAGATGGTGGTGGCGGCAGTGGTGGTGGCGGTGTAAGCGCAGATGCGGGATATGATGAAACTTCATGTACCCATTTGGGCAACAATGAATTCCCTTACTACCTGCAGAGCAATTCGTCCAAATTGGACGAGTTAAGGGAATCCTTGAACTTGTTGCCGTGTTATGGACTATTGCCCAATTCACAAATTGTACATCATCGGTACCAAAGTCAGTATTATGACGATAACTCGGTGATTTCAAACAGCTCCCTTAGTTATGCTGCGATTACAAGCTTGAGAAGAAATGACACTGAGGGGACTCCGACACCGCTGAGGGGCTGTGATCAGCAGTCGGCTACGATTCCGTCGTCTCCGATTGCCAATGCCAAAGCCCGTCACCATTCACGGTGGTCGTCGTTTTCGCTGACAAGACAACAAGTGGAGAAGGAGGAGGAGGATGAAGATGATAAAGAGGCGGAGTTTGGGTCTGGTGCAACTGAGCAAACGTCGTTGGGGAAATTTGCCTATGTTCCATCGTACGACGTACACAATATGGTTTCACCGATAATCTTCACCTTTGTTGAACGTAGACAAGACTTCGTTACTTTCGTTCAACAGCAGCAACAGAGCCACTACCACCACCATCACCACCATCACCACAACCACGTCACGGGCAAATTCGTTAAAATTTCACCGCCAGCATCATCAGCCTCAACAAGACGTTCCAGCTTCACCAAACGTGCGGTAGCACCTAGATGCACATCACCAACAAGCTCAGAGATTTACGACATTGGTCCCAAGATCCTTCCTGTCCCATTCTCCAAGGACTTTAATGCCTTGAAGTACACTCGATTCAGACCACTATCCGAATTGAAAGCCATGGATCATTACCAACTCCCCAAAAATCAACGCAGCAATTACTCAATTGACAAGATGAGGCGCAAACCGCATTGTCCCAATCGGCCCGCGAGTGGCGGTCTTGGTCTATTCCGATTGGAACCACTGGCTCCGCTCCCAACCACCACCATCACCACCACCAGTCTACTAAGCGAGACAAAAAACGATCGGTACTACTCACGACTCAACATTTATGAATTATCAAAGATTTTAGATTTGGACCAATACGACATTGAATTGACGAAATTCATTGAGGGTGCCATATTGGAGATTTTTGGCAATTATTGTGATTTCAAATTGGGGTTGCAAACGTGGATCCGCGATACTGGGAAGGAGAAGCGCAAGTGTTTGATTGAGGAGTTGTATTCATATAGTTCAGTTTTCTATCCCGAAATTGATCCTTTCAAGTTAGAAGTGATTGTGAGGAGGGGCAGTTACAGTATGATGCAGACACGGTTGAGGAGGGAGCGTCGAATTCAAAAGGGCAGGCAGAAGTGATATGGCGATGGGGCTAATTGTGTGATGATTTGTGTTGCTATTGAGGTTTGAAGCTATGAAGCTATAAATCCAAGTTTATGAGTTTACGAGGCTACGAGTTTATGAAGCTACGAGATTATGTTGTATTTTAATGTCTAGTTAATATAGCTAAAAGAGTAAAAGTAATTTTACCTATGTTATTTTAAACAAATATATTAAATCACGCCAAAACTCAAACCGTAAAACTATACTTTATCACTCTCGCAATTTCGTCTAGCGTCAACTATATAACAACAACAAGCACGGAAAATAGATACTTATTTTTCCTTTCGCCACTAGCTCCCTTTCCTTTCATTCTTACCCTCAGGTATCAGCTGGGGAGTGCATGATTTGAGTAACGAACTTACCCAGATACCTAGTAATACAAGCGACAGTAAGAACTTCATTTTTGATCGAAGTTGTCATCAAATGGTTCAATATGACATGGTTGGGAATGGATAAATGATACGCCTCCTTATTCGAAGCATAGTACGAGCTATCTGCTCTACGCAAAGGTGGTCGCTTGTGACTATAATGAGCTGACGATGATGCCGAAGCTGATGAGGAATACCCCTGCACACCATGTGGCTGTTGCGTGAGATTGGGGTTGTTTGCTTGTGCAGGTGGCACCGAGGAAGGCGATGGAATCAAATTCGAAGATGAATTGTCGCTTCCTCCTGGTTGTTGCGAAATCTTATTCAACAACACATTGTTTAGATGTGGTGGTAATTGTGGAGGTTCAGGTAATTCATAATCTGCTGGTTTCGATTTGAAATAGTCGTAGTTGACAAACATCTCGGGAATCTCACTCGAGTAGTGAATCTTTTTCTCTGGTTTGATGAATGAGTTTGATTTCGAAAGCTCGTAAGGGAGAAACTGTTCTGAATGGGATTGATTACGAGAATTTGGTCGCGAGTGATTGTTTTGATGTTGTTGTTGATGTGTATTTGAGTATGGGTAATTTGCCAGATGCTGCTGTTGTTCCTGCTTAGCTTGTAATTCGGCATCTCCTTCATCTACCATAGTATCATTCACATCCTCCACATATTCCAAATGCTCATATTGGGAACTGGATTCCTTGGACATCTTGTGCAATAAATCATTCGCTTTCTCCTGAATTTTTTCAACTTCATACCGTCCTGCCAATCTTGGAGTAGAGCTCGTAGACAGGTCATGAGATAGTGACTGCTGTTGCTGACTTTTATTATATGCGTCGCTTGTATCCAGATTGGAAATTATATTAGCATCATAGTCAGTACTAGCACCAACATGATTTGCTTGATTGAGTGAGTGATTGAACAAGTGCGTATCATCAATAACTTCAAACCAGTTGAAAAATATACCTTCTTGATCAGTAGCCGTTGGTAATTGGTCACTCACCCTATATTCGTTGTTGATAATGTACAACAATTTATGCACACCCAAAGGAAGATTGATTGTAGTGACAAATTCCCCCGAATGGTTCACCAGAGGCGATAACCTGATTACGTCTCTCCAGTTGGAAAACGACCCAATGATGGAAATCTTGTTGATCTGTTCCTTGTTTGTGTTTACCCATTTGATTTCTATCGGGATAAGAATGTTTTCATGGTGATTATTACTTTTGGTTTGCTTGGTGCGACCTTGTTGGTGCAAATGTTGGTTGTTGTTTATATACAGCTTATTGTGATGTTGTTGGTTTGTTTGCGTGCTTGTTTGTTGCTGCTGCTGCTGCTGATGTTGATGTTGTTGTTGTTCGAGATTTGGCGAAGGCGAATGGGCATTTCTAGCCACCGACGCTGCAGACAACATTCTTGTTGCTGGGGGCGGACGAAAAGGAGGAGTAGAAATTTCATCTTCTCGATCCAGAGGCAGCAGCTTCTTCAATTGTTGCAGTGCATGGTTAGTTATCTTTGTGAAATCCACCTTCGACAAGTCTGGAGTTGGTGTTTGCGAAAGTTGGTGTTCATACTCCTGTACATCATCCGAATCTTGTGCAAATGGCTCATCTAAGTCCATATTGTCACTGGATTGGGGGCTTCCACTTTTGGTGGGCCGATTGGTGCCAAAAAAGTGGTTATCAGGTAAGATGTTTCTCGATAAAGAAGTTGACTCTTCAACTAAACCATCATTCAACTCATTATATTCGTCCTCAATTAAATCGTTTGAAAAGTGGTTGTAATTTGAATGCAGCTGTTTTGTTGTTGTTGTTGCAGGTACAGCGGACAGCAGCTGTGTTGTGGACACGTTGTTGGTGTTGGATAAACCCAGGTCTGGTTGCTTCACTACTTGGTGCAAAATCAAATCACTGAATTCTTCGTCAAGTGAGTTATTTTGGTTGTTGCTTGCAGACGATTTTCTCACCTGGTCTTGATGTGATGTCGAAGAAGAGGAAGCAGCTGCGGACTTTCTAGTACTTGCTGATCTGGTAGGGTTCAACAGGGGCCTATTTCCCATTTGACCATTTGTCGATGCGTTGTTTCCCATTGTTGACTACAGGATACGTGAAAATAAAACGGTGAAAAGCAGCAGCAGTAGTAGTAGCAGTAGCAGCAGTAGTGAGTTGGGAGTGCAAAAAAAAAAAAAAACTAAGGAAAGACGTTGTGTTTCTCGAGAAGAGGATCCAATGCAAATAGCGTGCAATTGTAGTGGGAGTGGGTGTACCTGTTTGACTGATTAATGAGTTGAATAAATAAGCGAATATAAACCTCTTAACTGGAAGGTAGTAGTACTAGCAGTTGTTGTTGAAATAAGAATAAAGTGTTGGTTCAGGGAGTCAGTTTTGTTTGTGAATTTTATTTTTTTTTTATTATTTTTTTCTTTTGGCTTTTTGGGTCAAAGAGGGAGAGAGAGGGAGAGGGAGGATACATTGTTTGATGAGATATCTCCACGTATATATTACATGTTCGAACTAGATGTATAAGCAGAAGTTAATATGCTAATATCACCTACACTAGCTACCCTACACAACATGTTGTAAGTCATAACAAGATTAGGGTTCAAGTGTGTATCAAAGTTTATGAGTGTATGATGTCATGTAATAATAAATGAATTTCGTTTGTGGCGAGAGACAGAGAGAGAGAGAGAGAGATATAGAGATAGGGAGGAGTTTACTCGTGGTATCCTTAAACGACAATTCTTCTTGTCTTGCTGTGGCGTTGTTACATCTGTTACAGTGATTCCAGTTGACATTACTCCTACACTCTTGGGGCTTTTCAGAAAAACAATACTGTAGAGAGATGGCAATTAAGAGAGTAAGAGGTACTAAAAACCCGCCACACAGATACATTGCCCAACAAACATCATTCACTGTATCTTCGTCTTCAAGATTGACCGGCTACCTATCAACATAGTCGATTGAAATATCAACTCTCCATTAGACGAGACCTCCTACTAGAAAGGAAATGCGGTGATAACGTTAGTGGTGAAAATCATTCGATCTTTGTACAACAATATACATAAAACAATAGAGGTAGAATCCTAGATCCAAGAAAAAAACAAAAAATAAAAAATAAAAAATAAAAAATAAAAAATAAAAAATAAAAAATAAAACAATAGAATTTATAAAGTGTCTTTTAATTTTTTTTTTAGTAACTAATTAACTAACTAACAAGTACATTGACTTCCCTTTTGGGTTAAAGACAGCAACTATACATCTATTGTTTCACTAGTTTTGTTGTACTTTAGAACTAATACTTGTACTCCAATAAGCTTACTTAACTACACAGTTGCATGGTTAAAAAACCTGTTAAATATTCTTCAATGTAGACACTACCATTCCATACGATTTTCGTATGTTGATGATAGAAGAGTAGTTCTGCATGTTGACGAAGGTCAGAGAATTTTACAGTCTCGTCAACAAAGTATCAGCAACAGATCTTAGTAGCATCGGGTGAAGGTGTAGTTGTTACAAAATCAACCCTCATAACCGCATGTTTTGCGGCTACCGTTTGTGCTATGTTTTGTTTGCCCATTCACTCACTTGACTCAATCTATATATATATATATATATTTATAGAGCACAAGTTAGACAATCAGAACGAAGCTCATATATGAAAGCAAAAGCTGGCACCATCTATAATACAACTGTGTGTGAATTTGAGGAAACCATCAGCAACAACAAGTTACGTACAATTGATGGAAACGGATACGCCTTTTTCGGAATTCGGGAATATATATATGTATATATTTTTTTCTTATTTTTACGCAGTTAACTCCGAAAGCACAATGACTTAAAAAAACGAGAGAAAAAAAAAAAAAAAGCAAAATTGTAAAATGAGTGAGCTCCAACTCTATGGGGGTTTTTTTTAATACTGTGCGTTGTTATGCTACTATTCTGATACACCTTTCTTACACACATAACTTTTATTACACATATATCATATACTTTGATCAGCACTACATCAACATCCGCAACTGCTTCAAAGCTGGTGTCCCTTCTTCCTTCACTTCTTTCAGCGCTAGCAAACACAACTCCCACCGGATCACTCGGTTCATTCTTCTCAACAAGCAAGATCCCACACACACGCACACACACACACACACACACACACACACACACACACACTTTCTTCCTCTCTCTCTTTCCATTGCATCCCTTCCAACTCAATTCCAATGTCGTGGCTAGGTTTGAAAAAAGCCATAAATCGTGCTGGCACACAAGTGATGCTTAAAGCTGGTCAAATTGACCAAACCGTGGATACAGAATTTGAGTATGAAGAGAAACGATTCAGAGTCATGGAATCAAATCTGATTGCATTACAAAAGAAACTACGAACATACTTGGAAAGCTTGAAAATGTTGACTAAATCGCAACTAAACATTGCTGAGTTGCTAGATTCCTTCTATGGGCAAGAATCATCAATGCCACATCATTTTGAAAACTCATTAACTGGAGCTGAATTGGACTTGTTCAAGAACTTGTCAGGTGAATATTTCCATGATTTGAAACAATTGAATACGCAAGTGATCAACGACTTGGAACACCCTTATAATCAAACTGTACTTAACCCCATAGCTCGATTTAACTCGTATTACGTCGAGGTCAATGACGCCATCAAAAAAAGACATCATAAACTACTCGATTACGATGCAATGCGCAACAAGGTGAAGAAATTGATAGATACTCCACAAACTGAATATTCCGATTATGAATCCAGGTTTAAGGAGTTGAGTGATGAATTGGTGGATACTGAGCTGAAATATGTTGATATCAATGAGAAATTAAAAGATGAATTACCTAAATTGGTGAATATGAGAATTGCATTTTTTGACCCGAGTTTTGAAAGTTTTGTCAAGATTCAATTGCGGTTTTTCAATGAGAATTATCAAACTTTACATAAATTGCAACTGAAGATGGATGCACAGACAAAACAGGATTATGCAGAGGGGAAATTGGATGATAAGATTGATCATGTTTTGTCAAAGATGAGAGCATTGGATATTACGGGTAAGGATAGTGCGATATAAATTGGTTTGCAATTTGAGGTATGGAGTGATGTAATATTTTTTTTATTGGAAACTGCTAGAAGCTATCGATTTTAGTGAATTTGGCCATGTAAGAGTGAAGATCGGGGGGGGTGGTCATTAATAGTATTCTATGGATACTCTTGTAGCTACTCTAGATAGGGCTCTCCGTTATGTTAAATACGACTATCAACCATCAACCAAGCTTAGCTTAGATTGCATCCTACTTGTGAAATTGTGTCTCTTTAGCAAATTCCTCTTTGTACAATTTTTATATATGTGTGTGTCTATGTGTCACCCTTTTGTTGGGCCGAAAAATTTTTTTGGTCTCTCTCTCTCTCTGTGTGTGTGCGTGTGTGCCTGAGGGCGGGGAAGCCAAGCGAAGTCGCATAGAGACAAACATAAAGGAGACACGGCAGTAGTCAAATACTAATCTCCAGGGCAAAAATGTATAAGAACTGAAACTGTATGGCTCAATGACTTTGGTCATGCAACACAGGGTTCTATCGGATGGACTGCAGTGATCATCAGCTTTACATTCACTGTCTCACACGTGTTAAAAATCTCGCCATACAAAATTTTGTTATCTCTTACACGCACACACACACACACGCCACACACAAAGAAAGACAAAAAATGTAACCAAATAAATTTTTTTTTTATAGCACTAACTAACTAAGTAACTAACTGCAGTGATATGCAAGATCTGGCTTCACGCAATCCGATATCACATATTTACACCACCACCAATTGCAATATTTTCTTGTTATCGCACCTGCATTCATTCTTGGCATATTACTAGCATCATCATCAACTAAACTCACAACCACAACAACCACCACCAACCACCACCAACCACCACCAACTACAACTATGTTTAATCTAAAACAGTTTTCCCGAAATTCACACCATAGCCATGATCCAAATGCAATTCAGCCAATTTTTAAAGACTCATACTGGCAATGGTACATAGAGAGCTATCTCAGGAATGACAGAGAAACAGCAATCAAACACACCCCTTACAACATCACAAAGTATACTGAGAAATCATCGGAAGTCGTCAGCATACAGCTGTTTTTCAATCACATGCAGTTACCAGTCCCTGGTCACTTGGAAATCATTGCTCTACTCAAGTCACCACTAACTGGTGGAGATTTGAACAAGACATTCTATATTCTCCGCATGTTTCAACTAAGTACCGAAGGTTGGTTCTTGACAAATTCTAGAATCGATAAATTGGGCCACACTTTGACCTATGTTGGTGCAGAAAACTGGGACAATGTGTTGTGTTATATGGATGCGTTGTTATTTGCAATGTTTGCTAATTTAGATAGTTTTGAGCCAATCTTGTTTATTCCTAATCAAAGCGATCCTCTAGTTGCACAATTATCTGCATTGTTGAGAGTCTATGTGTCATTGCTACGCCTGGGATATCTCATTACAACTGATCTCACGGCGAGAATATGTGAAGGATTGATGAAATTAGGGTTTGAAGAGGCTTTGAGTCATAAACAACAGGATGCAGCAACATTGTTTGAATTTCTCACTGAGGTGTTGAATATGCCATTGTTGACTTTTAAAGTTGATATCAAACATGGAGGTAAATTTAATAAACAGGATGATCAGAAACTTTCCAAAGAGAGAATACTTTTCGTCAGTATACCTGATGAAGAGGAGGATGGAGTAAAGAAAGAGTCGGTAGATGCCTCCGATCCTGAACATCTCAGTCAGTCCGTGTCGAGTTTGAACCTGAGTGGATCGGATATGGATGATTCAATATTGTTGGAAGAATGTTTGGAACACTACTTCAACAACTCCATCAGTGTCAAGCGTGAGTTGGAAAGACGTGCATCTTTATCCCAAGTGCCCGTCACAAGCACAGTCACATTCAACGAAATACCTGAAAATGCACCAGCTCAACTTTCAAATCACGACACAAGCAAGCATTTTGTTGAGGAAGTTGAAAACATTGACGACAAAGTCAAGTTACGAGACCGGTCAGATAGCGCCAGGAAAAACGATGGTGCTAGAGTCGCAGTCCGTACTAGATCATCCACTTTATCTCTTTGGTCAACAAGCGACAATGATAAAAAAGACGCCAAAAAGACCAACGAAGTGAATCTTCCAGCATGGATGTTTTTACGATTGTTGCCATTTTACACTGATGATAACATATTGACCGATAATTTCGAAAGCACAGCGAAATCATCGAGGGATTTTGCCAATAGACGTCCCATACTACCAATTTGTCTCAAGAGGTATCATTTGCACACTGGAGATTCGTCAGGTACGAAGTCCCACAAGCGAATAATCATTCCCCCCTTTATTGATCTTCCTGATTTTGTTGCTGATGATGTTGACGGACCAGTTTCTTCATTCAGATTGATCCTTGAAAGTGCTATATGTCATCGAGGCAAAACCATAGAGCTGGGTCATTTTGTATCAGCAGTGAGGAGAAACATTGAAGCGACGAGTCAAACTGAAGAAGAAGCTTACGCGTCAAAATGGCTTTTATATGATGATATGAAGAAAAATCTGAGGGTGGTGGAGCATACTTTTAGAGACGTGTTCACATCGGAATGGCCGTATATGTTGTTTTATCGATTGGTGTCGACTAATGACCCAAGTTCTGTTTCGTCAATGAAGAGTGACATTGTACCGCAAAGTGGATGCAAACCAAAATATTGGGATGATTCAGTGAAACCAACAAGTCAACAAGGTCCAACCCTATCACCAATTGCATCAACCAATGGCAGCAGCGAAGGTGGCGAAAAACAACTGTCAATTGAAAAACAGCAGTTAACCATTCCAAAAGTCAGGGCCTCTTCTACTAATACTGTTGTGTCTCCCATTTCACCATTAGATCCTGACTTTGTCGATATTCGTAATCGGTATTTTTGGTTTATCCCCGATGAAAATAAGAATTACTACAAGGAAGAAGTTACGGTTTTGGATGGAGCGTCGTCGGTCAATTTCAGTCCTCAGTTTAGACGTAATAGTCAGTGGAGTATGACGTCGAATATAAGCAATATACATTTGGCTAAAACGTCACTGGGCCACATTCCAGAAAAGAGCGAGCCATCATCCGCTGATTCTGGCTCGGTTGATGCAAACGCAAACACAAACACATACGCAAACGCAAACACAAACACAAACGCAAACGCAAACACAAACGCAAACGCAAACGCAAACACAAACAGTCACTCCATTCTGGAGAAGAACAGCTCATTGGAAATCCCCACTGCCGACAAACAAGTATCAAAGTTGGAGAAAAGCGGTACTGGGTCCATATGGAGGAGAAAAAAGAGTCCAAGAGTTAAAGCAGCCGTAACTGAGCCAATTGAAGAGACCGAGTTTCCTAAATTGGATGAATCAAAACTGACTTTTCCGCAAACTTTGCGAAGTAGTAGTAAAGACAGCAACAACAACAACAACACAAACAGCATTGCCAACTCTACCACTAACACCATTTCCCAGAACCACAGTCATGGGTTATTGCATAGGTCAAAACGGCGAAGAGACGCTTACAAGAAGGAAAAATGTACAATCACTTAGAATCCTAATAGATATAGATTTATTATTAATATTATTGACTCTCAATCGCAGTAGTATATATCGCCACTAGTACCAGCTACGGCAACTTTACTAGTTTCCAACGGATGGAAAACGATACATTTGATCGGCGCCGTGCTTAATTTCCACTTATTGACAATCTTCTTACTTTGCCAATCCCAAAACACTGCATAACCTTGTGAATCTCCACTCATTACAATTTTCCCATCGGGTGAGAACCCAACCTCAATGCCGTACCCCGCACTCTGATGGCCCTTAAACACCTTGTTCTTGTTCCATTTGTACTTACCTGTAGAATGAATCACCTTGACACAGTTATCCATGCTTTGTAAAGCAATGTAGTTTGCCGTGGGATGTTTCTTGATTGATGGCGTTGAGAATTGTGATGGGTCCGAAATGACTTTGATTGGGATGTTGATTTGCCATTTCCATACCCGGATGGATTTATCATCCGATGTAGATATGAACGTTTCCGGAGTTGCTAGTATGTCATTTATGGCGCCAATGTGGTGGTCGTACACTTGTATGGGGTTATGGATCGCGGTTAGGCTAAAGTGCTCGATTTTGTGGTTTTGTAAACCGATAATGAATTCGGATTCATTGTTGGGGTTGAATCGAACGACATTGGGCACTGATGATGTTTCAATTGTCTTTATCACCTCACCGGTCTCGGTATTCCATAATCGAACCAATTTGTCATACCCACAACTGAGAAAGTGCGACCCGGTGGAGTTGAAACATACATCCTTTACTGCCAATTTGTGGCCCTTGTAGTTGCGTAGTAGTTCGAATGAGTCGTACACTGACCACAATTTGATCAATCCATCGTTCCCGCACGACAAGAGAAGGTGGCCGGATTGGGGGAAAAATTGTAGCTTGTTGACTCCCTTGGGGTGTGCTTTTGAAAACGTGTGAATAACCAGTTTGGGGACAAAACATTCTTGGTCGCCTGGTACTTTCTTTACAAGACTGTTGGGTATGTGCATATAAGATCTCCCCTGGTAGTCGAATTCACTCGAACCAACAAACTCTGAAGTCGGTTTGAATTTGTCGTTGAACTCTGCTTCTTTTTCGTCAGAATCCTCTTCGTTAACTATCTGTGCTGGCTCACTTGGTTGATACACTTGCGTCTGCTCTGAGTGAATCGGTGCCCATGGATCGCCTCCATTCTTTTTGCGTCGTTGTTTAAGTTCTTTTGCTCTGGCTTTGGCCTCTTTGAGTTTTGCTTGTTGGATATTGGCTTCAAATTTGGCTGCATCGTATGGAATTGCTTGAAATGTGGACGATTGTGTCTTTTGCCGTTTGTGTGGTTGGTCAACTTCATCTCCCAATCTCTTTACCTCCACTTCCTTCACATTCTTTTCTTCTTCTTCTTCTTCTTCCCCTTCTTCGGAACTTGAGTACCCTTGCACTAGCGACATATCTTGCAATGATCATCGCAAAGGATCCAAAAAAAAAAAAAAAAAAACCGCCCAAAAAGAAAAAAAAAGTTGAGAGCTCATTCATTCTTTTACTGACAAAAGTGCTGCCAATATTATGAGCAAGAGACAAATTGAATCGGATTCTGACATAGACGTCAGCTCAACTGATGAATCTGACAACGAGTTGGGCCATCAAGGAAATGGTGGGGACCGTGATGTTGACATGCAAGAAACTGTCAATGTCGACTTTGATTTTTTCGATTTGAATCCTGATGTCGATTTCCATGCATTGAAGAATTTCCTACGTCAACTATTCGGCGATGATCACGGTGAGTTTGACACAAGTGGGATTGCCGATTTGATATTGGCCAAGAACGGAGTGGGTACTACGATCAAGACTGAAGGACAAGAAAGCGATCCGTATGCACTCTTGAGTGTTTTCAGTATATCCAACAATTTGACTCAACCCAGTGTTAAGCAATTGGTTGAGTATGTTTTGAAGCAAACAAGAAACAAACTAGAGTTCAACGTCACGTTGAAGAAGTTGTTACAGCCAAATACGAGTGGGAGCTCAACATCATCACCTAAAGTTGGATTGATTGTGAGTGAACGATTGATAAATATGCCAATTGAAGTAGTGCCACCCATGTACAAGATGCTACTGGAAGAAATGCAAAAAGCAGACAATGCAAATGAACGATTCAATTTCGATTACTTTTTGATTATTTCCAAAGTTTACCAATTGGTTGATGCGGTAGAGAAGGATGATGTTGATGATGATGACGTTACAAATAAGGGCAAAAAGAGGAAAACCGGGGACCAAAAGCCAGCCGAATTTGATTATTTCCATTTGGAGGACCAAATTTTGGAAGCGAATGCTACTTACAAAGGTGTATTTGATTACAAGAACAAGAATCAACAGGAGACGGATTCAAGAAGAGTATTTACTGATTATGGAATTGATCCCAAATTAAGCATCATATTGATAAGCAAGGATAATTTAGCTAAATCGGTAACGGAAATGGAACAACAATTTCCAGCCCCATAGAACATATAAGGTTTTTCTTCCGTATAGTGTGTACGAATACTACATACCGAAAATTACACACCATCATCTGGACGTTGTTGCTCGCGCTCGACATTGCTGCCCTTGTGCTGCAAATTTTCGTAACCCTTGGTATTCTCCTTGACCTCTTTTCTAGCTTGATGCTTGTTTGCACCGTCAGTGACATCATCCACAGTCTCCTTGGCCTTGTTTGCCAATTCTTCTCCCTTTTCAACACCGTCAGCAAGCACATTGCCAGTCTTTTTGTTTGCTGTTTCAGCAACTTCCTTGGTGTTGCCAAGAACTTTCTCTCCAACTTCGACTCCATCAGCGAGAACTTCTCCCGTCTTCTTGTTTACTGAATCAGCGGCTGATTTAGCCTTGTCTGCAAGATCAGACGGGTTAACAGTCTTTTGAGCACTGTCAATGGTGTCAGCTAAGACTTTGCCAGTCTTTTTGTTGACGGTATCAGCAGCAGACTTGACGGTTTCAGCGGCACTTTGAAATGTAGATTGTGCACCATCTTTGGCGTCTTCGAGGTTTGATTTGGCAGTTTCTTTAGCATCTTGAGCTGCATCCTGTGCATCATCCAATTTGCTGGCGGCTTTTCTTCCACCGTCCAAGTTGATATCTTGAGCTTTGTTTTCCAATTCGCCTTCCTTGCGCTTCTTTTCTTCTAAACCTTTCTTTCCAAACACAGCTTGGGTAGCAGCATCGACGATACCGTAGTTTCTTGAGATGACAACTGGTCTGTGTGCAATTGGTCTAATTGATCTAATAACTGATTGGCGAAACATTGCGAAGTTGTAATTTGTTTTACGAGTGAAGAGGAGAGCGTTCTTTACATCTTGAGTGTATAGGGGGTAATTTGGTCCTCCTTTATATACACATACCCCATGGATTACACAAAGTACGATTGCTGTGCACGCAGGCAGCAATTGTAACATATCTCTTGTGGCGCATGACATCAAATCCTTTGCAATCGCGATTCGACTTTTTAAAGAGTGAAGGGGCTCTACACAATGTCTTTAAGTGGAAATGCAAAGGACATTAGAAAAGACAACTCATACTTATGAATGGGCTGGAAGTCTACGCGTAAGGTCTTCTCCAATATCAACTGATAGAGTAAGGTCGATTCCCAATGCGCCCGCCCGCACCCCCCCCCCGCCTCGTTCTCAGTGCCCACTCTAATTCCCGAAGTAGGTAACAGAGAGGTAGTGTTAATTCTAAGAACATACACTGCCCTATCTCATGAAATGGCATCTAGAGTGTCGCTGCGATTGAAACTGGTACCCCATTTTGTACGACTTTGACTGCAACAAAACTCCAGTGGTGCTGCATCACTGTCGAGCCTAAGCTAAGAAGGAGAATTTTCTCCGAAATCTTTGATCTACATCAACTTATCAAGCGCATGTTCCAAACTGACTACAACTTGGTGCATAAACCCTTCAAAAAGTATTGATCCATCTCACACGACCTTTTGGTGATTTTTCTTCTTTTTTTTTTTTTTTTTTTTCTGTTTTTGCATAGATCGATCATTAAGAAAAAATTTTCAAAGGCATTGGAGTCCCCAAAACCATCCACGTTACCAACATGCCACCAGCTCACAAGAGTCACAACTTCCGTCCGGAAAATGTGTTAAAACGTGCCGAGGATTTGATTGCCGTAGGGCAAAAGGAAGCTGCATTGGACACCTTGTATGAGCTCATCACTTCAAGAAGAATTCGTTATTTACAAGTCGAGGACTTGGAACCTATTGCTAGCTTGCTCATTGAATTGGCTGTTGAATTGAGAAAGGGTAAATTAGCCAAGGATGCTTTGCACCAGTACAAGAAAAACATTCAAATGTCTGAACATGGTTTGGAATCGGTGCAAACTATTGTTCGTAAATTCATTTCCTTAGCTGAAGGGAAATTAGACGAAGCTCAAGCCAAGGCTGATGTGAAAATCGATCAGGAAGAAACTGCTGAGGATGATTTGGAAACTGCTCAAACTCCAGAATCTATCTTGTTGAGTGCCGTTTCAAACACGGATACTGCTGATCGTACTGAAAGAGAATTGGTTACTCCATGGTTGAGATTCTTGTGGGAAGCTTTCAGAGCCTGTTTGGATATTTTGAGAAACAACTCCAAGTTGGAAGTTACTTATTCCGCTATCGTCAATCAAGCTTTCAAGTTTTGTTTAAATTTCAAAAGAAAAGCTGAATTTAGAAGATTGTGCGAGTTATTGAGAGTTCATATGCAAACAGTCACCACTCAGGTCAAGACTTCATCCAACAATGCTATTGATTTATCTGACTCGGAAACTGTTCAGCGTTATTTGGAGCAGAGGTTTTCTCAATTGAACATTGCTGTCAAGTTGGAATTGTGGCAAGAGTCATTCAGATCTGTTGATGACGTGCATAGTTTAATCACTGCTTCGAAAAAGGCACCAAAGCCAACGATGATGACTAACTATTATGAAAATCTTGCGAGAATCTTTGCGGTATCAGACAACACGTTATTCCATGCTGCTGCTTGGAACAAGTTTTTCAACTTGTACTCTCAATCACCGAAAGCCACCGATGATGAATTGAAGAGATATGCTTCCATATTGGTGTTGTCTACATTGGCCATCTCTCAAAACGCCATTCAAGATGCTGATGATCACAGAGCAAAGAATTCTAAATTGTCCTCATTGTTGAATTTGACTCAAGTTCCCACCAGAGACGGTTTGATTAGATCAATTGTCCAAAGAGGCATTATCAAATATGTTGATGGTCCTGTTAAACAATTGTTTGATTTGTTGGAAAAGGATGATTTCCAACCATTGTCGGTTAAGAAAGAAGTTATTGAGATTTTCAAATCCATTGAGTCAGATGAAGAATTCAAAAAGTATATCCCGACATTGACCGAGGTCATTTTGATTAAGATTTTCCAACAAGTCTCCCAGGTTTACGATACTGTCAAATTGGACTTTTTGGTTTCGTTGGGTGTATTTGAAGGCTTGCAATACTCATTAACAGAGTTGGAGGTTGAGGAATTGATTGTCAATGCTGTCAAGAATGATTTACTTTCCTTGATTATTGATGATGAAGCTGGCGTGGCTTCTTTCAAGTCGAGTCCATTTGAAGACGTGACTAATGCATCTACTCGTAAATTGCAAATATCTCCAGCCGAAATTGTTCGTACTCAAATTAGCAAGTTGGCTGCCACTGTTGCTGAATCGGTTCAAATCATTGACCCTGAATACGAGACTCGTCGTAAACACGCTCAAGAAGCTGCCTTGCATCGTGCTATGACTGACTTGGTTCGCGAACAACAAGCTCTTGCTGATAGGTCCAAGATTATTGAAGAGCGTAAGGTTGCTGCTGAGAAGCGTAGACGTGAGGAGGAAGAATTGCAAGCTAGATTGAAACAGGAGAGAATTGCTGCGGAACAAAAGGCTGAGCAAGAAAGATTGGTGCAAGAGCAAGAGCGTAAGAAATTGGAGAAGTTGCAAAAGGAACGTGAAATGATTCAAGAAAATGAAAAGAGAAAGCTTGCTGAGGAGATTAATGCCAAGGGTATTATTAAGGTTGATTTGAACAATTTGAAGGATTTGGATGCTAGTAAGTTGAAGATGATGCAGGTTGAACAATTGAACAAGGACAGAAAGGAATTGGAGGAGAAGTTGAAAGTTACTTTCAAGAAGGCTGATTACTTGGAGAGAGCTTATAGACAATATGAAATCAAGTTATTGGATGCCGAAGCTGAAAAGCAGAGAGCGTTGGAAGTTGAAAACTACGAGACTGCAAAGAATGCAAAGATTGCCAAGGCAAAGAAGGAGTTTGATAATGCCGTTTCTTTGAAGGAGCGTTTCCAACGTATGTTGCCTGATTACACTTCATACAAAGCTGATCTTGATGCTAAGAATGCTGCCAAATTGGAGAAATTGAGACAAGAAGCTCATGAGAAATTCGAAAGAGCCAAGCAAGAAAGAATTGAAAAAGTAAAGAGACAACGTATTGAGGAGCTCAAGATTAGAAAGGAGAGAGAACGTAAGGCACAAGCTGAAGAAGCTGCAAGAAAGGCTCAAGCTGCAGAACATGCCAAATTGAAGGAAGAATTAAGAAAGCAAAGAGAGAAGGATGAAGAGTTACAGAGAAGAAGAGACGAAATGGCAGCACAAGCCGCCGCTCAAGAAGCTAAACCAGCCGCTCCATTGACATTTGCCCAAAGAATGAAATTGAAGAGAGAAGGAAAATTGGCTTGAGTTTAAACATTTCTTTGTAAGGTGTAGTATAATGCATATAGAGATCCCTCTGAACAGTGCTGTCTTTTCCAAAGTAATAAAGTACAAGCAAATGGAATCACCTGTCGTCTTGTGAACCAAACAAATGCGGCATTTGAAATTCAAACAATATCCGCCCCTGCATGCGGAGTGACCGCGGAGTTAAATTCGCCGCAAAAAGCTGTCAAAAAGTACTTATACCAAACACACGCCGTGAAAAAAAAAAAAAAAAGCAAATTTCGAGTCTATTTATAGCGTACCACAATGATTCCAACAGTTACAGTAATAGGTTCTCTCAACTACGACTTGGTAACCTTCACCAATAAGGTCCCGGGTGGAGGGGAAACCTACCAAGCCAATGCGTTTGAGACACACATGGGTGGTAAAGGTTTGAATGAAGCAATCGCCATTGCTAGATTATCACCGGAAGGTAAGGTCAATACGAGAATGGTGGGCAGAATTGGAACAGATCAATTCGGTGCTAGTCTAAGGCAGTGCCTTGTTGATGCTGGCGTAGATGTGTCAAACTTGAAAACGGTGGATGGTTCTTCGGGAGTGGCTGTGATTCTTGTTGAAGAGGATGGGGAAAATCGTATTTTGATTACTCCTGGAGCAAATGGACATTTGAAATTGAGTGATGAGGAGTACGCATCTATATTTAAGGACGATTCTTTTGTTGTGTTGCAGAATGAGTATCCAGATACCGCCAAGAGTATAACCTGGTTGAAAGGCAATAAACCCAATATCAACATTGCGTACAATCCATCGCCGTACAAGCCTGAATTGATGCGCAGCGACATATTGTCCAAAGTGGATCTTTTGATTGTCAATGAAGGAGAGGCACAAGATGTTGCAAAGCATCTTTTGGGAAACACCCAGACCCTGTATAATGTCTTGGCGGAGGAATTGCAATTGTTGTTACACCAAGGCAATATTAAGACCGTTGTTATCACCATGGGCAGTAAGGGAAGCATTTTTTACAATGGTGAAGGAAAGCCTACGTTTGTTCCATCCAAAAAGGTGGAGACTGTGATTGACACAACCGGTGCCGGTGATACATTTTTCGGAGGACTCGTGTCTAATTTGGCATTGGGACATGGTATTGAACAAGCTGTCAATTTTGCAACTGTCGCCAGCAGTTTGGCTATTCAGAAGAAGGGAGCCGCAGAGGGTATACCATTTTATAAAGACATCTAATGTATTCTCGTCTATTATATATATATATATATATATACATATATATGTATGTATTGTCTATGCTTTTCTTGAACGTACCTTTTCACCTGGGACTGGAGTAGCTTCTCTACCAGTGACATATACATATTCATTCACTTGAGCAGCAACACCGCCATCAACTGCTTTGACAATTTTACTCTTTTTTGAAGATTTTCTTTTGTAAACGTCAATGTAGAAGGCAATAAACAAGACCAAGTAGGATGATAAAATAGCACAACCAGAGTAGGCCGAGTACAAGTGACCAGCGCAATCACCACAAACTGGGAGAACGTCGGTGTAATTTGGCAAAAAGTGAATCACAAGCTTTTGATAAGTGGCAAAGTAAACAAAACCCAAGTCCAACACAAATTGAATAATTTGGAAACGAGTGACCCATTCCTTCCACCAAACTCTGATTCCTCTAGCGGCAAGGAAATAGTACCAGTACATGACGACGTGAACCCCCAAGTTCAACGAGATTGGAACCCATGAGATAGAAGTATCACCAATCAACTGAGTGTAACACAACAACGCAGTAGCACCGTGGTGATACGTGTGCAAAAACGTCAACTTCTTTTGCTTGACAACCAAAAACACAGTATCTATAAATTCAACAAACTTAGTCAAGTAATTCAAGTAGTACAAGCAAACCAATTCCTGAGTCCATGCTTTTGGCGAACAAATAGCATAAAACAATCCATGATGGTAAATCATGGGCACCAATTGTTCAACCATCAAAGTCAACAAGGTCAAGGACAAAGTGGTCAAAAACAAGTTGTGAATCTGAAACAATCCATTTAGCACAAATGGCTTGATTTGAAGCTTCTTGAATAAGTAATTGCCGCCAAAAATCACAATGTAGTAACTGGCGATAGCTAACAAGACTGGGTGTAGGGTTGAGAGAGGCAACTCTCCCTGTACAAAACGAAACTCGCCAGGAACAAAATATCCCCCCGATGCAGTTGATACGATTTCGTTAAAGATGGGCCATAATTTGACTCCAAATGGTGTATCCCAAGTAAATGCCATGGTTTTGTAAGTAAAAGTTTGAGCAGAAGAAACAGAGTTGGAAAATTCTTTATTTTTTTTTTTTTTCTTTTGTTTTGTTTTTGGAAGAAAGTTTTGCTTGCGTGTATGTAATGATGATTATGAGTCCAAGATGCTATTGTTTGTACGCGTTTAAAGTGGAGAATATATATATATAGAGAGAGACAGAGAGAGAGAGAGAGAGAGAGAGAGAGAAAGAGAGAGAAAGGGGAGAGAATAGGGGGCTGTGTAGATGAAACGCTTGTTGTACTATATGGAAGGGATTTTAGAATACAATGAGAGTGATGCATAGGGGTGAATGGAATCGGACAGGCCAGCTTATGGCTGGGTTGATGAAGTATGTATCCTTGTAACACGCTTTGCATACATAGGAGACTGGAGAGCGTCTCCTATTTACGCGCATAATCTTTTCTTCTGCATATGAAAAAAAAAAAAAAAAAAAAAAAAATGCCATGATTTTGTATGGATCGGTTTTTGGTTTATCCTCTTCCATCCTATGTCGCAGTCCGAGTCTTCCTCCTCTGAAACATCATCTTCCTCAGAGGAAGAAGAAATTGCCAAACCAGTGTTTATCCTGAAAAAACAACAAGAAAAACAAAACCAGAATGCTACAAATTCATCGCGCCAAGTCTTGCTCTCCCAATTGGAACTGAAGGACGCAAAAGAGGACACTGATGAAAAATTTGAAGTTGATGATACCGATGACTTGGACCCTCATTTGGAGTACGAAAACTGGAAGGAACGTGAAAAGTTACGCTTTCTTCGTGATCAACAAATTATACGGGAGGCCGAGTTGGAAAAAGAGCGAAAAGAAAAATAGCAAAAGAAATACAGAGACAGAGACAGAGACAGAGATCACATTTGAATCAGATATGTCCTTGATTCCACTACCCGAAACACTTGTGCCATTCCTTAAACCTTACCTCCCGATACCAATCAATGGACGACCATTCGTCACCTTAACGTATGCACAATCGCTTGACTCGAGAATTGCCGCTCAGCCTGGCGTCCAAACCAAATTATCGCATTTGGAGACAAAGACAATGACACACTATCTTCGATCCAAACACGATGCAATTCTTGTTGGTGTCGGCACGGTATTGGCAGATGATCCTAAATTGAATTGCCGTTATGGTAGTGGGAATTTAATTAGACCGGTAGTGGTTGATCCTCATGGTAAATGGAATTACAATGAATCAACTTTGAAAAAGATTTGTGACGCTGGTGATGGCTTACCTCCGTATATTCTTGTTGATGAGCTGGTGGAAAAAGATGGTACGATAAAGTTGTCGTTACTAGGTGGAGACAATTGGGGGACGATTTTTGACAAATTGTACGAATTGGGAATCAAATCAGTCATGGTTGAAGGTGGTGCCAGAGTGATTAATGACTTGCTCAGAGAAGATATTGTTGATAGTGTTATCATAACTGTGGCTCCTGTGTTTCTCGGGGATAAAGGTGTACAAGTTTCACCTAAAACTGGGGTTGCTTTTACAGATGTGTCCTGGTGGACCGGTGTTCAAGATAGCGTACTTTGCGCAAGATTACAAACAGATTCTATATGATGCATAACGTCCAGAAGTTTCCGATCTTCGGATAATTTTTACAACTTCACCTCTTTTCAACCCAAGATATCTAGCAACTGGGTCCTCTCTTTGAATACGAGGCAACTGCGATTCCTTCAATCTATACCTCTCCAACAACTCCTTTTTCTCGTCTCTGCTCAACTTGATATGTTTTGGAACCAATTCATGATGGGTTATATTCACAATCAAATCATTTTCTTGAAACGTTTCAATTGTTGCTGGTTGCACAGTTGGAATCAACTTGTTGGCACTTGGAGTGATACCATTTTGATAAATGAATATGCCAACACTGAAATTCTTTTCACTTATGTGTATACAGAAGTTTCTCATTGTTTTGATACCAACACTGGCTTCGTCACAAAATTCAACCCAAAGCGATCCCATATCGGGGAACTTCTCTAACAGCTCAGCGGTGGGTGTGGCTTGGAAACACATGAGTTTACGTTGTGGCTCTCCCATGGGACTGCATACCATAGAACGGAACTGTTCCAAGCTCATATCAAGCTCCTCTTGGGATATGTAATAGCCCTGAAAGAAAAGGAAAATGTTAGTAGATACACAGAAGAAAAGGGTAACTTTTTGGCACATACTCTATCCTTGACCATTTCTTTCACCGTTTTGAATGTCCTAAACAAACGAGAAATGGCTCTGTCATTGTCGTCCATGGTTACCGTGTGATGTAAGTATTGGTGTTGGTGTTGGTGTTGGTGCTGGTGTTGATGGTGGTCGATGTTTGGTAGTGATGAGATTTGATGAGAGTTGAAAAAAAAAAAAAAAAAAAAAAGTTCAAGTTATTGGGACTCGTGCACGACTTTAGATGTGGTGATTGACTTCGCTTGATTTAGGTATACAATCCGTTGACATCGATAGTGTGCTTGCAAAGGGTCATTGTGTTTAACGTGTTCTTCTTTAGAGAATTTTATTGTGTTTAGAATTACTCTTCTTCAAGGGAAACTTCGGCAAAGACTGATTGACGTAGAGAGTAGAGCGGAGGGCAGAGGGCGGAGAGAATCTCATGGGCCCCAAGTCTAAAGCAACTGGGATATTGCTTCTTTGGTGGTTCAGGTCTCTCCCGGTACAGTAAGCTGCTTTCACCAATTGAAGCGTAACTCTAGATCACGTAATTTAGATGTGGGCAAACATCTCTCACTCCGCTGGACGGAGTTGTTTCAAGATTTCCTTTTTTTCTTTGTCTTCCTCGAGCGGACACGCAAGTTCCAGTCAGTGCTAGGTAATTCAAAATTTAACACCATGAGGGGAATATCGTATGGGATCGGAGATCACACGTCATCCTCCCACATCTTACCAATTAACCAGATAGTTTACTCCCCTACTCAACGGAAATTGTTTACTGCTGGAAGAGACGGTTCCGTCAAAATATGGAATCAAGAATGGGCCCAAGAACCAAAGGAGCCCACCACTACCACAGATACTTTTGAAACTTCACCCGAGGAGCTAGCTCTTAAATTGGAGACTCAGATTTCAGCAAATCCCCTTCCTTATCGACGAAATACAGGCACATTGACAATTGCCAACAGTTTTAATCTCCATTTCGACTGGGTCAATGATTTACAACAAGTTGGAGAACTGGTATTGGCATCAGCTTCAAACGACTTATCACTCAAGCTTTTGAATTTTCACAATGGTGATGTGCATAAATTGCCCAATGTACACATAGATTACATAAAGAAAATCCAAACGACACAAAATAATGGGATAGTGTCTGCTGGGTTGGACAGCAAGATTGTAACTTGGGATTTGAACAACTTGAGCCCATTAGCAACCCTCAACAATCAAGATGGTGTCTATTCACTATCATGCAATGCGACTTTGATAGCTGCTGGAGGTGCGAGCCTGGTTGTTAATTTGTATGATGTGAGAAGCTCGCTGAGGATTCGGACGCTCATTGGTCATCAAGACAACGTGAGGTCGTTGCTAATGGACGACAGGTACGTCATTAGTGGCAGTTCAGACACCACGATCAAAATGTGGGATTTGCGGACTTTCAAAGTGTACAAGAATTTTGATATTCATGATTTCCCCGTGTGGGCGATGCTGGGAGATTCAAGGTGTTTTTATTCGGGTGATAGAGATGGTAATATAGTCAAGACGGATTTGTCGAATTTATTCATCAATAAAGATGACCAGTATTTCGAAAATACCTTCACGACTAATGAGTGTACCTCAATTGATGAAAAATTGGGAATTTCGACAATTATTGCTCAAAATGAGTCACCCATATTATCGATATGTCACAATGATGATAGTATTTTTATATCTGACTACGATTCGTTGAGCAGGTATGTCAATCCAAACACGTCCCGACTTTCCCAATATCAACTTTTGAAAACCTGTCTCGATTATTCGCCCAATGACGATTCACTCGATGAAGCACAGCCCAATGATGATTTGAATTCCATGTTTCATGATTTGGTGAGTCACTTGTCAAATGACACTGCAAATAACGAAGTGCAAAGCAATTACTCTGCTGAGCAATTTGAGCCGGGTGAATCGTACAATTCAATGTTTTTAAATGTCAATGGTGGACCATCAACTGAGTTTGTCAATGCGTACCAGCTGGGTCTTGTTGCTTCGGATGGGTTTGTTGATACAACTCCAATTGAGATTTTACTCAACCCAAGTGACCAAATTTCTCCGATTCCATTCAACTTGAAACCCATCACCAGGCATGAGATAGCCCCACATAGTGTTGTTTCTAAAAGATTACTCAACAACAAGCGACAAATCATGGCCTTGTATCTAAATGGCGATATTCGGATGTGGGACATTCTAATTGGTAAAGAGTTGAAAAAGTTTCCTGGTCGTGAGGATAAACTACTTTCAGGCAAGGAGTTGGAGTACCGACTCAAGGAGATGGATGATTTGGTGCAAAAGTACCAGACCCTGGATACGCTCAATAACTGGTGCGAGGTTGAAATCAAAGCAGGCAAATTGCTAGTCACTATCAAAGAGACCTCGGTGATGAATGTGGAGGTATATTACGACGATATGGTGAGGGATTACCCTTATCTAGCAATAGACCATCCTGAAACAGTTGCACGAATGGGACAACATAAACTGCTCGCTGTGGGTGATGATGATCGGTTCCATCTTGGTTTAATCTTTTTGAATTCGATCTTCCATGGGTATACCATGTACGAATGGGTGTTTGATGAGTTGGTTAGAGAGGAACTACGTCAGCTGAAACCAGGCACTGCTGATAATGAGAGTATTACTGGCCGGTTGAAAAACTGGCGGAAATCGTCAAAGAGGAATTTGACAGATGCCTCGCCTATAAGCTCGGCCAATGTCAGTGTTAATGAGATGCCTATCAACCCACCCCTAAGTGAGTTCCTTGGAACCCCAGAGGAGAGCTTGATAAAGAGGATACCACAATACAACGACACAATCATGAGTTTGTTGCAAGCAAACAAAAAGTTGTACCAAGAGCAAACTAAACTGGAATCGGCTCTACGAGTGAACCGAGTCAATCCCGGTTTGGGCATACGTAGTGATGGTAATGATGAAGAGTTGAGGTATTTCCCAGTTATAAATGTCAATCATTTCCCACCGGATATGAATGTGATCTTATTTGAGTACTCGCCTGAATTGGGCAACTATCGTGATTTGAGCTCATTCAATATCAGGAACATCAACAATTTACTTGAGTTCCCCCAACGTGACCTCATTGATGAGTTGCGGTGCTCGTTGCCGCGATGGATTGGGAATCCGATCCTTTACAATCGATTCAGTCTTAAAGAACCGCCAAAGATTACTTTCCGATTACTTGAAGTTGATTATTTCAACTTGCCTTCGACGGTAAAGATCGGTGGTAAATCTCAACGTAAAATCAAGTCGCTTCCAGCGTTGGAGAGTAGTATCAAGTTGACGTCACACAACATGTTGCGGGTGTCAAAGATTCTTTACTTTTTAACTGACAAGTTTGATGGTAGTACTAAGGAGATGAGGGACAAGAAGTTGAAGCCTACTGATTGGTTGGTGTTGGAGTGCAAAGGGCAAGAGTTGAGCAATTCAATGACGTTGCAGACGATCAAGACAAAAGTGTGGAAAAGTAGCAGTGATATAGAGTTACGATATAGGAGGAGATTTGATTAGACAACTTCATTTTGTATCCCGTGGCATCTCTGAATGAAGTCATTCTGCAACTGCAGAGAAGAAAGGATAAGAAATACTTCCAAAGACATTTATTCATAACTCGTTATACATCATTACAAAGCCATTAGTAATCCTTCTTAATATACTTGTAGTGAGAATGGAAATCGTTCTTGAGAACATTCTTCAAAGCTTGATTCTCCTTCAAAACCTCCTGGTAGGACTTCTTAAGCTCCATATTCTCTTGTTGCAAAAAAGTTTGAATGAGTTGCAAAGCCTGGTTCTTACTAGCCAATTCCTCAGGAGTTTCAGGAACAATCTCTTGAGCGTGGCGTGCGACATTTTCAATTTCATACTCCTCAGCCATTTCTTCAATGTCTTCTTCTTGGCGTAAGTTTAAGATGGTGTCTTTAATGTCGCCTTTTTCTAAAGTTTCCGACATCTTTCTTTTGGTGTCGGCATTCATGGAGTGAAACATGGTGAGTAGTAAATGTGGAGTTTAGATGTGGTGAGCAGAAGGAGTTTACGAAACGCAAAACGGGGAGGGGTGGGAGGGGTGAGCTGAGTGACTTTGTTAGAATCAAATTTTCGTAGAAAAGGAACGAATGGGAACTGCTGCCGAGGTTGGTACTTACTTTTCAAATTGATGGAAGAAGGAAGGAGTTTGGAAGTTCTATTTCCTGAAGGAAAGGGAAGGGAGAGAATGGGAATATCAAAAATGAAAAGCTACTTATATATATATGTGTGTATACTTCAACAAACCAGCGTTAAAAGCACCAATAGTATGTATAGTGTATAGTTTATCTACACAGAGCGAAAAAGAAATAAAAAGCGGAGAAGAAAAGAAAAGGAGGAAGAAAGTTATACAAACACAAAGCTTGCACCTTTTGTGTTATGTTATGTTATGTTATGTAATGAATTTTGAAGATCACCCCACACGACCAATAAAACCTCAAACGTTACAACATCAGAGGGGGGGAGCAGAAGAATCACCTCACACATTAGTACACCTTTGATTCCATCCTAATTAGTCAAGCATTAATCCTTTCCGATACTTACATCTCTGCAAAAAAAAGAAAAAAAATAAAACACACTTGAAGTCATTTCTCACGGAAAGTAGTATTGTGATGATAAGCTTGCACTTTTGTTCTATCTACAAAGCACAAAGATAAATATCAAAGCGTCTGCTTGGTATCAAAATATGGAGGTGATGGTGATATCTTTTCTTGTTTCTTCTACGTTTTGCACATTTTGCGTTGCTTTGCGTTTTGCTGATTATTTGTCAACTAATGTGTGTAGCTGCCAACCAGACAAGCGGAGGGTTGTTCTCCGGTGTAAAGGTCTACTGCAGCCGCTGAGTTGACTATGCAAACTTTCATTTCAAGCTGTTCTTACCAGCATTGTCAGGAATAAGATAAACTTGCTCATCTGATTTTAGCGCCCAAGTTGGCTTTTATTTCTGCACTTCCAGAACTTTTGAAGTTTGGCTCTCCCTCCACTTCTTCATTAAAATTTCACCACACTGAATGCAACAAAACGTTTCTCACAACATCAACAAAGTATATTCTGTTAAAGAGCTTCTAACAGCCTCCTATCCCTCGTGTATGGGTAATTTGCTCTCACTTGTCCGAGGTAATCAAGAATCCAAACAAACATCTTTGCTTGAAATGCATGTGGATGAGTTCAGATTACCAAGCTTCAATGAAGAAGAAAATAGAGCCAAAAAAGAGGGGGGGAAGGAGGGCAAGTACGCATCTCAGATACGCCCCTATGTAAAAAGGCAACGAGTGTACGCCAAGTTATAAACCGGATGCCAAAAATTGATCCAAAAATGTACCACCGATCTCTTTAAGTGATATTGGTAACAGGTTTGGCCCAAACACACTGAATCAGCCTGTCTTTAAAGCTCGATACGACTATTGTGTGACCTTTACTGACCGGTTTGATCCTAGGTAAGTGCGAGTGCTAGGAGGAGCATATGCTCTCACTAATAAGCTGTTTATTCCTGGTATAGGGTGTAAGCTACTCACACTTCATGATTCTCCCACACTTGCTCCATGTTTGGAGTTGAACTTGGGTGCAAAAAGCAATTGAATGAATATCAATGTAGTACAGCTGGGCTCTTGAACCCCATGTATGGGATATTAGGAGGGGTATGAACTCTCTGTGTCGCCAGTGCCAGATTGAGAGAGTAAAAACAGTAAGTGTTCAACACTGCGTACCATTGACGAGAAAATGCAAGTGGTTGCAAATGAAAAGAAAGCTCCTACTGCTTTTAATCAGCAAGCCCTTATTCAAGAACAGCTAAAAACTTCGAGAGCTGGTTTTGTTTAGGAGGGGTCTCTTTAATCGCAGTCAATAAAGTAACCTCCCACTAAGTTCAAAACATATCACTGGTAAAAAATCTATATAAACTATATACTTTTCATGAGCAAAACCTGAGCGTATTTATATTCTTCCGGTTACACCAACTTAACCCTTCTCATCTCATGACTTTATTAGTAATGTGGTCATGTTTTGCAACCCGGAAATGCACATTCCCGTGTTAACTATATATGTATGCAAATTATTGTCTCACTTGACATCCGGACTTTAATATTCGATAAACAATTGTATTTGTGTAACGTCATCAAGCAGCAACTTGAGACATTCAGCAAGCTCTCTCTCTATCTAGTGCCTTCCTCCCATTTGCAAGATTCGCCTTCAAAGATGAGGAAAAGGACAGTTTCGTGAATTTTAATCCCCAAAACTTTTACGGACTCGAATGTACATGGAGAGTCCAAAACCAACAATTAGCTGCAATAGCTTAGTTGTCGGTTGGACTGGGTGGCCAAGCTGGTTAAGGCGTGCGACTGTTAATCGCAAGATCGAGAGTTCAATCCTCTCCCTGGTCGTTTTTTTTTTCATTATTGTATTACCTCTTCTTCTCCTTTTTTTTTTTCTTTTAGCTTTGTGTTTTGAAGCATATATTACGAAAAGTTTTCATTACTTTCTTTCCAATCTGGACTTCTGCTGCTGCTGGCTCGTTCTTTTCGAAGGAGAGGTGAACTCAAAGTTTGCATCAAATTCATTTGCCGGAAAGTTGGTGCGAATTGTTGCAAAAAAAAAAAATACAAGTTAAAGTTCATACCGTAGGTATCATCGTACAATCGCATTTCCAGCCGTGTTGACACGTCTCAAAACATGTGGATTTGGCACCCAATCAATATAAATATGTCTTGTTAGAGGCTTCAATTGATTTACCTTGATGATGACTCAACAACTGCGAAGACTTTAATCAATATTGATTCAAGACATTTTTCTTCAAGGTAAAAGATCAGACTTATCTAAGACAACTTGAATTGTTGGGATCGAGGCACTTTTGTTTTACTAGATGCTACTTCAGGGTAAGCTGATAGGACACAGCTATTAAGTTGCTGGTTTGATTGTAGACTTGAAGTGCAAAACAATGAAATTGAACATAGATTGTGCCAGTCTATTACTAAAGCTTGCAAAACTCGTATATACACATTCGCAAACGCCTGTGCTGTTCAAAAGTGCATTTGTGGTATGTTAATCACAACTCTTACGAGCTCTGTTTTGATTAACGCTGACACAAGCGGTATAAACCTGCAGCAACACAGATCTGGATGTCCTAGATCTGAATTAAAAGATAGAACTACATATTATTGAACAAAAAACACGAGTTCAACCTTGTAATTAGCAGTTTTTTTATATACTCTTAACAGCTCTGTCCATCTAAATTCTATAGAGAGGAACCTCATAACATGACTTAATTTTGCAGAATGTAAAACTCACAAATAGCGTTTCTGTCGAAAATCACTGATATGACGCAGTGGTCCTCCGCTCCCATAGTTTAGTTGGTTAGAACATTTGTCTCATAACTTCCCAAGTAGTGTGACATCAGAAGATCGTGAGTTCGAACCTCACTGGGAGCATCTCTTTTTTGCATCTTTGCTGGGTATTGGTCACCCTTCTTTTTTTTTTTCTCCCCTCTCCAACTTCACTATCAGCATTGATATGGTCTCCTTCCCCTTGAGTTGACACATTCAACTTCTCTTCTCAAACTAACTTGTTGTTCTAATGTCCTTTCAACGCGCTTCAATTTAGTTCTCGGCTTTTGTTCTTTGTGCAAAAAGTAGAGAAAAAAAAAAAAAGAGCACACACCTCGAAAACATCAACAAAAGAAAAAGTCTCACAGATATGATCCACCCTTCATCCAATTCAAACATGGTTGAGGACGACAATACTTGTGCGCCTCCGCCATCACTAAGCTCATACAGCATTGAGATGCTAAATTCAAGACGAAATAAGTCCCCAGTGACGGGGGTCTATCATCAAGATTTTCCCGATAGGTCGTCGGATTTGCGAAAGAAATTCATCGCAGTTTTTGGTCATACAACAACAACTACCGAAAACTCACTTTCAGATGGCCTTATGGACGATAAGTCGGGATCAACATCGAAGTCGACAATTACCAGTACAGAAAATCGGTTCAAGAGGAGAAGGTATGGCAAGTTACTAGGTGCTCCAAAACGAGCAAGTGAAAACAATACACTAGAAGATGATTTCATTGATGAGGAGTTGATCAAGAGGAACGTTGAGGAGAGAAACAAGACACCAAACAAACAGCGCCAACCTTTAGGTGATATTTCGAATACATTTAGAAGACCCGAAACGCCGAAGAAGGAGGCACCAGTCAGAGTATCTCCACTACCGCCAACGCCAGCACCAGCATCAAAAGCACAAGCAGCACCAGCACCAAAAGCACCAGCAGTACCAGCACCAAAAGCACAAGCAGTACCAGCACCGAAAGCACAAGCAGCGCCTGCAATGTTGGCAATGTCAGCGGTGCCAGCAGCACCGGCTCAAACCCAACCAACCACAGCGACTCCTTCAGACTCGCGGACCTTTATTGTCAACAACAAAAAGTATGAGAAATTGGAGCTACTAGGAAGAGGAGGATCATCCAAAGTTTACCGCATAAAAGCAGCTAATGGACACCTGTTTGCGTTGAAAAAAGTAACGTTGAATTCAGCAGAAGAGACTTCATCATTCAAGCGCGAGATTGAGCTACTCCGCAAATTGAGGAATTACAAAAGAGTGGTGAAACTTTACGATAGTGAGGTGACAAAGTCGTCAATATATCTAATTATGGAGAAGGGAGATATAGACTTGGCCATGTTGTTTCAAAACAGACTCAATATGAATCTACCTTTGGACTTACAATTCGTTAGATACCACATTTCAGAAATGTTCAAGTGTGTGAAAGATGTACACGATGCAGGCGTTGTGCACAGTGACTTGAAACCGGCAAACTTTCTCATGGTGCGAGGGATTTTGAAAATCATTGACTTTGGAATAGCGAACGCAGTGCCTGACCATACGGCCAATATCTATCGAGAGTCTCAAATAGGAACGCCAAACTATATGGCTCCTGAAGCGTTGGAAGAAATGGCTGAGGCAAAGAGTACTACCTGGAGAGTTGGTAGGCCATCTGATATTTGGTCGTGTGGGTGTATAATGTACCAATTCATCTACGGAAGACCTCCATATGCCTCGTTGACTGGTACAAAAAGAATATTGGCAATCATGAATCCCCAGTATAAGGTACAGTATCCGGAATTGGGTATTGGTGGTGTTCGCGTGCCTCAAAGTGCCATAAATCTAATACGCAACTGTCTTGCTCGTGATCCCGATGACCGTTGGACAGTGGAGCAATGTTTGCAAAGTGAATTTTTCCACCCAAAGGTGGTTGATGAAAACTTTGTTTCCAAAATTGTACACCAAAGTGTAAACTTGGGCTACAACAAGAGGATCTCGGGCGAGGGAATCACAACCGAAGCTTACGACTCTTTGGTCAATGACATTATAGATCAGATTAGAACTTATAATTGCTAATAGTTTCTACTATCTAGGTCCCAACTTTTGTAATACTCTAGGTCCTTGTTCTTCCCACTCTTGCTTTGAAATCCACATGTGGTCCTTGTCGGCCATTATGTTTGCCAAAACTGCACCACCAATGAAAACCATATTCTTCCTTCTTGGTGGATCTTCAATCCTCACCTTAAACTTGTCTAGTCTTGAAGCATCACCGCGTAAGACCCTTGTCAACCACAATTGTTTGAGTTCTTTTTCCAATCTTGATGGTAATCCAGGGTACATTGAGGAACCACCCGACAAGACAATCGCTTTAAACAAGGAGGATCTTACGTCAACATCAGCTGCTTGGATGGTATTGAACAAAGTTTCTCCAACTCCTGGCTGTTCTACATCAACCAAATGTGGTTGGAATAGGCATTCAGGAGCTTCAAATCTCTCACTTCCCACCCTAATAACTCTTCCATCAGGCAATTCATACGACTCCACCAAGGTTGTAGTTTCCGAAGCCAATTTTGAATCAAACTCCAAGTCATAACTCACATAACATAGCTTTTCCTTGATTTGACGCACGGTTTCGAAATCTGCAGTTCTGTTGAATGCATAACCACGGCGGAAAAGCAAGTTAATCAAATGCCTAGTAACATCTCTTCCTGCAACATCCAATCTCTTTGTGAGATGGTTCAACACAACTGACTCATACACTGGAACAATATGGGTCACACCGTCACCCGAGTCAACAACAACACCAGAACTTAACCCTTGTGCATACAATGCCAACACCGCTTGGATGGCAACATAAACCCCATCAAATCCATATTTTTCAAACATGACCTGACACATCATTTCCCTATTCTTGAGAGGATTCATCGGTGGTTCAGTCAACAAGATCTTTTGTCCCTGTGGATTCAATTTCATTCTTTCGTAAAATGCGTAATCCCACAAATGTTCCATATCTTCCCAGTTCTTTATAATACCATTCTCCATTGGGTAGTTGATTTGAAGCAATGATCTCACTTGACTTGCTTCCGACCCACACATTATATCTTTGATCTCAATATCATCTGGTACAAGAAGGTTACGTTCTTCTGCTCGCAATATTGGCCTTCCCACCATAGAGGGAAAAGTGTAGTCAGGGAAATTGGTACCTGCTCTACCAATCTTTACAAACCCAGTTCCTTGATCAAGCACTGTAGGGGTGTTAGTATTACATTTACGGACCAAAAAAAAGTCTTTATCACACATACCAATTGGTGAACTCATGCTTCTTTTCCTAGCGTATAAAGTAGTAATCGATTCGCTTCGGCGGTAGATTCAAGAAAAATGAGAATTCAGTTCAACAACGAAATTTTTGTATTACGCTACCAAAATTCTACACGCAAACGTTAAATACGAAGTATGACTTTTAATCTCCGACTCCGTCTTTGTCACCTCTAGCCACTCATACCCGTCTTCGCCTTCCTTTACCTTGGCGCTCTTTCTTGCCGATTTGAAAGAATCTTCGGATTTTGCCAACTTTTGCGGCGGATGGCCAGCTCTTCTGCTTTCAATGCCGTGTTGTTTTCTTTCCTGTATATCTTTGATTCTGTTTATAGCATTATTCACATCTCTTTTCATTTCCTTGCGTGCTTCCCACCTTTTCGCGGCAATTTCAACCATCTCTATATTTGTCCATCCGTTTTCCTCCAATGCAGTGACTGTTTTGGCAACTTGCTCAATGCAAGGGGAGAAGCAACAGATCCCCACTTGCCTCTGTTTTGCAACAACAGTATCCAAGTGCGGTATGGCATCCCAAGGTGAAGGTAAATCCAAAAATACCATGTCTCCATCAATTGTGTCATCACTAATATTGAAACCTCCATTGCAAACATCGCGATGGGTAATAATGGTATTGGTCAATCCGTGATCCAGCAACTCGGTCTTGGCCTCCAAATACCTTGGTTCATGGAATTCAAATGTGAAAACTTTCCCACTTTCTCCCACTGTCCTTGCAAAAGAGTGTGTAAACGACGCCGATCCCGTTCCAGCTTCAATGACTCTTGATCCAGCTCGGACATTCAATCGCTGTATAATGTATGAAGAATCTGGAGTGTATACAATTTGGGTCCTGTGAGGCAATGACAAGGTCCACATTTCGGGAGTAGGGTACAACAAATGAATGAAACCGTATCCCTTAGCCCCACGCATTTGTGCGCCATACTTCATGCCAATCATTGATGAGTGAAGGAAATGGCCATATCGCGTATTGAGGATTTCACCAGTTTTGACATAGATGGGCTTGATAGTAGTTCTATTGATGAATGCAAGCACCAAGTCGCCTTCCTCGATATGGTCTTTGTAGTTGAAAAATGACATGCTTGTAGGATAAGCCTTTGTTGCCCTGCTTCGTATGTCTTTTTTTTTTTTTTTCTTTTTTTCTTTTTCACTCATCGCCGAAGCTTATATTGGTCTTATCAGCTTGCTTGCAAGTACAAAAGAAGCAGTCCAAAGTGAACAACGTCGGCTGCAATCAGCCAAGTCATCACACTTAATTTTCTTGTATCTATATCTTCAGACCAAGTCTCTGTAACGTGCCCGTGCCTTTACCAAATAAAGAATGTGGAGTAAGAGCAGCAGCATGGTCGTGTCTCGATTTCAATCTCACAAATATGAACAGGCAAAAAAAAAATAAATATAAAAAATAAAAAGCACTTTTCCAACAAAACCGACACCACCGATTTACCTCAACAAGTGTATCGCCATGAGTGAACAATCGTCACAGCTGTCACAGCCTACTGACCCGCTTGGAACCAGTGTTGAAGATCTATACCTAGAAAGTTATGCATTCACCACAGCCGCTGCAATTGTTGGTTCCGTTGACCGCAAAATATTTGTATTGTTAAGAGACGGCAGAAATTTCTTTGGCATATTAAGAACATTTGACCAGTTTGCCAATTTGGTCCTCCAGGATACATTTGAGCGGATATATGTGGAAGGGGAGCCCAAAAAATATGGCGAAATCTATCGAGGCGTGTTTATAGTGAGAGGTGAAAATGTTGTCATGATGGGCGAGCTCGACATTGACAGAGAGGACGACCATTTGGAAACTTTACAACAAATACCCTTTGAGCAGGCTGAAAAAGAGCAAAAACTTTATCACGAAAAGCTAATAAAAGAGGAAAAGACAAAAACAAAGACATTTTTTGATAAAGGATTGATTTACGATTTCCAGCAATCTGTTTTATACTAAGTTTATAATTTACTGATAGCCTCAACTCTTGAATCGACATTGTTGAAAAACTCGTCAACTTGTGGGAACTTGGAGGCTTCTCTTCTTGCCAATTGGGACAAATGAGCTTCATCAGGGCCATCGGCAATTCTCAATGTTCTGTTCCAAGCCCACATTTGTGCCAATTCCGTATCTTGAGAGACACCTTCGGCGCCAAAGACCTGAACACCCCAGTCAAGAACTTCACCAATGGCTTTAGGAGTCTCGATCTTAGCCATGGCAATTTCTCTTTGCGCTTCTTTGGCATTTGAAATGTCAATCTTGTGAGCAGCATTCAAAACCAACAATAAACACTTTTGAATTTCAATTCTGTACTTGGCATACTGCATCAAGAATCCTTCTCTTCTATTCATTGGTTTACCAAATATGATTCTGTGGTTTGCTCTGTGAGCAATACGCAATAATGCAAACTCACCACTACCAATAGCTCTCATACAATGATGGATCCTACCAGGACCCAACCGGGCTTGAATCAATTCGAAGCCTCTACCAACACCAGCCAAGATAGTTTCGGGCATTAACTCCGATGGAACCTCGTAGTCTTTAAACACAATTTCACAATGTCCGTGAGGAGCATCATCGTAGCCGAAAACATGCAATGGTCTCACAACCTCAGCTTTACCGGATGCAACAGCTTGTTTAGCATCGATGACCAACACTGAATGGTTTCTGAATGGATTGCTCTCATTGTTATCCGTTTTACACATAACCAACCAAACAGCACATCTTGGATCTCCAGCACCGGAAGCAAACCACTTGGTTCCGTTTAAAACATAGTTCCCACGCGAGTTTTTGATAGCAGTGGTGGCAATGTTTAATGCATTTGATGATGAAATTCCCTTTTCAGTCATGACGAAGGCTGATCTGATTTTCCCATCCATCAAAGGAGCCAAGTATTTCTCTTTATGGTATTTTGACCCGTATTTTGCAAGCAATTCCATATTACCCGTATCTGGTGCACTGGTGTTTGTGGCTTCTGGCCCAGTGTGGCATCTTCCCAAGTACCTAGCCATTAATCCATATTCCAAATTGGTATATTGAGGACCCTCCTTGTAGTGCTTTGACAAAAACATGTTCCACAACCCCAATTCCTTAGCTTTTTGCTTCAACGGCTCAAGAACAGCTGGGACTTGTTTCCATCTTGTAGCTGGATCTTTTGAGATTTGTTCGTGGAAGACTCTATCAGCAGGAATACAATACTGCTCGACAAAGTCCTTTGTTTTTTGAATTGCTTCAAGACCTCTTGGAGAGACCTTATCTAAAAAGATGGCAGGAATATCGTCTTTAACTGACATGGCGGATGGAATGAGGAGGAAATACTCTTTCAAGTTGAATATCAGGATTAGGGACTTCTTTTGCTCAGTTTATATACGTGCGTATATTTTTTCTGTTTTCGTAACCCCACATTGTACCACGGAGATTATTTTCATTGGGGGTTGATTTATTTTATCCGCATTGCCTGCAGCGGCTATTCGGATTTAGAAAAGCATTTATTTGATCGGAGAATGGGGAAGGGAGGGGGACAAAGAGGAGTAAGACGAATAGGAGGAGAAGGGTTCACTGAGCCTCACAGGAGAATGCATGCATCAGCATCTCTTGGGCTACAGATCCTGGCTTCTTGATTCTGATTCCCGGGTAAAGTGGACGTGTTTTAGTATGTAGGATCGGGACCTGAAAAAGGAGGAAGGAGGAGTGAAGAGTGAGGAGGGGGGAGGATTGTCGTATGATGCAATGTCGCAAAAAGAGAATACGACACGGAGTTGTAAATTTGAAAAAAAAAAACCGCGACAAACTACAAATTTGCCATCGATTTGGATAAAGACAACACAATCCATTAAATTGACCTTTTTTTTTTTTTTTTTTTTTTTTTTTTTTTTTTTTTTTTTTTTTTTTTTTTT